TATTAAAAAGAGTTTCAAATTTAAAGTTTTTGTAGAGTTTCCATCAAATTCTTTAAGAATCTTTTTGAATTTAAATCTCAAGTATTTGAATAATGAAAGGATTTGTGATAAACTTAAAGGCATTTTAAGATATAAAGCTTAATTTAAATTTTAGCAATTAATTTATTGAATGATTTTAGATCAATATGTTTTCCGATTAATAGTTTATTAGATTATAACAATAAATTTTATATTTAACCTGTATATTTTACGATATTTATAAACTACTTAATTAATTTAAAATTTCGTTCAGATTTAATATAATAAACTTCCTTGGCATTAATTTAGCAAACCAAAAGAATTTCGAGTATATTGATGAGGTTATATGAAAATCTACACTTTAGCTATATAATATTAAACTTAATTTTCATCTAATTTTCGCCGTATTGTATCACAGATGGTAAGTAGATTATATAAATATGAATAAAATATCATTATCATTATCAAATGATTCTAAACAACAGAGTTTGATGAAAATTATTAATCCTAAAAATCAATGTGACGAAACTGATTTAAAATAAAACCCTATTGACAGATTTTTTGAAATAAAAGTGAAAGACCCTTCGTTGGTGTAAATTATTTTTTATCGATAAATTCATAAATTTTCAGTCTTTATTCATTATTACATAGAATTATCTGAAAATTATCTTTAGAGATTTTTGTAGATGCTGATTTTAGATAATATATTTTCTTGAAAAAATTAAAGAATTCAATTTAACTAAATATATAGATTTTCTTTTACTCTTCTAAATTAAATTTTATCATAAAAGTAATAGTTTGATACCAAATTATAAATAAATTTAGTTCAAAAATGAAGTTTTTGTGTAGGTGAAAATTTTTATATTTAGAATTGTTATATTTACTCTAAACAGGAAAATTTGTTCTTCAGTATTTAAATATCAGTCAAATGCTTTAGAGATAGAATTTAGGTCGATGAAACTATTCTCGTTGTACAGATATTAAGAAATACAAGGTAGTATAGTAATGACAAACTTTATATCCAAATATATTTTTTATTGATTGATGATTATTGTATTGGATTTATAAAAGAAGGTTAGAGCAAAATATTATTAAATATTTATAAATTTAGATATATATCCATAATTGTTATACTTTATCTCACTTAAGCTCAATACTGATAGAAGTCAATTTATATGAAGCTCTATCTTTTGGATCACTTTTTTGCAGTTAAATCAATTTTAATTACCCTGGTGGTATTACTATATCTATATAATCTTAATTCTTTATTCCTATTCCTTTAAGATTGTAGAGATTAAATTCGATTCTTTCTTTATAGATTTGAGATTCTTTATTTTCATAAAGTAAAGCGTATCCATCTGGGAATTCGACTTCATAGAAGAAGACTTGAATATTCTTTATAATTAAAATTTTATACTTTTTAGCCTAATTTTTGTTGTTCTTTTTTTTATGGATTTAAAAGTGCTAAATAAACGATATCTTCCTCAGATTTTGATTATTACTCAGTTTTTATAGAATAAGAGGAATTAAATCCAAAGCTATAACTACCTCGACCTTCTTTAGTAGACCTAAGTTTAAAAAAATAATTAGAATTGGACTTGCATTCAATTTTAATTTTAATTTTGTCTGGATTACTATTGTCTAAATTTAAAAAAGGAGTGCTTATCTCTAGGTATTTTATTTAAGTAAAATTAATTTCTTATTATAGTGTATTATTTTTTGTTTAATTTTGATACCAAAAATATAAATACCCACAATTCTATCCCCTTACAGACTATATTCCAGGTGCAAATTATGTATTCTTCACTTAATCTGAAAATCTTCCATGTGCTCTTAATAGTCCATCTAAAATATTAGAAATTTTTGATTTTTCTAAACACAATTCTTAAAATTCAACTTTTTAAGAACCATAACAAGAAACTGCTAAATTTCTATTACAATTTTAATCCCAATCTACTTCAACATATATGACATAAGATCCAGGTTCAAATTCTTTTTCAAAATCAATATCTCTTTCTTAATTAAAAGCAAACCCTGAATAATTTAATACTTCTAAATTCTTACTATCTAATTGTCCTACTATCAATCTAGCTAATGAATAATTATGATTATTATTTTCAAAAAAGCCCTCATCTGATTAAGTCAATCGAATTTATGCATTTGTTTTATTTGTAACATTCATTTTAACCAACTTTGTTGTAACTTGGTCTGAATTTTCAACTTTAAGAAATTAAGATGTATAGATATAATCAGGTCTAACTTGTGCTACATAAACGTATTAGAAGTTAGTGATAAAATCTTTAATACTCATCCAAAATATCCCATCATCTTCTTACTGAACCTAAAACCTCTCTATTAAATCATGAGTCCATTTTGCAGATTTATCACTCCAGTCTCCAGACCACTCATATTGACCCCAAGGCTATTCATATTTCCTATAAATATTATACATTTCTTATTTTTATAATTTTATCTGTTTGTTCATCACTTCCAACAACAATCTGTAAATCCAAAATGGAATAACATTTACTAGATACTATTCCTTTATTATCTCCACAATCCTTTTTTGTAGATGCTGTTTGAATGTATTTTTTATTATTATTTTTCTCCATAAATTCCCAACATGAATTAGCATGTTCTATCTAAAAAATTTCACTTGGAGCCCCAGTTAAATCTTTTAAAGCAATTAAAGGATCGCCTTATCCTATTGAATCATATGATCCATATAATTTAGCATAAGCTTTTTCCAAAAGAATCACCCATAATTTATTTCCTCTGACTCTTGAGAAAATTGGTCCTGCTTGAACACAAGGAATATAATCATCTATTATTATTTCTTCAAGTATACCATTCTTAACCATACTAATTCTATAAAGTCCTTAATGATTAGATATGATTCTTACCATTTTATTAATATTCTTTATTGTTTTGAAACAATCTTTCTATAATTTAAGGGACTTAAGCTAAAGCAGATAGAGAACTTAAAAAATAGCAATTTCCAAGTTCTCCTTAAATAACATCCTTTGGATCGATTGTCTATTAATCAATATGGATATAGATCTACATCAAATAAATTAATTTAATCAGGCTATAAAAATTCTTTTGGTCTTTTCCAAACTATATTTCTGCTTGTAAACGAAGAATTATTAGGTACTTTAGATATGCTTGATTGATTAGGTGGAAATTATTCATCCAAAAACAAAAATTATTAGTTTTATGGCCTAGCATACACTTTATTTGATACATTTCTTTAAGATTCTGATTCTCTTAATTTGAATTTTCATTTTATTAGCCAGCATTAGTTTAAGTTGGCTTCTTTATTTATTATAATTGCTATTCATCGAAATTTGAGGTTTCGTGAATGATTGGTTGATATTAGGTTTCTGAAACATATTATTGAGCGGAATTCTCAATAGCTCTTGTGTTTATGCTGGATCCCATTTGATTTAATTATTATTTTATATTATCAAGCAAAAAATATTTATAACTGCAAAAATTCATTTACTACTATTTTTTTAACTTTAATTCAGAAATATCATTTCATCATTTCATTAAGTGCATTAGAATAATTTTTATTTATTAACTTAAAATGATTAAATCAAAAATTTATCTATAAGGATTATTATTATGATTATTAGCAAAATTTGAATAATTATTCTCAATGGTATATTTCAAGAGAAGATCAATTAACAATTAACATTTTTTTTTTGAAATAGAACTTATTAATTTTCTTTAGATATTCTTACTTGATTCAGAAAAGTTTTGAATCTTATAATTGATATCCTTCAATTTGATTTAAGAGTAACTGAATTTAAATATCACTTTTAAAACATGCTTTTAGATTACTAAAAAATCACATATTATTTTCAGATTCAACTTAATACCAACTCATCTCAAATAATGATCAATGGCAACATAAGAACACTCTAAAAATTAAAATAATAAAATGATGTAGATGCTGACTTTTAATTTTGGAGGAAATACTAATTAACTTATTTCTGGTATCTTATATCCTATTTCTGTACTTAATAATTAATGGTTATGATAACAAATTATTGATATTTATTTTCAATCAATAATTTGAAGTTTATTTTCAAATAAATTTTTAATTATAAGCAAGTATGGAATTTGAAGTAAGGACGGCTAGTTTAAAAATTTTTGGATTCTATATTAAAAAGTTTAGTATGAAAAATATATCAAATTAATTTAATTCAAATCTATTTAAGCTTTTACTTAAATTAATAAACATGATTCGATGCTGTAGATTAAAACCTTAATTATTTAAATTCATTCTTATTAGAATAAAAAAATTAAGATAAATATATGAAATCAAATTGAATTGTTTATAAGAAAATATTAATAATTTTCTTAAAGTTAATATTTATGAGTTAAATTTAATAAGGATCTCAAATGTAATAATATTCATCAATCACATATAATAGTTTCACAATTTTTAATCTTCTAAAATTAAAGGTGCATATATTTAAATTGAAACATCATTTCTTATTACTAAAACCTGATTCTAACTTTAAAATCAATAGTTTGTCTTAGTAGAAAAAGCTCTATAGAAAGATTCAAAAAGAATATCCCAAAAATATTTTATAACTCTCAATTATGAAAAGATAATAAACTATATATTAATTTAATTGTTAACTACTAAAGAAGTATAAATGAACAAATTTAATAACAAAATATCCAGGTATTATATTTTTAAACTTATCTTTAATTGAATCATAAGCTAATCTAGCAAAATTTAATTTATATTTGATATTAGTATATTTATTTAAAATATTGTAATAAAATTTTACAATATTTTAAATAAATATAATTTTACAGCTATCAAGTTTATTATGCGGTTACTTATTCTATTATTATTTCAAATTATTCTCTCAAAGAGTTAAGTTTGTAAAGTAAATTAAAATTTATCATAGCTCGAAAACAATGTTTAAAATCTTTTGCAAATTAATCAAATGGAAACCTTTTTTTTTTATTTTTAAGATTATTTCTATGGGGATGGACTCACTTACCGTTTTAATGATCAACTGTAATACTTTTAAGTTAATCAGCCTTTTATATAAGGTGGAATAGAGGGAGAAGTTATAAGTATTTCACCTTAAGCAAATACAATAGTGTAGGAAAAATAATTTTCAATATTATTAAAAATTAATTAAGGAGATTAAGAAAAATATGAGATTCATCATTTGAAAGAATTATCTGAAAAAAAATAGAAGCCTTTTGCAAGTCAACTTATTTTAAAGCTTGAAGTAGATTTATGCTATTAAATTAATTAAATAGATAATTATATAATAATTACTTGTTATGAATTTGAATCATAAGAGATAAAATATCTAATATATGATTCTTAATATAATTTGATTATTACTTATAGTCATAAAATGAATGATTTAGAAAAAAAAAAAAAACATTTAATAATAATTTCAAAATCGGCTGGAGAATATTTATGCTCTTTGATAAATCATGGATATTATGAAGATAATGAGTATATATCCAATTATTCAAATTTAATTATATTTAAATTTGAAAAAATAAACATTAACAGTGAGATCAAAATAAATTTAGTTTATTAAGAGGAAATCCATTTATAAGAAGATTTTATAACAGGTTTTGAAATTGTAAAACAAGGATATCGTAAAAATAAGTTTATTATTTAGTATTTATTTCGTTCTATAAAAATTCCTAAGTTCAAATTCAAGATTTGAATAATCATAAATTGTTTAAAATAAGTTTATCGATCTCAAAACAAATTCTTGGAATAAGTGCAAAAAAAATATCTTATGGATCTAATGAATATATTATTGTATTATGGAATCATGAAGAGTTATCAAACTTCTTGTATGATCCATCATAAAATAAAATTGTAAAAATTCGTCAAATTATTTAGATTTCAAGAGAAAAGCTAATTTAAACAACACAAATAAATTTATTACTTATGTTCAAGTCTGATGTTTTTATTAATGAAAAGTATATAATTGTGTCAAATTTGAATGGTATAAGTATTTACCCAACAATTCTGAATGATGTTAATAAAGGAAGATTATTATACTATTATTCTTCAAAGCCAAAAATCAGTTATTTCATTAATATAATTGATTATTTAATAACCATAGAGGAACAATAGTTAGTTTTATATATAATTAATGATCCAATAATAAAAATAGAAAATTTGAATCCAAATGACATTCCTTAGTTGTTTTAAATTATGGCAATATCTAACTAATTTGATAAACCATAAATTCAATGCCCTAGACTTAATTTATATTTTAAGGTTGAGTTTGATACTTCAATTCCATATGCGGTAAAATCCAATTATTTCAATATCCCTTATTAAGTTTATTGGAGTATTTAGAATAGAGGTATTTATTAAGGTAAAGATGAAAATTTGCGATATTTCAACATAAATATTGATTGTAATGGAAAATAGTCAATTAAATAAAAATAATTAATTATCATACCATACTTAAAAATGTACCCTTAGACTCCGATTCCAGATAATATTGATGTTATTGTTGATAAAGATTCTGAAGTTTTTATCCATGAATAAGATTTATATTTATGTAGCGATGTTTTTTACTAAAAACAATAACTGATTTATTAACATCAGGAGATTTATGAATTTAAAGAAAAATTTTATCTCCTTCTTTAATAATATTTTGCTGTTTATGTGAAAGAATGTTTAGCAAAAGATCCTAATAATTGTGTAATTTTGCATTATTAACCTATTGAATTTTTAGCTTAAATCAGAAAGTTTATATTTAACATTCATGATGGAATTCTTTATTTTGGTTTTGAATAAAATTTTATTTGGGATGGTTACGAAGATCTCGATAATTTTGAAATTTAAACATCAAATGTGGAAATTTATAGTTATAGATTGAATAAAAATAAAAAAATTATTAAGAAAATCTAAATTTCTCATCTTTTTTTTTCAGTTATTTAAATAGACATCATAGATGATAGACTATACGTGCTTTATTAATATCGAAATGATAAAAAATATCTGTTTAATTATAAAATTGATGAAATAGAGGACGATATAGATATACGTTAGCATAGTCATTTAGTAAATTTTTGCTAAAATTTTGCTTTTAATATTGAACACTATGGGTATTTTTTATATTTTTTTACAAACGAACCAAAAGATGATATAATAGTTACTTATTTGAATGCAATAAATATTGAAGAGGGAAAATTCTAATAAATAAATAAGCTAAAATTTAAGCAATACGAAAAGCAAAATGAAATAAGATATTTTGAAATTCGAATAACCATTAGTGGAGTTTATATTTAAACAACTTCATATTTTGAAAAAAATATATATTTTAAAAAATCTGACTTTTTTCTTTTAATATTTACCAAGTTTGACAATTAAAATTATGAAAGATATCTTAATAATTAGATTAATATTCCATAAGCATTATTATTTAAAAAATAAAAAAATAGAACCTTTAAAATTAATTATTTCTCTAGTGAAAAAAACCTTTATTAGATATTTAGTGAGTATAATATTGGCTATATTATTTTTGTGTATTCTTTTAAATCTACTCTTTTGAATTTAGTTCATTATGGTTTAGATGAATATATGATGAATAATTTTGACAGAAGAGCAATCAGTCTACTTGAGGGGGATATTTATTCAATCAATCCTTTTATACAAAGTGAAATTAAAATTTAGAAATAGAAACTAAGATTTATAAAACAAGAACCCTTAATCACTTTAAATTGTTAATAATATGAGTAGACTGATTCCTCACCTTTTGTCACTGTTCCTTTTACTGTATTTACATCAAGATTAACAGTTGAATAATATCCTGTCTACTTATTATAATTTTATCTGAAATAGGAGAAAGACGAAGATAATCAATAAAATATCAAAGATTGAATTTCTAAAAATTGAATGAATATACAATTTATTCTGATTTTTTTCTATCATTATTAATTTAATTCTAGAAAAAAACTTATTTTATAACCAAACACACTCTGCATGATTGTAATTATAACTAAGAAATAGTTTACATCTAAATTTATTAATCTCTCATTATTATTACAATTAAAAAAAAATCTAAATATATTAGCTTAACTTTTTTAGCAATGCTTTAACTATTTATTGAAATCTCTTCATTTTAAAAATTATTTAATTTAAATCAAGACATAAAATTGAGGTTTTCTATTTCAGATTTTCTCATTTATAGATATAATTAATAATTAATTCACATTTTATAAGAATATATTCTTATAAAATGTATATATGAGGAGATTCATCTTTTTTCTGGAATTTAAATTTTTATATAAATAGTATCATGAACGTTCTTCAAATTTATAATCGTTATTTTCTTAGTTTTCTTTATATTTATTATAAAAAATGGAATATCTAATTTTAGTGAATATAAAAATTATTATTTTTATTCTCCTCCCCTATATACTCATTTTAGGAATAAGCTAGTTGTATACCAACTAATTTATCTCTTACCCATAATTTTTTGATAGAAAGGAATTCTAATAAGAATTTATCATTTGAAATAATTCAGTTGATTCCAATTAATTATTTTTTTTTTTCTGCTTCAAAATAGATTCACTCAAAATATATCCATCTTTTTGTAAATGAATTTTTTCTGAATTAAATTTTGGATTGTGTATGTACAAAAAATTATTGTATTAAAATTATTAATGAATATTGGTAAAGGAATAATACTCTTATAACCAAAAATTCTTTGTTAATAGCTTTATATTATAACTTATTTAATTATGGAAAGATAAAATTTAGAATTAAAACTTAACTCTTAAAATCGAAAATTTTTTTTTAAATTTGAGACGAATGGAGTAATAACTGACAACGAAGTGAATTGAAATCAAAAAGTTTTTTGCTTTTATTTAATTTTCTATATAAAAATATTTTATTGCAAAATACTTTTACTAGTGGATTAATAATGATTATCTTAATAAATTTATGAAATTTGAATAAGATTTATTAATTTTTTGATTTACTAATGTATTTTTTTAATTAAAAATACTATTTTATTTAGTATTACTCTTTAAAGTATTCGTTAGTTTCAATAATATTTTTTTAAAATATTAGATATTTTTAAAGGTTATGATTGTTTTTTATAGTTTATAAAAAGCCTTTTTAAAAAATACTTTTTTATTCAAATTAATGATATTTAATAAAATTAAATAATATTTATAAAATTAAAAAAATAAATATTATAAAATAATAAATAGAATTTAATAATATGGCATGAAAAATATAAACAGATTTTAATGATATGTTTAAACAGTACTTTAAAGCATTTACACAAGGCCTGATTTCCATAAACATGGTAGTAGACTTGAGTTTTGAATTTAACGAAACACGCAGCTTTTGATCTTTGTAATGATATGATTAACAATTTCCTTATCAAAAGAAATATTTTGAGGTAGTCCAAATCGTTTGATTTAAGAAAGCACACTTATTCAAACGTATATTTGGAAAATTTTTGTATTGAATTTTTCACAATTTTATAGTAAACCACATGAAGATCCAGAAATCCATGTGTATATGGGGTTTTATGAGCATTATTCATTTGTAATAACTAAATAGATAATAGGTGTCTTTTTTTATTGTAAGTAAATTATTTATCATAAGAACAAAATTAAGTTTAATTAAGGCTTCTATATTTTACATCTTTGCAACTATTAGAAGAACTCCAAGTGAAATTAGCCTATACATTTTTTTTATAATCTCAAATCTTCACATGTCCGAAGCTAAAGCTAAAGAAATTGAACTAGAAAAATGATTTCCATTTCTATAAATATTTATTATCTTCTTAAACAAAAAGGTTTTCATATTGCTTATTTTCTTATATTCTATATTATAAACAAAAATAATACAGTCTATATTATAATAACAACTTAACATCAATAAATTGTAAACTTTCTAACCATACAATTAATAGCCTTTGAAAATACTATAATTTTATCTAAAGATTTTAGAAGACCCTTCTTACTTTTTTAATAAAGTTCAATCAAATGAAATATCATAATAATTAATATTTATTTGAAAAACTAGAAAAAAATTAAATATTGATTTTGAAAAAATATTAAATAAATTAACTATTCTAATTTATTAATAGAAATATAAAATTACATAAAATGAAGAGATTAAATATTTAAATTCTATTAAGCCTAAAATATATTTTAAAATGTTGTGATTCTCATTATAGCTTAAGTTAAGTTTTGATATGATTTTATAATTTGATTTTAATTATCTAGTTTGATTAATATAGACTTCCTTTTAATAATTATTATAATAAATTTTGTTAAAATGAGTTAATACTTAGTTAACAATAATAGTTAAGGTTTCTATCAAATGAGCAATTAAAAATAGCAAGAAAATATAGGAGAAGGGATATAAATTGTTAGGATTTCTCAAGAGAGATTTTAAACAGAGTTTAATATTTATTTGAAATTGTATTAGAATAGATGTTTAAATGTAATAGAAATATTAAACATAAACGATTATGATGTCATAATTGAAGAATATTCAATGACATTAGATTAATTTATTCAAAAAAGGCAAGAGATAGGATTAATTTTTTCAAAACAAGAAATCCAATTAATAATAGCCTAAATTATAAATGGTTATTAGCATTTAAGATAATTAGGAATAATTCATAGAAATTTAACTCCATAATCATTACTTGTAAAATAAATAAAAGGAAAATAGATTATAAAAGTAATCTATTCAATAAATTGTAGTTATCAGATTTTAGTTTATCTACAATAGCAAATAATTAAGAATTGCCAATAATGACAAGAATTAGTAATTCAAAATATTTGGTTCCTGAAAAAGGATAGGATATGTAATGTGATATTTTTTCAGTAAATTTTAATTTAATTCTTTAGTTGGGTCTTATCTTATACTAATTATGTTTTTAATAAAAAATTCCTAATACAATAAACAATCAGGTGGAATAATAAAAAATTATAAAGGATTTAAAGTAGATATAACTAAAATGCCAAAAAACTGGAGATGTTGATTTAGATTTGATTGATTTGATTGAGTAGATGTTAGTCATTGATCCTTAAAAGAGGATTAGTTGGGATGAACTTGCTCGTATTCCTAAATTTTAATAACCTTATAAACTATTAAATAAAAGATACTTGATAGATTTTACTCGTTAATTAGGGAGTGGTATGTAAGGAGTGATATATTTAACTATTGATTTAAAAGATTATTTAGAAGTATGTGTAAAAGTTATTGATAATACTTCTATTGAGGGAAAGAGAGAAATTTAAGTTTATGAAAGGTTATAAGGGAATGAATATTCAGAAAATATTATTTAAATAATAGATTGCATTACTGATCAAAATTAGTCTTTTGTTATTATGGAAAAATGTGATGAGAATATTAAATAATATTTTGAAAAATAAACTATGATAAAAGAGGAAGAAATTTTAGACTTTTTAGATTAAATTATTAGTGGCTATATAGATTTATAAAATAAAGGAATAATACATAGAGATCTTAAACCAGAAAACATCTTGATCAAACATGAAGTAAGAAAAAAGAAAGTTAAAGTAGTTATAATTTATCATATATTATATAGATTATTGATTTTGGAGTGAGTAAATTACATAATCCGAATGAATTAGCCATTACTGTAGCTGGTACTCCAATCTATTCAGCTCCAGAAGTACTTACACTAACTGGAAAAGGTTATACAGACAAATGCGATATTTATTCTGTAAAATAAATTGCAATATGTAGTTAGGAACTATGCTTTATTAATTTGTATTTAAATCACCATATTATTATGCAAATTCAATAGAGGAATTAAGAAAATTTTAATAACATTTAGAAAAAAATCCATTTACTTGCAAATAAAAATCTAGTATTTTATTATTTTTATTGTAGTTTTTAATAAATTAATAGAAAGAATGTTAATATATGATCCAGATCAACGAATATCTTGGAATTCTTTAAAATATGAAGTGAAAAAACTTATGGATAAATCTTCAATCAAGGTAAAAGAAAGAGAATCTATTTTACATGAAAATATACCTCCCTCTATTTTAAGATATTTGGATAGTCTTTAAATATTTTCATCTAAGTTAGAATAAGAATTGATAAACTATTATCATCAAACAAAATATTAAAACTAAATAGTAAAAGTGCTATATTTTGTATTGTTTTTCAGTCAAGCCACACTTCTTGATTGTCAAGAAATAATTTAAAAATAATCTATATTTATAGGTGGAGAGATTTTTAAACAAAATCTAACTTCTTAATAGATATTCTTAGATAAATAATAATACTATATTGAAGATCTTTAAGAATCAATTGAACAGATATAAATAGAACCTGATTAATTTTTTGAGAATTAAAAAGAAAAGATGGAAATAGAAATTTAATTAAAGCGAATGACTTGCTATGATATTCATAAATATTTTAATGAAATTTATCTGAAGTCAAAAGAAAAAGGCACTATTTACTCTTAAGCATCAATTAAATTAAGATATTATCTAGAAAAAATGTCTAATATTTTTTATGATTATCCTCTAAACAATATTAAAAGTATTTTATTTTCAAAATTGGCTGAAAAAATATAGGATGAGAATGCTCAAAAATAATATTTAGAAATAAGATTAAGAAATTGATATATAATATAAGATATGATTTTTTAAAATAATTAAAAAAAAAAATATACTTAATTTATGAGTCATACTATGTTTAATACATAGAATTAATTCATTTCTTGAACTAATAATTATAATTTTTATGGGGATACTATAGTTTAATATAATTTCTTAAATTTAGTAAATTGTATGAATTATTAATTAATCATTTACATGTCTGAATAAATCATATAAGTTTGGCATAGTAAATATTATTTAATTTGTTCTATTTGGAAATGAATGCTGCTAATTTAAATTTGGAGAGAGATTAGTATAAGGATTTGTTAAAATGTATTAAAGATGAATCTTAATAAAATGCTTTGAGATATTAAAGTAACTCCCATTATAAATATGAGAAAAAAAGAAAAGAAAAAAATGAATCAGATCATAAAGTATAATTAGTCCTACCAAGCATAGAAAATAGTTCTTTGGAAGATATTTCATAACATTTTCATTCTGTAAGAAGAATTTAAGCAGGAGGATCTCATTAATTACAAGCAAATAAATCTTAACAAAATTTCATTTAATAGAGCTTTATGGAATTAGAATAATGTAAAATGTCTCAGACAGTTAGAGATATAAAAATAAATGAAAAAAAAAATTAATGTAATCAACGTAAGGTACCACATAGAGAGGCATTGACATTAAAATATTTAGAAAAATAATTAGGTATTTGTAGTACTCCAGAGAAATAATAATTACCATAGATTTAAAAGTAACATTAATCGAAAAGAAAAATCACTGAAGATGAAGAGTAAAATGATTAATCAATTTTAACCTTTTTCGAGGAAACATTGAATTCCTATTCTTATGCTGTACCAAGTAGAAGAGAATCAACATAAATAGCAATAGTTAGAGATAGAATGTATGTTTATGGAGGAATGAGTGGAGCTGGAATTACTAATGAAATGTGGTGGTTTGATTTAAGTATTAATTTTATAATTATTTTTAGAGAGATAAGAATGGTTTAATTATTGTTCAGATATCTAATTATTTATAACAAATCATTCAATGATAGTATGGAAAAATTATTTAATTTTATTTGGAGGATCAGGATATTATGATCATAAAATGAAAATTCGAGAAGTCTTTTCAAAAATTGCATAATTTAATACTTTAACAAATCAATGGACTATTTCTTTAGAGTCTGTAGAGCCAAGACGAGAACATAAAGCATCAGTTCTCTTTGGAAAATTAATGGTTGTCACAGGAGGAATAGATTCAGCAGAAAAACTATTAAATGACACTCTTGTATATTCGTTAGAATCAAAAAGATGGACGGGCTAGAAAATACTATTTGAAGAAGGAATAGCCTAACATGCTTAATGCACAGCTTATGATTTTAAAAGAAACATTGAGACAGTATATATTTATGGAGGATAAACATCTAAGCTTGGTTCATTTCCTTTAATGAGAATGCTGTTTTTTGGGCCTCATCCTATTGGATGGGAAAAGGTCTAAACAATAGGATTAGCACCAGATAGTAGATATAATCATACAATGGAGAATGTAGGAGAATATTTAATTTTACTTGGTGGAAGATCATAAGAAAGGAAAGAATACTAAAATGATATTTTTGTTTTAAATCTCTAAACTAGCATTTGGACTATTGCCTAAAGATAAGGCCTATAAACTAAAAGATGGAGTCATGCAAGCTGCGTTAATGGAACCAATATTTTATGCTTTGGTGGAATTGGGGAAAATACTTATTTACCTCCTCATATCTACTAAATTGAAACTGACACATTAAAAATTAAAGGTAAAATTGTCGTCGTGAAACCACTTAGTGTTATTGATGAAGAATAAACCAATAATCATCATCATATGATCATTACTAGAGAACATGATTTCGATATGAAAAAACCATGTAAATTGGAAAAATTTAGAAAAACTCGTAAAATGTATGAATAAATTGTTACTTATTTACCTCTTCCACAACTTAAAACTCCCAAAATGAGATATGATATTTTGATTCATTTTGTGAAAACCATATTGAAATAAATAGGCTACATTTGATAAAACAATCATAAATTTATTTTATTAAATTATTTTGATGAAAATTTAAATAGGCTCATTCTCTATTTTTGATTTTAATAAATTCCAAAAACTTTTTCTTTTAAATTTACAATATTTGTTAGTAATACAATAGATAAATACGTATTCTCTACTTTTTAATTTGATCAATCATTACTTAATCATTATTTGTTTAAAATTAATTTATAACATAAGATTTTTCAAAATTGTATTTTTTAATTTAACAATATTTTTAATTTAAGAAAAATTAATAATAAACTTTCAGAAAATGAAAATATTAAAATAAATCTTTTAAGAAAATTTTTATGTGATTATGTTTAATATCTAAATACTTGTTGTATAATCTATTAATTTATATATTTATCAATATTAAAAAAAAATAATTACAAAATTTATTTTAAGCAAAGTTATTGAAAAAATAAAATCAATATAAATATATTTAAATAATATAAATAGATTTAAATAATATAAATATATATAATTATAATTGAAATTGTTTTTTAGATTTGAATTGAATTTTTAATATATGATAATGTGAATTTTATCAGTGATTATCTAAACTTTGTTTTTTTTTCCCAACTTCTTCACTGAGACTTGTCTAAAATTCTTAGAAAGTAATTTCTCCATCACCATTTTCATCAAAAAAGTCAAAACAAGCAACTATTTCTTCTTAATTAATATTAGGTTCAATTCTTTTTAACAACAATCCCATTTCATTTTTATCTAATCTCTGATCAGCAGATTTATCGAACTAATATAAATTATAAGTTGATACTTTTTTAAATAAATCTAATAAGTTGATTTTGTATTTTGAAATTGACAATTTTAATTTTTCAATAACATAATTAGCTCTTTCTTCAATAGAACCTGAAGTTTTTAATTAGTGTTACAAAATAGATAATTTTTTATGAGATCCACCATTTCTTTATTATTATTGAGCATTTCCATTTGTAATAATCTAAGAAATACTTATTAAGTATACCTGATTGTCTTCAAGCCATTTTTTAAATTCTTCAAATTCAATTTAATTGTTGCCATCATCATCGAATTTATTAAATATATATTCAATTTCTTCTCTTGTAATATCCTTATCTACTTTCATTAAGAACTTTCCTAATTCATTAACATCTAGAGCCTTATCTTTTGACATATCTAAATCAGCAAAGAGTTTATGAATATCTATTTTTTCTTTGCAAATCATCTATCTAATATCATTAATTAAATATTATGCTCTATCTTCTAATTTGCTATTGCCCTTGATGAAATCCTTAGATATGATTTAAAAATCAATACAGTAAAGTATTAGGAAACAGCTGGATGCTTATATATTTCTTCCCAAGATAATCTCTTATTTTCATCTGCTTATAAACATCCAATAATTAAATCCTGGGTCTCTTAAGAAACTTAATTTTTATCAGTAAGGAATTTTAGAGGCTGAGTTTTAATATTTTTTAAGAGTTCTGCAGGAGATCTGGCAATCCAAGGTGCTTTTATGTATTGTGATGATTCTTACTTTTTCCAAATAAGGCTTCATAAAATATGAATCCTATACTCCAAACATCAGTTTTAGAGTTATATCTTTTGTGATCCAAAATTTAAGGACTCATATAAAGTGGAGTTCCAACCATTGAAGCCATCATAGTTTTCTTAAAATTATCTACACATTTAGCAAATCCAAAGTCTGCTAATTTATAGGTCTTCATTATATTAAATAAATTACTTGTTTGTCTATCAAAATATTTGCAGGTTTAAGATCTCTATGTATAATACCATTTTTTATAAGTTATGTAAAACCATTAAGTACATCAATTAAAAACTTAATTGCTTCTTTTTCTGAAAGTAATTTTCTTTTTTTTAAGTATCTATGTATTTAATTTATATATATTTACTCATCAAAATCACCTCCATCACAATACTCTTAAACAATATAATAGTTATTGTTAGTTTCCATAACATCTAACAAAGACACAATATTTGGACTCTTTAATTTTTGCATAATTTTAATTTCCTAAATGAGTCCTTCTCTTAAATAATCATCTCTAATTAAATGTGAATAATAAATAATTACGAATTTATTACTGATTTACTCAACATTTTGATAGCTACCTTTTCTCCAGTTTTTTCATTAGTTCCTTTATAGACCTCAGCATAAGATCCTTATCCAATTCTATCTTTTACATTAAAAATATATTTGTCAATTCTTTTATCTGTCATCAAATTAAATTATTTTTGATTTAATATAATTAAATAACATATTTATTTTTTTTAATGTTCTAATGTACTAAAAAAACAATCATCTAGCACCTTTTCCTTTTCTTGCAGTATGACTTACATAAGGTTTGGCATGTGATCCTGGTAAACCAGCAGCTCTTCCAAAATGTTTTAAGGCTTCTCTAACTTTTGGACCTCTTAACAAAATAGTACCAGTTCCTATAAATTATTGGTATTCTAACAATACCTGTTGGATTTTATTATGCCAATTAATCAAAAGTCAAAGTCTTTCCTCCCGCTGCCTAAATTCTCTTTCTTGCTGTTTCTGTGAATCTTAAAGCACAAACATTTAATTTTGGTACAGTAAGAAGACGAACACTAAAAAATGCTAGAGATTTCAATTATTACTCATCAGTCACTGTTCCTACAACTACTAGAGTTCTTGTTTTATCTTTAGCTGTATTTATTTATTTTACTAGTCTGCTAACACTTATAGGATATCTTGCAGTTCTTGTTGATTAAAGTCTTCTCAATACAGTTGCATTAAATTGAGAATCTGTTCTTCTGGCTAAGAATTTGTATAACTAAACAATATAATATTATTCTTTTACCTTTATTAACAATTTCAAATAAAGGTTTGTAGAAGTCACTTTTCTTCCTACATTCCTTTAAACTCTAGTCTTTTTATAAGCATCTACTCCCTATTAAATACTTAGACTTGTTATGTTACCATTTTTCAAATTTTTATATCTTTATTTAATTTATGGTATATGAATTCAATTCATTCACTTTCATCAACCCATAAAAATATTAATTAATTTATTTAAAATACTCATTTTTTAGATTTACCTTTTACTTATGCCATTTCAGGTATTTTTTGTTTTTTAGCTTCAGTTTTTCTTGAAGAAACTTTTTCAGCTGAATCTACTTTTTTCTCATCCTTTGACAAACAACTACCAACTCCACAATTTCCTTTATTCTTTCTTCTTTTTCCAACCATAAATAATGAACCAATTATTCCTAAATTAAAAATTATGTTAAGATATTCAGCTTATGCATCTCTACAATTAAATATTAGAAAATACACTTTATTTAAATAAATCATAGGATTATGTGCAAATATTGTGATAATAATATTCAATAAAGCCAATAAACATCCAGCACCTTAAAATCCTAAAAAAACACCCAATCCTAAAAATATTTAAACACATCCAATAGTTTAAATTAAACATGGAATATGTTTAATGAAGTTTATTGGTTTCTAAAATCATTGGTATATATTACTAATAATTCTGCACAATCTAAGGAATTTCCTGTCACTTTTTAAACATATTCATAGAAGTATGGGTATCTTACATTTACAAATTAAACAAAAGGTTCAGTATCATTTAATTGAGATAAGCCAACATTGATAAATAAAAGAGCTAACAAGACTCTGCCAATTAATCTTAAAATTTTCATAAATTAAATATTTTATAAAATAGTATTAACATATTTCTCATTCATTTTTTTTCCTAATTTCGTAAATCCAATTTATATTGTAAACTTTCAATCATATTATATTATTTAAAAGAAGTATCATTTTAAATATGTATTTTTATATCCAAAAATTCTATATATTAAACATAATATTTTAAATTTGTAAAATAATGTATATATAAATCATAATTATTCTCTATTAAGGATAATTGTATCATTTATACTTAAACTTAAATCTTAAATACATGTAAATGGAACTTATATCTATAGATGACATGAATATTAATATTCTTAATTTATTGCTTATTTTTTTTGATTCCAAATAAAGAATCCACAACCAGCATTGCTAAATTTTATAAAATATTTTACTCATTCATTTTTGTAGTTTCTAAACTTTCAACAAAAATATCATTCATTTCGTAAAGCTTTGAAAGCAAAATTGGTTCACTTATTGATTATGGATATTAAGCTAAATTTAATTAAAACTATTTATTTATTGAAGAATAGTTTATAAAATTATGTTTAGTTGTATAACTTAAAAGATTTTTAATAACCAAATTAATTATTAATTTATTTTCTAATTAAAATGGATCAAAATCCCCATCATCTTTCAAAGTCAATTTAATTAATATTTCAGCATAATTATCAATCTTATACAAATCCATCAATTAAGAATGATTTTCATCAACATAATAATTATACTTACTAATTTATTAGTATAAATCATTTTTTTTTTCTATTGAGTTTTCCTTTAATTTTTAGAAGAAATTAGTTAATAGGATTTTATTTTATTTAAAATAAGTTGATTAATTATTTAAAAGAAAGAAGAACATTTTCTCTACAGTAATTGTGGGATATAATCCTTCATCTTTTTTTTCTCCTAAAATAAGTGTATGATCAATTCTAACTTAATCCAATGTTCTAATGAAAAAAGGTTCCTCTCCTTTATCATCTTCTTTGATTTTTTTTTCCATTTCCATACCCTAACATTACGATTTTTTCATTTCTAAAATTTTCCACCAATCTTAACCTTAAGTCTAGGTTTCACATTCATCATCTGTCTCTTGAATCTAATATTAATTTTAATCAGTATTAATCCTTTCTATGGTTTTTAGAGAAAAGCTTTAAAACTCTTATTATTAATGGAAAACAGGCTTTTATTATAACTTATCATTATCTTTTTATTTATCATTTTCCTTTTCTTTCTTCTCTTTTTCATTAATTTTTTTTTCTAATTGAATTTATAATCATAATATTTACTTTTTGATCTAACTCTTAATGATTTGAATAATGTTTCTAAATCAATTTTTTCTAATATTATTGGTTCTTGCTATACTTTAGTTTCTTATTCAATTTTTTTTAATCTAGTTTATTCTTGTTCTTTTTCTTTATCAAAATATTACTATAAAAGCTATTCATTTTGAGGTTACTCTTCACATTTGAGCTTTTGAATGCTTTGATAAATTAATTCGACAAATTTTGCAATTTAAACATATTCTTAAAAAGGAATTTTATCAAATTCATGCTTTAACCATAACAAAATCATATTTAAAGTAGTTTTAGAAGGATTTTCTAAGCATCTATTCAAAATTTCTATATTTGGTTATCTTGCAATGATATGCCTTTTCAAAATAGACATTAATTTTTAAGCATACTTTTTATTTCTAGAAAAGAATTTATATAAAGATTATTTACTTTTCTATTTTTTTTGAATTATGATCATTTTCTTATTTTTGAATAGCATTGACATCAATCTTAAAAACATATTTCGATGGAGCAATTTCAATTTTTGGTAATTGTTAAACAACTGGTGAAGTGGTAGGGGGTGGTTTAATAGTTTAATTATCTTTAGCTTGAATTTTGTTTTCTTATTCATTTAAAGAAAAGGAGGTATGGGATACTAAATTTTAAATCTTTTTTTCTGAAAATGTTCCTAATAAGTTATGTTATATTGGAGTTTCAATGTGTTCAACCTTTTTCTCACTTGTTTTTTTTATTATAGGAATTTAATCCATTCCACCAGAATCTAATGAATCATCCGAATCAATAATTTTTCTTTTTCCTTTGGGAGTATTTGGGGTATTTTAAATTTCTTATTTTGGTATTATTCCTTTATTTATGGGGGGTAAAGGAAGTTTTTCAAATTATTTTTATTATTAAGTTTGAGAAGAATTCAAGCTATTATTTAATTGTTAAGTTGGTTATTTTGGTATCATAATTTTTGTTTCTTATGATTAAGGTTTTAATTATTATTAATCTAACTATATTTAGGAATTTTATTATCCATCATTCACTTCTTTATTAACTTCAACTTTTTTTTGTATTATTTTTTATTCATCAACATTTCCTAATTATTAAACTTATTATTAAGATTATTTTTATATTTATATTTGATTTTATGATTATGTTTAATGTGTTGATTGTTATTATGATTATTTTTATTATGTTCCCAATTACTGTGAATAAATTTCTGGTAATTAAGGTGGTTATTATTAATTTAGATTTTATAAAGGTAATTATGATATTGGTTGTTAAGGATGAGAAATTAATATTTTTTATTATGATTGATTTTAAAAATCTATGGATTATGTAGGTTATTAAATGGATGTAGTCTACTATTAAGTTATGGGCTATTGTTATTAAGGTTAAGTAAATTTTGTAAGATTTTAAGTTTGTAATTCACTTGTTTACTTATTTATATCTGATTGAGGGGGATTCAATTTAGGAATTTGAATTTTAAAAGAAAATGTAGATTTTGTGGAATCTTATTTTTAGATAGGTTCATAAATATTTAATGGTTATGGAGGAGGCTCTTAAAACTTAATTTTTTCTTGACTTTAACTGACTTCATTTGATGGCATTCTAGGAATTGATAGTTTAAATGTATGCGGAGCAGGTTCATTTATTTCTTTTTTTTGATTTTTACTTTCAAATTAAATATCTTGAAAGTTTTATGATTCATTTTTAAAACTTGTGTTTGAATCTATGTATGGTTGATCATCATCATGAATTGATGATGATATAATTTTTATTTTGTTTACTACAAATTCATTCTATGGTTTAGTTGGGAATTAGGTATTATTTGTATAAAATTTAGATTCATTTTTTTGGAAACGAGGTTTTCTTCCTAATTAATCTTCTTTTAATGAAGCAGGTTCTTTTTTTTTATTTTTTCTTTATTCAATTGAATCCAATTTATTCATTTCTACCTTTAATTAATAATCATCTGGAATCCCAAGCTAAATACGAATTTCATTTAATTTATTCCATCGAGTATTAAAACATTATTCGAATTTAGAACAAGTTTTTAAGATTGTGTGGTTAGGATCTGTATTAAATTTTCTACAATTTTTTATTATTTTATCTATTTATTCTTTTATTTCATTTAGTGTCCTATATGCACCATCCTTATATTTTGTTGTCAAAGTACTCAAATCCATTGGATCTGTTATAATTTAATAATAATCTGGGCATTTAAATAGATGTATATCAACTGGAAATCGGAATGCTTCACTACATTCTAACTTATATAAATCAAGCAAAGTTTCATAAATATGCTCTTCTAATCCGTATTCTTTTTTTGATGACATAAAAAATTTTATATATATTTAATTAAATAAACTAAAAAAAATTTTTTATTTATTTCTTTAAATATATTTTATCAAAAATCCCTATTTAATAATAAACAGGGAAGCTATTGACTTTTTTTATCAGATATCATTTAACGATATCCAAAAAAAAAGAATAGCAAGATCAATAATTTCAACATCAATATAAAAAATATATCAATGACAACAATTTAAATTTAAAAAAAAAAATTTTACTTTTAAAGCTTATTGTTAAAGATTGTAATTTAAATACTATTATTATTAAATATCAATTCTTAATAATTATTTTCTTTGTTGTTTATCTCGTTTTTTTTTGGAATTTTTTCAGTTTATAACAATAAAAACCATTATTATGATTACCTCTAGATGAAATAATTCTAATTAAAAACTTTTCTAAGTAAAGAAAGAATCAAAAAAATTTTTATTGTAATTAAAAGTCAGAATTAACAAGAATAATCCGTTAAAAAATTTTTAAGTATTATATATAGTTCTCAATAGTATGTGATTAAATTGGAGTCTCATAACCTTTAAAATTTAGAGTTTTACTAATCTTTATCTTACTTTTCCTTTTTTTTGTTAGTATTCTTTGCAATTTCTTATCTGTTCTCTAAATTTTAAGATGCAAATCTATGATTCTCTTTTTCCGATTAACAAATATCTTAATATTTATGGTTAGTATTAGCAGATTTAAAGACTTTAGTCATTCCAGCTATAAGTGAGACAGTCTATTGCATTTTAATTAAAAATAATAAAAATATATCGTTAAAAATTGATATACTTTGATAATTAATTCTATCAAAAGCTTAAAGAAATAAAAATTATTCTTAAAATCTGAAATATTAATATCTAGAAATAAATATTGATAAAAGGAGGATGATAAATGTAAGAATTTTAAAATTAATATATTGTATTTATTAAATGAATATTCAAAAAACTTCATATAAAAAGGTTGATAAGGATAGCTAGACCAAGAATGGTTCCTGATGAAGCTGAATCACATTTTCCTTTACTATAAGAAGTTGTAGATGAATCTAAGCAAGCTTAGCATTCGTTCGAATATTCTTTTTTGCAAACAGTATCATTGCATTTCTATGAAGCACACACTTCATTGACATTATCATCACAATTTGTTGGTCTGGTTATACTGCATTCATATTCAACATTGCCTCCAGTTAAATCTTTAGTTTCAGTACCTGAGTCATCTGCTAAATTGGATTGATAAATTAATCTTAAGATAGAATGAAATTTATACTAATATTTTGAACAGGACTACTATACATAACCAACAACATTTTTATTTGAACATGCCTAACAACCACTTCCAGTCAAACTCATACATGAATCTGAATAACATGGAAACTCAGTAAAAGCACATGTATCTGTATAAATCATAGTACACATTTCAGGTCTAGGTTCTTAACACTTAATATAATCACTCTATGAAGGTTGTGGTTAAGGTTATCTAGATTAAAATTAATATTATAGATACTCTTATGGCATCTAATTGCAATCTCCAAAGAAATATGTATCAACATTTGCATTTCCACAAGCGAAGCATTCATTACTAAATGTTTATCCACAAGGAGCCTTGATACATTAAATGTTACTGTTGAATAGACCACATGTTTGTTTGTAACTAAAATATTATTACAAATAAATTTACTATTCTGGGCAAATTGGATTCTCTACTTTTGGTCCATCACATTTAAAAATTTAAGATGAAGTTGAAGAGGAAGTTGAAGAATTACTGTTAGTATTTGTTGAAGTAGATGTTTCAGGAGGTGAAGGAGAAACAATTTACACAAGACATGGTTCTGATTTGTAATAAACGACATTCTTGGCTCTACAGGCAAAACAAGAATTCTCGAAGGTTCCTTGTTACTTCAAATATAAAATATATGCTTACGTAATCTTCAGAAGAGTAACCACAAACTGGAATATATTCTTTTGTGCAGGATACAGTTGTATCTATATTTATTGGGCATTTAATGTCTTCTGTTAAGGCCAACATTATAATGGCAAATAATAACAAATTTTTCATTTATTTTTTAAAGTAAATTATTAATTAATAAGAACAAACTTTATAAAATTAAATACCAAAACTTTCACTATTTTTAGTGATTCAAAATTTTTCATTTTATTCAACTCATTAATATCTAATATTCAACAAATTATATTTGTGTATTGTAAAATTATTTATCATTTAAGTAACATGATAGTTGATTTAGCTATAAAATAATCATATTTCAATGACAGTATAACAAATTGATCATTTAAATGCAATCTCTATACTACTTTTTTTTTATTTAAAATTGTTGTTTTGAAAACTTAAATCTAATTTATGAAGTTTAACTTCAACAATTAATAGCGATAAAAAAAAAATGCAATTTAACAAGAAGTTATTAATTTAAAATTGTGTAACAAACTTTTAAAAAGTACTTTATGGTTTTGATTGATGAAATTTATTTATAATAACTATTTTTATTATTTCTAAACTGTTAATGATGATAAAAAAGTATTTGAATTTAATTTTATTTGAATAAGTCTATGTAGGCCTTTATAAAAAAATTAAACCTACTTAAAAAAAAACTTTAAGTAAGGTAATAGAATTTTTATATATTTTGAATAAATTCATGGCATATAAATAAATCTATTTTAAAATTTATGTATTTTATTATTTTCTTTTTATATATGTGAAAAGAAAATGATAGTTGTAATTTGAAAGAAAGAAGTTTATACTAAATATAATTGTTGGATATATTTGAAAGTTGTAATCAAATAGGATTTTAAAGTTATTTTGAGAGATGTGAGGTACTTTTAATGACAAATTTGAAAGAGTAGATGAAGTGAAATGAAAAAAATAATAAAAATACATTGAATGAAAGTTGAAAATATAAAGAAATGTTATATAATATTTAGTATATGAGTGATATTTTGGTTGATGAATAAAAATTATATATTAAATTTAAAAATGGACGTATTTTCAATTTTAAATGATGTGGCTGACTGTGGTAATGTTACTTAGCAACATATTCACAATTTGCATGTGAGTTTCTTGGGAGACACATAGTAATTAGAATTTATAATTTTTATAGATAGTTTACAAAATAATTAGAATGTTGTTATTTAAAAATAATAAAGAACTTTAATGGTACTTCGAAATAGCATAGAAAGTTATTTGAGAATGTTACTGAAAAATTTGTAACATTAATGATAAAAAAATGGAATGAATCAGCACTTCCCGCCTAAAAGACTCGAAAATAAATTAGCACAGATAATACTAGAAGGTTTATTGAATTATAAGTATAATAGTTTCCTGCTCTATTTAATGTAATTGTTTGCAGAAGGTTTGGACTCATAAAATTTTGCAACGAGAATATGTTGTGGAAGACATTTGTTTATGATATTGAGATGTATTCCACCTTAGTTATTGAATTAGTTGGTGGATGAAAAAACAGCATATGACATGCTGAATCACACAGTAGGTTTATTCAAGAATACAAAATTATAAAAGACAGGGAAAACATAAAAAGGTTTGGCTGTAAAATTAGGTTCTTATTTATAACATATAGCTTTCGAGGAAAGAAAATAAAATAAATTAAAATAAGCAATAGTAGCATTAAAATATGAGATGGTGAGAACTATTTGTGAAGATGATAAAAAAGAGTTAAGATTAGATGCATTGACAAATACAGAATTAAATGATTCAACACTTCCATTTATAATAATTCGAATAAGAGATACAGATGTAGATGTGAGATTATAGGTTTTTAAGAAACTAATGAAAAATCATTTTTCAATTTAATAATTATCGACACTAGATTTATATCAAGTGATATATGATGGTTTAAAAAATAGTAGTTAGAAGGTAGTAGAATAATGTGAATAATTCTTGTAGTAATCTTTTGGTAAATTAATTCAAGATGATTCAATAATGTAAGAGGATTCAAAATAAAAATCAGCTAGGAAATCAATGAATTTGGAGTAAGTGAATCATATTAATGAAGCAGTTAAAAGATTTTTAAATTTATTTTAAATTGAAAAGACTCTGATATTTCCTTAATTATATTCAACAATAATGGATGGTTTGAAAGCCATCTTAAAATCTGTTCATTAGGATGAATTGTCAACATATTTTAGAGATGCTTTAAGAAATTTAAGCAATTAAACAAGTGGACCAGAAATCTCATTTATTAAAGTATTATGTCAAATGTCACAAGATGCAGAGTTGAAAGCATAATTATAATAATAGATGAATTTGATAGTCGATCATAATTTTCCAGAAGGGACATAATTTGCAAATATTTTTAATTAAGATTTGGATCTATTATAATATTATGAATTATTATAATTGGCATAATTACTAATTAATTAAGAAGAGATAGGAAGAACAAAACTTTTAGATTAAATGATGTTATTCATAAGTAAATACAGAAAATTAGAATGTTAGAGATTACATAATTAAAAATTCAATGAAATTTATGAAGATAAGAGTGATCAGGAATTAGAGAGTAGATGGTTTGCATAACATCATTTTGAAATGCCTATAATAAAAAGTTATTATGAATTAATGATTCCATCAATAAAGGTAATTAAACTTTTAGTTTCTTCTTAAGATTAAATGGCAGAGTAAGTATTCAAAGTAATTTAAGATTTGTAGAAATAAATAATGGTAGAGAATATTTAATAATTAGAATAAACACTTTAAGTTAGAAAAGAAGAAAGAGAAAATTTAGAATAAGAAAAAGAATCTTTATTGAAGAAAAAGAAATAAAATTTATAGTCATTATAATTAAATGAGTAACTTATAGATTAAAATGAGAAAGCTATGTAATAAATTCTTAATGAATTAAATTAAATAAAGTAATTGAATAAAAATATAGATATTCATTGTTTATATTTATTGGATGCTTTATTTAATTAATTTGATATAGCAAAAATAGAAGATAGAATATTTATAAGATTAAAAAATATAATAACAACAATTAGTGAGAAATATAAAAGTGGAGAAGATTGTTTGGCCAAAAAACTAAGTTTTAGATGTTTAGGATATATTCCATTATTTGGAATTGATGTTGGAGGATCTACAATTGCAACATTAGCTAGAATATTAGATTAATATATTCCAACATAAAAAAATAATGATAACCCAATGACAATAACAGCATTAAGAAGTATTTTAGATGCACTTTTAATGTATGATGATGATTAGGCTTGGGTTATTGATTCAGAGACTTATGGTAAATAAAAGATATTATAAATAATAATGAAATTTGCCTATAAAGCAGAAGGAGTAATATAGGCTATTGCTTTAGAAGGATTATGTAAGTTATTAATACATGATAAAATTTAAAAGCCTTAAGTTTGGATAGCATAATTCTTGTTTTTATGGTTTGATGTAAGATTACGCTCTTAATAATTACCATTGTAAATAGTTACTAGTTTTCTTAAACTTTATATTACATCTTCTTTGTAATTCTTAAGAATTTTCGAAAAGGGATTGGAATTGTATTTTAGCATATGTTGTTATTTACATTATGTTAAAGATTAGATTCTGAATCCAGAATTATTTGAAACGTAATAATGGCAAGAGAATTCATTAATATAAGCAGCAAGTGCAGGAATAAAAATGATGAGTTATAAAATAACTGGTTAAAAATCTAATCCTTCTCTAGGTGAATTCAAAGATATTTTAGAATCAAGGTCATTAGAATCTGATTTTATTGGACCTTAAGAAAGATTTATTATGTATCTATGTAAATTAGTCAGTGATCATAATAATATTATACTTTAAAAAGTTATTACTTAAGTTACAAAATAAGCAGATTTTTTAGAAATGTACGATATCAAAGAAGATGATAATAATAAATTGAAACCAAAATAATCTTTCTACTAAAGTTTAATAATCAGTTTAGAATTATGTATTGAAAGATTAGAAAAAGCAAATGCTGATGTTAAAAATGAGAATAATTTCTTAAAAGTTTTATAAGAGGAAGTTGGAATTTAAGGACAGGATGAAGGATAAACATTAAGAGATGCTATTATGAAAGATTTTGAATAATAAAGAGAAGATGCTAATAATTTAGTTAAAGATTTAAAAAAATAAGGAATCATTATTTAAGGTTTAAAATAAAAAGAACAAGTCTAAGTTGAAGATAATTATGAAGGTAAATATATCTTTATATTTATTTAGGTGAATCAGATTCTGATGATGGAATTAAAAAGAAGAGAAAACATTCAAGTGATTCAGAAATTCCAACTAGAAAAGGAGGAAATAAAAAAAGAAGATGAATTATAATTAATTATTAATTATGTCACAAATTAATTTAAATATATAAAGTCCTCCTAATCCTAGAATTTATTCTAATTATATCAGCAGTAAATGTGAGTCAGCTTCAAGATTTTCAGAAATCTCTGATGATAGTCATAAAAAAATGATTGAATGCAATTAAAATAAAACTGACCCTAAATTATCATATGAAAGCAATACATTTAAAAATTTTAAATCTGAAAGTCATTGGACTAAATCAAATATTTTAAAGGCTCTAAAAGCTGATAGAATTAAATAACGATTTGTTAATAATATTTTTACAAATTCATATGTTTTAAGATAGAGTAAAAAATAACTTGTTCATGATAAATATATTTCAAAAAGAATCAAATAGCCAATTTTAGGTATTTTAAATCATTATTATTTTTAGAATTATATTCTCATTCACAAATACCAGTTATTTAACCAACCAGTGGATTTGTAATATTATGGGATATCTTTGGTACTATTATCAATTTGATGATTCTATGGTTAACTCCATTTCTATTAACTTTTTAATAATAATCAGATTAAATCTCTTTTTCTACTATTTAATTATTGATTATTGTATTTTTAATTACTGATATTTTTGTAACCTTAAATAAAGGAATCATAATCTAAGGGATTTTAATTTAAAAGAGAAAAAAATTGATATCAAATTATCTATAAACTTAAGCTGCAAATGACTCTATAAATTTAATTCTTTAGATTATAATTTATTATGATATGATCTCCTATCCTATCTTGGGTGAATGCCTTACTTTTTTTTAGATGATTTTTGCTTATAAGAAAATTCGCAGATATTTAGCTGATTATTTTTTATTTGCTTTTTTTAAAGGAACATCAAGTTTCTTAATAGATTTATTACGTTTGATTTTTTCAATCTATTTTTTTGCACATATTGTTGCTTGCTTTTGGCTTTATATAGGAATAAAATCAGAAGATACATCATGGCTTATCAAATATTAATTAATAAATGAATCTATTTGGAAATAATATAATTATTCCTTCTATTGGGCTACTATGACTATGACAACAGTTGGATATGGTGACATAACTGCTCAGAGTTAATTAGAAATTATTTATGTTGATATAATTATGTTTTTATCAAGTGGAGTTTTTGCCTATTCTATGAATGCTATTGGAATGATTTTGAAAAACCTTTAAGATTCTTAAACCAAATATAAAAGATCTTTATTATAAATAAATACCTACATGTGTAAGAATCAAGTGGATCCTTAAATTTAGAGTAGAATTAGAAATTACCTCAAATATTATATTGAATAAGAACAAAATGAAAATTAAGAAGATGTTAATAATTTAATCTCTTTACTACCTTAGAACCTACAACAAGATTTAAATACTGATATCTAAATGAAAGTGATAAATAAAGATAAATGTCTTATTAGTCATTTTTCTAAAAGAACTTAATAATTATTATCACAAAAATTATAATCAATAAAATTCACCCCTGGTGACATTATATTTAAAAAAGGTGAAAATTATAATAACAATCTTTACTTTATTAAGGAGGGAGAAGTTGATATAATTGATGAATAAAGTAAGATGAAATTTACTAGATAAAACCTAAATTAACCTTTTGGAATATATTAATTTTTTACTAATTTTCCTCCAAAAACTTCAGCTCTAAGTGTTGGTTTTACAAACATTTATAAAATAAGCAGGTAAGATTTTCTAGATATACTTTAATTTGACAGAAAAGATTTTGAAAAATTTCACTATATAAAGGATTAAATAATTTTTAATTAAAATTATAGGATATTTGATTTGAAATGTCAATATTGTGATAGATATAATCATTAAGAAATAGATTGTCCAATACTAACTTATAAACCAGATTTAGAATAAAGATTCTTGAAAAGGAAACAATAAATAAATTAATCAAATAGATTGAATAGGATTTAAATATTGAGAGATGGAAATAAAATAAAGAGTCTGTTATATTAAAAAACTATTTAATAATAGGTTAATGATTATTTAGAAGGAAATTATGGTTTTGATGAATCTAATACCTTATAAGTAGCCATAGAAACAGAAAAATAAAGAAGTACCAGTTTATTCTGCTCTGAACTAAAGCTTGAACATAAGAAAACTTCAGGGGTAGTATTAGATGATGGAGATTATGAATAAGCAAGATAACTATTAGGAGAAAGTCCTTAAAAAAAGATGATAGTTATAGTTGATTAATTAGAATAAGATATGCCAGTTTTAAAGCTAGAGAAAAAAATATCGAATAAATCTTTAAGGATGATAGATGAAATTGCAAACAAATGGTTTCACATTACATTTTAATGTGATTAATGTTAGTCTTATGAAAATTACTTTCCATCAGGAAATATATTATCTATTATTTAACAAATAGAAAAGAAAAATCATAAATAAGTTTAAAAATATTTCTAGAGTAACAACAAATATACATTTTATTATGGAGTAAAATTAAAAGCACTAAAACTAAGACTTTTTTATACAAAAACTCTAAATAATGAATGACTTATAATAATAAAATATATAAATTACAGTTCATTTAAGATGTTTAGGAAAGTTTTAAAAAGACAATTATTTTATTTACAAATCTAATTCTTCAGCCCTTGTTAGTTTTTTGAAAGGTTGTACAGGAGTGATTTAATGTAATGAAAAATATTACTTATTTAAAATGGATTGTGGTTATTGTTCTTCTTTTTATAATTCCTAATCATTTTTTTATTCATGGGTTCTATATTCAGCTGTCAATTAACGAATTTGATTTTAGTTAAATTCAGCTATATTGACAGTAAATTCAACATATCCATTAAGATTTACACCACCAAAATAAAGTATTTAGCTTTTATATGCAATAGCAGTATGTGCTGCTCTTGGTCTAGGAATAGTTCCATATATATCCAATTAAACCCATTCTTTATCTAAAATTTTGAATGCAAATAAATCATTAAAATATGGGTTTGTTTTTTAATCATCTCTACCTCCAAAAATAATAATTATACTCATATCCTATAAATAAGAAGCAGTATGTTAAATTCTTGGTTATGGTGGTTTACCGGTAGTTTCAGGTATAATCCAATTATTAAAGGGTTAATCAAATTTGAGAATGGTTACAAAATTACTATAATATTGTGTATTTTTATTTTCATCAATAAAACATCCACCAAAACAATAGACTCCTTCATAATCTTAAGTTTTCAATTGTTTAGAGCGCATTTCCTTCTTTTCAAAAGCATATTAAGGTTTGTTATATACACATACTAATTATTAAAAAGCTAATCCTTTAATGAAAGGATTCTTTTAAGTTTCAATTGGAGTCCATTTACATAAACCTAAATTATTTATTTAAATACTTAGATTTAAATAATGAAGATCATTAAATACTGAAAATCTACTTCTAATACCTCCCATAACTAATAAACCACGACCAATTATACAACTACCAAAAGAGCGTCTGCTTTCTGGAATGTTTTCTATATTAGGTTTAAGTTATTGCCATGTTTCATTTTCAATATCATAGATTCTTGTGTCACTTAAATTTTCTCTTATTTTTAAAGCAGAATTAAATTGCATTTCTCCTCCATAAATAATCAATTATTTTCCATTGATTGAACTTTGTTATAAATTATCATAAGAAAATTGAGAACATAATAACATAGGATAACCAATACAATGCATACAGTGTCCATATCTATTTAAAGGAATATCTCCTTTTTACTTAAGTTCTCTAAATTTCCCAAATTATATTTCATATTCTATCATATCCCCAAAAACTTCACTTCCTATTCCACCAAAAATATAAATTTTCTTTTAGTAGTCTGCTGCCATTGTATTTTCTCTAACTGTTGGTATCCATGTATGTTCAAGTTTGGTGAAAAAGGCGCCATTATAAAACATAGGAAATGATACTTTTTTCTTAATTTATTGTTATTGATTTGTTTAAACAATTTTCTCTAAATTCTGAAATGGTTCAACTCTATGAGGTATCCTCTTGACATATTTTTGCATTCTTGTCATCGTTCTCATTTTTTTCTTAATTATAAGTATATAAATTACAATTAATGTTTCTTAGACTTCCTGATATTCATACTTTTATCTGTACAGAGTTTTACCTAATAATTAAACTATTTTCTTATTCTAACTTAAATCATTTTAAATGCTTGAATTCAAATGAGACGATGAATCAACTGAATTGTGAGGCAAAGGAAACTTTGGGTTTTATTCATTTAAAGATCTAAAACTGATAAATTAGGCATCTCCTGATTAAACAGTAATCTAAATGAATAGTGTAATAATTACATTAACTCCAAATTTTTCGATAGTTCCTCTATTAGTAGATGATAAATCTAAAGTAGGAAGTTTTTATTGACTTTATACTCGATTTCTCTCAATCATTAATAAAATAATTCAAATAAATACAAATTTAATCTCATATAATATTAATAAAAGATTGTTTAAAATATGATATTAATAAGATATGAACATAGAAAGAAATCAAATAGGATATAAGAATAAAATATAGATTAATATTAATGTGCTAAATAGCTCTTTAAATTATTAAAATTGTAAAAAAGAAAATATAAAACCTTTAATAAATTAAAAGAGTTAATGCTATAATAATAGTTGTTGTATTTTAAGATGATATATTTTTTGCACTAATTGGAAGATGTTTGATTGCAGTGGAAATCAGCATGTTTATGGGAAGAATCGCAGGATTTAGTGGAATATACTATAAAGTTGTTTTAAAAAGTTCTGTTATATTGGCATCTTGTATAATGTTTAAAATTTATGATAATGGATATTTCATCATAAAAACATCAATTTTGAAAGAGCATCTCCTTCATTTAACACAGAATAAATATTTATTAGTCTTAGTTTGAAAGGATTTGTAATATTGAGTTTTTAAAAAAAAATAAGAAATACATTTATGTAGGTTACTCATATTAGAAAGAGATCTTTTGGAACTTTTTTGTATTTTTTAGAATCAATAAATAAAGACTTTTATATATTGTTTTTAAAGTATTATTCAAGAGGAGAACTCTTCATTTTGTTGTTCTTCTCAATTCTTTTAACCAAAAATGCTTTTAAAGAGTGGTCATTTATTTAAATAAATTTATATTGTCTAAGGATACTATTCTCTGGATTAATAAATGGATTAATTCCTTTTTATTCAAGAAACATTGATGAAATAAATTAGAGAATATTACATTTTAAAGTAACTTATCCTCTCAACTTCAATAAGACATCTTCTAATTAATCTATTAGCTTAAACTTATAAGGACAGAATTGATTCAATTGATGCTTTATTAAATCCTCCAAAGTTGACTTAAATTGGTTATTAAAATTAATATAGAGATATCTAATGAAGAAAATTTCGACCTCTTTTCATATTACTGATTATTTCAGTTTCAATTTCAATGAAAAAAGAGTTTGGAAAAGGAGAATGTGAATTTTTAGCATTTATTAAAGCTTTTCAATAAAACATTCATGAAAAATACTTTCTACTTTTTAAAATTTCAAAATGAACTAGAGAACAAAAATAATATCCAATTTGAATTCAAATTAAACTCAATAATAAATATATTTTCCTTAATAATTTTACTTAATCCAAAATTTTATTAAAATTTTGTATTTCCTCATATTAAATTATCTTAAGATGTAAGCAAATAGAATAATTAATTAATCGAATATATACATATTTTGAAAATTCATACTTCATCACATGAATCTGCAGTTTTTATATTTACTCCTATGACATCCTATTAATTTTATTATTCACTTTTCTTCTATTAATCATATAGTTAACTTTATTAGAATGCGTGAAAATAACTTTAATTATTATTTTATGCTAATGATGCTGGTCCATAAAAATTTGGAATAAACCAATAATTATTTAATTATTAAGAAGGAGCTAATAAATTTTATTAATTTAAATAGAACAAGTTTGATTAATTGGAGAAAGAAGCCTATTTTTAATCATTCTTTTTCTCATTAATATCAATATTAACTTTCTTTATAATTTTATTAAGTATGATATTTTCGAAATCTAAAACATTATATGGAGTTAAGTAGATTTTATTCTATCGTTTATTAAAAATTACTATGCTGCTATTTTCGTTTTTTATTTAAAATTTAGAATCGACTTTTTAGAGATTTAATTTCTTCCTATATTAAAAATTTAGAAGTTATCCTTCTTTTTCTTCAAAAATCTCATCCAAAAAATAATCAAAAGATTCATCATTATTAATAATTTTAGCTTCAGCAATATTTCCTAATTGTAAATGTTGTTCCACATATAAATTTTTAATAGCTAAAAGAATAAATTGGCATTCGTAATTATCAATTTCTTCAATTGGAGGAATTATACCAAATTATTTAGCATAATTTTGTCTTAAAATTTAAACTTTTTCAAATAAAATTGGATTAATAGAATCAAACTTTTATTTTTATATTTCTCTTTTGATTAAAGAATTATATTTGTTTTTTAAGCTATTCTCTGATCTTGCTTTTCCATATAAAATTGATAATTCAGACCATTTCTTACCTCTAATTAATATCAACTTTAATAGATTGATTTCTTATTATTTATCCCAAGGCACACTAATTTAATAATTTTATACTTTATTATTTTTGGATCTACTCTATTTATCCATCTCTCTCTGCATTATTTTGGTTATCTAAATACTTTATTAGAAGATCTTTTGAACATTTCATTTGCTATTTATGACCACTTATTCTCTCTGCCCATCTTTTTGAAATCTCTAACTATCAATTAATATTCTTACTCATGAACCTCAAATAACAACTCATCTTCTTATTAAGTCCAAGGTATTAAGGATAATGGAACTCTATATCTTTATTCCCATTTCTATCTGCATTGATGTGCATTCCTTCCTATTACTATTTTAGAAATTTCTCTCCATTCTTCTTATTTCTGTCAAATTAATAAATCATTTACTAATTATCTATTGTCCTTCATTCCTGTAAATATACAATAACGGATTACTATCCAATATAATAACTTTTTTTCAGGTTCACTCCACTTTATTGATTTCTTTCTCTTGTTTTACCTTACAAAATTAAAAATTACAATACATATTAAGTTTAAACAGTATAATAGCCTATTCAGCTGTAGGCCAATCTTTAAAATTTAATCGTAGATTTTCACCAACTTTAGATAGCATTTCAAAATTTTCTTATATAAAAGAAGTTTTTTCAATAAAATGATAGAACTCTTTGATTTAAATCCCACGGGAAACCACTAAAAAACCTATTATTATAGCTTTACCCTTCAAATCCTCCATTTCAAAATTGCTTTACGTGTTATGATCAATATAATTTTTAGTATTTTTCTAGGTATTCATTTTATTATTTAATACTGAATAGAAACATAATATTACTATAGCAAATATATACTATATATATCATTCAGCCTTCTCTTTGTGTTTTAAAACAATTAGTTTCATATTTTACAAAAAGAATCAAATTATTTACATCATTCTAGAAAATTTTTAATCTGAAAAGGAATTATAAGTTACGAATATAAAGTTATTAAATCGATAATTAAAAAGAGTTTAATAGTACTAATAAATTTATAATATAAGTATAATTAATAATATAAAAATTATATCCAACTCATTTTTAAGGACGTTTTTCTACAATAGCATAGAATTTGTAAATAAAAATTGATTAATCAAATCAAAACAAATTTAGTATTGCATAGAACGATTTTATGTATTTTTTCATTATTTTCTATAAAAATCAAATTTAACAATTTGTTTTTTAATAGAAATTGATTAAAATTCACTTATATTCTTTAGAATGATTAATACAATATTTATATTTATATAATATTTATTAATGTTCATAAAATAGTTGATTTGAGGTTTGTTTCATTCTAATTCACTCATTGGCATTTAAATTGAAGTTTAGATAAGTAATTTTGATTCTTTATACAAAATAATTTTAATCGTATCACTTATACCATTTTAATGAATATTTGTGAAATAACAATCAAAACTTTTTTAGTATTTAGGTATCAAATATGATAATTAATTGATTAATTAAAATGGTTAATAAATATCTGAATTGTATACATAATTAATGTAAACATCCTTAATGGGTTGATTACTTATGTTTTCTACAACACAGCATAACTTAAATTTAGGTCCTAATCCTTCTACAATTGAAGAGATTTTTAATGGATTATTTTAATTTAATTGAGGTGCTAATTCTTAATTAGACAATATGTTTAAATATGTTGATGCAGTTTTATATCTCATCCTCAATAAATCAAATTAATAAGTTCTTAACATATCAGGTCCTTATTCTCTCTCTCTTTAAAATTATTCAATAAATAAATTAGTGATTGGTGGAAATTCAATTGGTTTTACAATTTCTTTTTCTAAAATAGCTTACTTCTTTCTTTCAAATTCTCTAGATAAAGTTCTTGTTTCAAGAGCGCCTTTTAAATTGATAGTTATAAGAAATCCATCTTAACTAACTCCAAAGAAACCGAATTTCATTACTGAAACATTGTTCTAAATTAATTAAAATATTTCTTACATCTAAATTAATTATAGACATTAATTGAGTATCTTTATAGAATTAGATAGTTTTATTTTCAATAGCAATCAGCAATCCTTTAGTTTCTTATCCTTTGCCTGAAGTGACAGTTTCTATGGCTAAGATATTATGTTGCATCTACAACTAATATTATTTTTATTTATGTTAATAGTTTTGTACAACCCTATCCATAGTTGCTATGTATAAACATCTTTATTATCTAATCATTGAGATTGGTTTAGATTATAAATCAATTGTAAATGGTTCAATATCATTGCCAATAAAATAAACACAATTTTCCCTAACTAATATTGCTATTCGACCATCCTTTTGTTCTTCAGAAAATATACAAATTGAAATAGGAACTCCAGGTATTTCATACTAAATAATATTAATTATATTATATTTACTTTTTTTTAAATTTATGTAATTTCTTAATTATATATGTATATGAATTATAATTCTGTTCCTACAATTAATTATCCTTATGATTTATCTTCATCAGCATTTTTTTTAAGTACACTCATACAAGTGATTGAATCTTCGATATAAAGAGAATCGCAATATTTTTCTGCTAATTCTTATTGTTTTGATTAATCATAATAACATAATAACTCTAAAGACTTGTATGATAAATTTGAATTTTATTATTGTAAATTCTTTAAGTCTTTGATAAGAGTTTGTAAATTCCTATCACTTTAATATTATTTCCAAATATCTGATTCTTCTTGTTTTAATTGAATATTAGGAATAGACTATTTGTAAAATGCCTTAAAAATTTTGTAATTATATATGGTATTTCCACAACAAATACTAATACATGGTTAACCTGATGTATCACCATAGAAATATGTTAAACAAACAGGTTTGTCTGATAATCTAGTTTCCCATGCAATATTTGTATTCCTATATGATACAAGTCTTTAATTTTGATCTGCAACCACCAAATTATATTAGCCATTTCCTTAGACATCTATCATCTCCATACAATTTTAGGTGACTTTTAAATTTGCTACCAAATCACACCATCCTTAAATCCAATAACCTTATTTCATATAAAATTAAACAATTATAAAATATCCTTTACTATACACTATTAATGGAGTACTCTTTAATTCGATTATTTTATAATTTCTGAAAATTGAATAATGGATGATTTTTTCATGAAATTTAAAGATTTTTTCGATAAAGTAAAAGACATTACAAATGTGAGATTCACTTATATGAAAGAGCTATATAATCTAGGATTAGAGTAATTTCCAGATAATTATGAAATTCAGAACATTCAAAAGAACAACTAGGCAAGTATCCAGTAAGGTGCAAATAAACTAAAGAAGAACTGGACTGATGATGATAAAAAAGTGTTAATTTGGTTAGTTGGAAAATACTTAGCTTTTTATAAGAGAGATTTCAAGCAGATTGTATTGAATTAATTCATATTAATTATATAGAGTGAATCTGATTGGATTAACATATCTTAAATGATGTAAAGAAGAGATGCCTTTCATTGCAAATAAAAGTGGCTTCAAATGTTGAGATTACCTCTACAATAAGCTCCTTGGACTAAATAAGAAGATGATGCACTTCTATTAATTATTCAAGAATATTAGAAATTAAATAAAGGAAATAAATGGAGTTAGATAGCTACCTCTCTTAATAAACATACTGATTCTATTGTTCATAGAAATGGGAAATAGTGTAGAGAAAGATGGAATAATCATTTAAATCCATCTATTAATAGGTAATTATATTCTTAATATTAAGAAAACCTTGGTAATTATCTGAAGATTTAGAGCTTATGAAATTGGCCATTTTAAATGGAAAAAAATGGGCTTAAATTTCAAAACAGTTAAAGTTACAGAGAAGTGAAAATAATGTAAAAAATAGATTTAACTGTCTAATAAGAAAAGAAAAAAATACTAAAGTTTAAACTTTATCTAATTAAGAAAGTTATTGTGAACCATAAGATTCTTTTTTATCTGATCCTTCTGCTGAAGAATTAAGTTTAGAAGAACAAAGAAATATTAATTAAATTATCAAAAAAATTGAATGGAGAATGAAATAAGATGGAGAAGATCCTTATGATATTAAATAAGAAGATTTTGATTAAGTTTCTAAGAAGATTTCATCTCTCCGTTAAGAAAAAAACAATTATACATCATAATAACAAGAAGAATAAAAATAAACTAATAAAAATATATCTATTTAAAATATTGATAATAATAATGATAATGATAACTAACCTTTAGAAAATATAAATAATAAATAGTAATAATAAACTACATTAACATTATAAATTATGGATTTTACTTAAATTTCTTAGGAGGAATCTTTATAACTCTAATCATGTTTAATTAATAGAGAAAAAAATAGAATCTATTTTACAACTCAAGAATAAATTACTTAATTTTTCAAGAATATTTAATAAAATAATCTTAACAAAGATGCTATATAAAATTAAGGATTATATGGAAATTTAAGTAATCCCAGTCTACCTCCTAGTTATAATAATCTCTTAAGTAATATAATGTTGAATTAAAATGTTGAAGATCCCATGTAATAAAATTAATTGTCTCACCAAGAAAACCAACATAGTTTGAATTCTTACTTTCCAATTTATCAATTCAATAATTATTAATAATAATGTTAAGGAGCTGCTTAGAATATAACATAAAGGTCTGTCTTAAATTTTCCACCTAATTTAAATACTCATAATTTTTAGTAAGTACCTAATTATCTTGCAGGATTTAATTATCATGTTGCTTGCTATCCTTAATCATAATATAATTAAACTTTGTAAAATAGTGATAAAACATAAGGATGAAGTTAATTTTTCAATTTATAAATTTAATTAATTATTTTTGATTTTCAAAGTAGTTTAACTATCTTAGACTAATTCTCTCTAGAAACAAATTCACTGATATTTAATAATTATAAATATTAATAACTATTAACATTAAAAGTTATGTTAACATTCAACTTTAAATAGTTCTTCTAATACTTTCTGTCTTCTATTACAATGCAACGTCTGTAGTAAATTTACATAATTGTTGCTATTATAATAGTAATATAAATTACCGATTGGTTAGCACTTATACTAAAATTTTTATATTCATTTTTTTTCATTACATCTTCATCTTAACTAAATGTATCTGTTCTTTTATTAGTAAAGGTTGACTATTATTAATAAGTTAGTTTTTGTATTTGTTGATGTTGTAAATCATTACTATTAAATTCGAATAATGTGAAAAATGATTTTGGAGATAAAAATCCTGATCCACTTGGAATGATAGGAGGTCTATAAGTTTAAGATAATTTGTTTTAGAGTTCATTTTTTTATTATTTATGAATCAGTTAGAGTAATTAAATTTCTTTTTCTTATCTTTATTCAAGATCTAATAAGGTTTCATCATTTTGAGTTAACTAAATAAAATGAATAAAACTCTTACATAGTATTCTCTATAGCATTTATTAAATTGAAGTTCAAGAGAGTAATCATCCTTAGTATCGATGCTTAATTTGTTGAATTTAATGTCACTTTACTTCGTTGAATTAGGATTGATTTCTTGTAATACATAATTGGAATTAATCTTATTAGATGGATTGTTAGTTATAATTTAATTATTCGTTCCTTTTTATTCACTTACATTTTTAGAAGGAATATATTTTAAAACAGAGGAATCTAAATATATAGAGATATATTATACTTTTACTATCATTCATAATTTGAACAATCATAGATTCATTTATTGAGACAGGTGAATTATCATCATCACATAAAGTAGAGAGAAAGTATTAATTCAATAATTAAGTAGCTGTAGGTCTTTCATCCGGTGGTTTGAGACATCTATAAATTAAATTATACAATTACTCTAATATTATCATCTTAATTTTTTCATTTTGAATTGCCTCTATACTTTAAGGTTTTTAATTTTCCATAATTTTTTTAATGATTTATCCTGTGCCTCCTTTACATTCACTAAAAGGTTTCAAACCTGTTATCATTTCTAAAATACACAATCCAAATGCATAAATATCCACTTTTGTATTATAATTGCCATTATATATCTCTGGAGCCATAAATTCAGGAGTACCTAAAACGGAACTTGTATACTGAGATTGCATTCTCTTATTTAATAAAGAGTATTTACTAAATAGATAATCCCAGATCTCCAATTTTTAATTCATTATTGTTAGTATCAATAAAAATGTTTTCACATTTCAAATCTCTATGTATAATATTTTGTGAATGCATAAATTCTATTCCTTCAAGAATCTGTTTACACCAATAACGTATTACTTTTAATTTAGGTTTAGTAATTCTGCGAATATAACTTTAAATATAATAATTATAAAAGATTACCTTTTCAACGAACCTCCATTAACTATTTCAGTAATAAAAACTAATTCTTTTTTTGATTTACTCTACCAAGAATGTACAAATCGTATAATATTCTTATGTTATAGACTTTTCAATATTGCAATTTCCTATTTTGCTCTTCTTCTCTCATCTTTATTATTTATAATTTATACTTTCAGAAACATTCATTAATTAAAATACATTCCATGCAACTTCACATCCACTTTCATTATCATAACCTCTATAAACATTTTTGTATGCTCCTTTTCCAATCTCTTCATTATACTAAAATATTTATGATGATAAATACCTTGCAAAAACGACCTGTGGGATCATATTCAATAATCTTTGAGATCTATTCTTCCTCATCAGAAGATATAACTAAATCATCATCATTTATATTTTGTTATTCATGTTAGTTCATAACAAACAAAAAATTAAATTTCCTTAATAATGTGTATTTCTAAATCAATCAATCAAATCTTTAAATTACGTTAATTTATTGGATAAAACTATCGAATTTTAACTAACTACCTTTCTTTATAGAATTGAGCTCTATTCTCTCTATTCCCAATCTTCAACATTCTTTTATAAGATTACTATTAATTATTATTATGATATATAGACAAATAACATCAAATTTTTATTTCTTTTCTTCTCTCTGGTTCACACTCTTCTTCTAATGCTTCCAAAGTTTATAGTAAAATACATCCTAAGTATGAATTTTTAAATCCCTTAGATTTATTTAAATATTTACTTCAAATGTTATATTTGGCTTAACTATTTTTTAAATGTTAATGTATCCACTTTATTCTATGTTACCTGGATAGACTCCTAATTATTTCTTATATCTATTGATTAACCTTCCTTAATAATACAGAAGAATTCCAAAGTTATTTTATGGAAGTATACTTAATTAATATGATTCTGTCCATTCACTCAATTTATTAACAATTTTTTCATTTGTCACACAAACTTTATTTTTATTATCAATTCTACTTAATACATTAAGATTTGTATTAATTAATTGATTCTAAACATAAATTTTAAATTGTAAAGGCTCTAATGAATAATATTTGAGATATTCTTTCAAAGAGAAATCTGGATATTTAATAGCATCATCTTTTTTTAAACCATATGCTAAAGATTGATTTGAAATTATATCATCATTTATTAAACTAAGCTCGAATATTTTTTATAAGGCATGTATCCTAACCAAATCAAATATGAATATTTTTGTGTAATTATAATTGCAATTCAAAATGAAGTCTTCTTCATTTATTAAATGAGTAATAGCATTTAATAATACATACTTGCTTTCTGGAGAGTCCACTTTTCTTTCAATACCATTCGTTATTGTAATTGTATAATTATAGAAAGTTAAAGTTTCATCATTAGGATTTAATTAATTATTCATTGATATTAATCCAACATAATAATTATTCAAAGATTTATGACAAATTAAAACACTATCTCCTAATCTTAGAGATGCAATTTTAAAGTTTAAAGCATATTATTTCTTATTCAATAATTGTTACTCTTCTAAAAGTTAATTTTCCTCACTTTCATTTTTAAAATCAATCTCTTATTTACCTAATTAATTCTTTCTTTTTGAAATGTCAAAATTAAAAAGGAAATCATTCAAATCTTCCAATTCTTTAGGATCTTTCTCAAAAAGAATTAAAACAGGTATTCTATCTCTAATTTCATCAATAGTATTTTAATATTTCTTTTTCCTTTATAAGAATACATATTCAAAACTGATTTCAGAAGCTTCTGCAAATTTGACATTATCCAAGAATAGACCAAAACAAGACATAGGACACTAAATAAGTTTAGAAATTCTATATAATATTAAAGAAAAGATAGTACTCGTCAACAAAAGTTAATGATAATTTTGGCAATTTGATTGCATTATTTTCATTAGTTTTATGATATGATATTTCTTCTTCTTATTGAATACCATAAATTAATTGACAATATTTGCATACATTTTTCATTTCATCTCTTGCATATTTTTGTATATTATTTTCACTATCTTTAAGATGTAATACCATAATATCTTCCAATACTTCCCCCATACTTCTCAATCCTCCAAAAATTATAAATTAATCCTTATAAACAATACAACTATGTGAAAATCTAGGTTAGAATACTGGTGTTTTTGATTTAGGTTATAATTTACTCCATGTCTAAATATTTAATCTATTTATATACTCTCATAACTGTTTCAAATATCCAAATATCATTTTTTGGAAATATTGGTTTCTCTTCCTCATCAATATTCTAATTATCCTCTTAATCTTACTCAATTACTTCCTCCTCATTATCCTTTTATTGATCATATTGATATCTTGTATATTATTTATATATTTATACCCTTCTCCCCCTATTATAAATAAGAATCTATCTCCATAAGCAACTGCAGAATGCGAAGCTCTCGGAGTAGGCTATTAAGATCCATTTGCCTTTATTTTTTCTATCCTTATTACTGTATTATTTTCTATACTCTCAGTTTGATCTTCTCCTTATTCCAATTGATCAAATTTAGAATGTAATTCATTTATATTTTCAAAATCTAATTTGTATAAATCCTTATGAAATACTAATTATTTATTCGATTATTATCCTTACCCTCCAAAAATATAAACACTATCCCCTATCTTATTAGCAGTATGACTTTCTAATTTTATCATCTCATCCCCAGTAAAATGTGTCACTTATTAAAATTTATTTGTTTTTATATCATATAACCAATGTGATTCTGTCATTATATTTTATACTTAATCCCATCCTCCATAAATATATATTAATCTTTAAGACAAAGCTACCATTGAATGTCCTTCCCTACCTTCCATATCTTTTGGCACCTATATTTAAGTCCATTCAGAAGTTTCAATGTCAAAACTCCAAAAATCACCCAATATTAATTCATTACTAGATCCACCAAAAAAATATAGCTTATTTTACAAACATACACAACAATGAGAATCTCTACCTGTAGGATGTTTTTATGATGGTGAATTCAATCTTTCCCACTAAAATGTTATACAATCCATTCTATATATTTATTCCCACTATCTAGGATTATCAGATTTCCCACAACCACTGAATACATACATATATTTATCGTGTAATACTGCTGTATGTCCCCATCTTTTACATGGATAATTTGGACTTTTTCTTTTATTTACACTCAAAGATTTTGAAATCCATTATGCATTCTTAAATATTTTAGTAGGAATTGCAATAATCTCTTAATGAATTTAATTCATTTTTTATATTTTATAATTAATAATATAAATAATACACAAAAATAATAAATTTAACAACTTATGTATGTTATAATACCCATTAAAGTTTAAATAAACTTAATAACAATAAAAATATTTATATAAACTTAAATCTTATATAATTATTTAATATTATAAATGATCTTAAAACAATTACTTATCTCCTTCAAATACATAGAAATCTTTAATGAAAGTTTTTGCTTAAGCTAATTTTATATGGTTCCACTGTTGACATTAAATGTAGATCTCTCATCATTCTACTTTTTAATTAATTCATTAATCAATAAAGAATTGCGAATATAAATATTAATAATACTTTGAGTAAGTGATGAAACAAAAAAATTTATGCTATAGATTAATAAAAATATGTTCTCAAAATAAATGAATATTTCTTGTATATTAAAAAATACTCTAATTTATTATAATTGGATTTCGATATTTAATTGAATTACCCGTTTTTATGAGTATATTAATAAAATAATGAAATTGGCAATCACTCTTATATTGTTGGTCACATTAGCATCAGCAACATCAACAAAAGATTAAATTCTTGCTCTTCTCCAAACAGGAACAAAAGCTAGTGATGCTATTGATACTGTATTTGGATTACTTAATGATTTAATATAATCAAATAAAGATGCTTAATTTGCTGCTGATTAAAAGAACGAAACAGACGAATGGGTTGGAGCATAGTAATTATTTAATTAATTTTAGAACAATTGAACAATTTACAAAAATAAAGAATCTTAACTAAAAATTATTTTAACAATCAATTGAAAATAGAGCATAATTTGAATAAGAACTCTAAGATACAAAAAATTATCTTGCATGGAATGAATAAAGATAAGATGAGATAGCAAGAAAGATTTAAGTTCTTTTAGATGAATAATGTCTGAGCAATTAATTATTTGTTAGATCAATAAAATAAAATAGAGAAGCACTTGAAGTAGTGAGAGTACTTAAACAAGATGTTGCAGGATATATTATTAATGGAGATTCTTTTGAATTAGTTTAAGTTAACAGTGTTGCTGATAAATTGAAGCAATACAGTAATACATTCTAAGAATAAGAATTAAAATCATTCCTCTAATTAGCTAATAAATAAGAAGATGGTTCTGTAAGTAGAGGAGCAACATTAGCTGAAAGAGTATTATCAGTATTAGAATCATTGGAAGCCAATTTATAAGCATCTCTTGAAGCTCTTGAAGTTAATGAAATTAATGCTTCATGGGAATTAGCTGGATGGGTATCATTGAGTGAAGCTGAAGTTTCAAATCTTAAAGTTGAATATGAAAGAAAATAAGTCTATGCAGACAGATTGGCAACTGTAAGATTTCATAATTAATATCATTTAGTAAATTCAAGCTGCCTTAGCCTAATAAGCCAAATCTAAGATTATTCTCTAAGAATCATAAGATGCTTTAGATTAAGCTTAATCTGATTTAGAAAACAAGAGAGCTGACTATGAAGAAGCTAAGGCCAAGAGAGATGAAGAAAATGCTATTATTGAATAAGTTATCATCATATTCAAGAAATAAGTTGCATCATGGTCAGGAAGATGAAATCCATCTTTATATTAAATATATTCAATATTATTTGTTACATCGCTTATTTCCTATTCAATTATAAACAATAATATTGAGATATTGTCCTAATATAACAAAAATTAATTCATTCTATTTATTATTATCTCAACATTTTACCCCTTAGACTTAGAGTAAGCCTTCTAAAAATGTTCGAAATTCTTCACTTCTATTAATCTTATTAAAAAACTCTTAGGATATATCCCTTTTCAACCGAACTTATACATTATTTGTAAAGAATTAATCAACTATTTCATAAACTCTTTTATTTGTTCTTACATCTTATACTAAAGATGTTAAAAATAAACTCTCTAATTCACTCTTTGATATTTTATCATCTTCATTTATATCTATAAAATCAAAAAGCATAAATATTCTTTATTCCAATTATCCTGTCTATAGAATTGTACACTATTTTAGGAATTATTAAATTTCAGCTGAATGCTTTTTCTTTCTAAATAATTAAAAAGCTATTCGATTCAGAAAAATCTTGTCTTCTATTCTTAATGATGGATCATCAACTACTATTACATCTTTAACAGGAAGAATCTTATTAATATTTATTTTAAAATCTCTAAATTCTAAACCTGTACTTTTTAAATAAAAATCTCCAAATTAAATATACAAATCATTTAATTTAGGCTATCCACTTTGTAATTATAAAGGAATATAAAAATATTCAATCTTCTTCCAACATCTTTTTGGATGTGAAACTCCTATTTATTGTTTCAATTATTTTTATTATTCTGTTGCTACTTATTTTTATACCAATTAATCTTATACAACATTTAATTCAATTTACTCTTATATTTCATTTTTCTTCACTTTCAATTTTACTTTATGTTACAATTATTAAATTGCATGAACACTCTAATAACATGATGCACAATAATTCTCTTAACATTCTAAACATTCAAGAATAACTGGAATCTTACCACATTCTTAACAAACTTAAATTATAAATGTTCTTGTTTCTATCAACTAAAGTAATCTTTTTATTAATAAAATATTATCTAATTGATAATATCTATTTTTTAGTACATTTAATACTATCATATCATATTCTGTAATCATTATTTTATCAATCTTCTTAAATTTTGAAATATTTTGAAACTATAACTCTAACTAATTTATTTCAGCATCTAATTACAAGGTTTTAAATTAAGTATTTTTCTCCAATTCTGCTTACTCCTTCTTCAATTTAATATTCTCTTCTCTATATAATTATTTAAATACAATACCTTAATTCTTTGAAAAGCTTTTCCATGTCTTTTAATTTTTATTTTGCTTTCTCTTATTGTTCAACCAATTCCCTGTGATTTATTTTATCAATCTCTTCTATTACCCAATCTGGTCTATCTGGTATTAATTCTCTTACAAGAATTTTTATTAAAGTAACTGCAATCACACAACTTATAAAATACCATAATTCTAAATTATCGTCTTTTATTTATTGCACATCGTTTGTAAACATTTTTAATGTAGCATCCTTATGTTTAAAATATAATAAAACAAAATTAGTAAATACACCTATTGCACTCAAAAATTCTAAAATATTCATCCATTAACCTATACCAGGCATCCTTTCAGATTTTATTCTTTTAGTCATATAAATTAATTTATAAAGTTTCATTTGAATTTCTATAATATTTAATATTATTCCTATAAATGGACCTATTGGAAAAGCTGCTGAAAATAAAATAAAATAACCATAATCAGTAATAGCTTCCATGAAATAATCCAATGTTCCTCCAAAATCATCTTTAAATGAATTTAATTCAATTGCATCAGTATCAATCTTGGTTTCAAAAGGTTAATAAACTAATTTTGGGTTCTAAGCTTGTTCCAATAACTTTTCTTCTATTATTTCTTCACTTTCAATTTTTAGTACAGTTCTAGAGGCAGATTCTAAAAATGAAATTTCAATGGTATCTTCTTAAGACTAATTTTATATATTCTTANCATTTAATTCAATTTACTCTTATATTTCATTTTTCTTCACTTTCAATTTTACTTTATGTTACAATTATTAAATTGCATGAACACTCTAATAACATGATGCACAATAATTCTCTTAACATTCTAAACATTCAAGAATAACTGGAATCTTACCACATTCTTAACAAACTTAAATTATAAATGTTCTTGTTTCTATCAACTAAAGTAATCTTTTTATTAATAAAATATTATCTAATTGATAATATCTATTTTTTAGTACATTTAATACTATCATATCATATTCTGTAATCATTATTTTATCAATCTTCTTAAATTTTGAAATATTTTGAAACTATAACTCTAACTAATTTATTTCAGCATCTAATTACAAGGTTTTAAATTAAGTATTTTTCTCCAATTCTGCTTACTCCTTCTTCAATTTAATATTCTCTTCTCTATATAATTATTTAAATACAATACCTTAATTCTTTGAAAAGCTTTTCCATGTCTTTTAATTTTTATTTTGCTTTCTCTTATTGTTCAACCAATTCCCTGTGATTTATTTTATCAATCTCTTCTATTACCCAATCTGGTCTATCTGGTATTAATTCTCTTACAAGAATTTTTATTAAAGTAACTGCAATCACACAACTTATAAAATACCATAATTCTAAATTATCGTCTTTTATTTATTGCACATCGTTTGTAAACATTTTTAATGTAGCATCCTTATGTTTAAAATATAATAAAACAAAATTAGTAAATACACCTATTGCACTCAAAAATTCTAAAATATTCATCCATTAACCTATACCAGGCATCCTTTCAGATTTTATTCTTTTAGTCATATAAATTAATTTATAAAGTTTCATTTGAATTTCTATAATATTTAATATTATTCCTATAAATGGACCTATTGGAAAAGCTGCTGAAAATAAAATAAAATAACCATAATCAGTAATAGCTTCCATGAAATAATCCAATGTTCCTCCAAAATCATCTTTAAATGAATTTAATTCAATTGCATCAGTATCAATCTTGGTTTCAAAAGGTTAATAAACTAATTTTGGGTTCTAAGCTTGTTCCAATAACTTTTCTTCTATTATTTCTTCACTTTCAATTTTTAGTACAGTTCTAGAGGCAGATTCTAAAAATGAAATTTCAATGGTATCTTCTTAAGACTAATTTTATATATTCTTATTTTTATAAAATTCATAATATGTCCAAAATTATTCAATTTCATCCAAATATGATAAAGATTTACTCTTATTTTGTGAAGATTATTTTTATTTTAAATAAAATTCTTTGACTTTTGAAAAAAAATAAATTTTAATTTTAGCCCTTATAATTAATGCAGGAATTAAAAAATCAATTAAAATATAATATGCTTTTTTAATAAGAACTAAAGGGATAAGAAAATAAAAAATATCTTCTAAACCATAATCTTATCCTGTAACTATAATGTATACTAAAGGCATATATGAATTTATGAATCTAAAAAATACATTCTTATAAATTAATGATTTTTCATAACTTAATTCAAATTTATGATTTTCTTAATCAGCATACCATCTAGAGAAATAATGAAATAATATATTTAATATTTAGATTGCAATTGCTTATAAAGCACCTAATAAAAATACAACACCTTTATAAGATTACACTTCTCTTCTTAATTAATCTATTCCATAAACAATACCAAAACTTCCAAGAAGAAAAACAGCTAACAAAATTAAAAATATAGCAAAATAAACTGCCATTTTAGTTATTTATTAATGCTTTGTTATTTTTTTGCTTATATTATTAATTTCTTCATCTCCTGAGAATTTATCTTTCAAAGGACCTTCATAATATGAAGATTCAACTTAAAGCATTTAATCAATACAACCCCATCTTGTATTAATTTCTGATGTTTTTCTTTTCCATAATTCTGTTTAAACAGTTGACCAAATTGTTACAACCAATACCCAATATGGTAATATTTCTGAATGAAAGTCATAAAAAATGACATATAATTATATAATCAATCCTGGTATTGCAATTATTAATGATATACAAGTGAGATAACTTATCCATGCAAAAAAGAAAGAAATTTGCTCTCCAAAATACAATCTCATTGTAGTTAATGATGTAAAGTTTCTCCCTTTTCCTTCACTTAAATAATCTTTTATTTAACAAATAGGTTATGGTATAATTCCAAAAAATAGTTATTACCATTCTTTTTTTACTATCTAAATACCTCCTGATGTATGCATTGCATAACATGAATGTATTAGTTTTGATTTCATTAATGATTCTAAATTTATTGATTTTATTAAATGTTCATAAACAATTTTCTATCTTTAACTAGATCTAAAAGGTTCAAATTAGTTTCTTTATTTAATTTTAAACTATTCTAAATCATATGAATCAATCAATTTTATTTACATTTCCATCTCTTCTGCCAACTTTTCCAATTTTTCTTCCTTTATTCTTAACATTAAATAAATGTAATCTTTTGAAATAAAAGATTTCATCATATAAATTTCAAATTCTGCTTTTTATAAAAGATCTATTTAAAAGTTTATCTATTATTTTATCAACTTTTTCTAATCTTTTAAGTTGAATGTTTTATTTAATTTAAAATAATCTATTAGATTCACTTTAACTGATTTATCAAACTTGACTACTAAATCTGGAACAAAAAGTTAACTTGAAAATAGCATTAATTATTCAACATGATCATATGAATTTTTAGATGTCTTTACATCTGTTGGTGGAGGCTAAAAATTAAAAGGAATAATTTTATTAGTAACTTTTTTTGTTTTTTTAGGTTTTATAATTAAATTTGATTTTTCTTTTGCATTTGATGTTCTAATATCTGCAGATTCATTTTAATCCATTTTAGAAATAGTTTTTTATTATTTTTTTTAAGATTACTTTTTTCCTTATTTTCTAGTTTTCAATTACATCCTATAATATTTAGATTTATTTTTGATATTTTCAGATAAATTGTATTAATCTTCAAAATTTGTGCTAATTTTTGATTTCTTTTATTAATATTTTTGGAAGATAACTCCAAAAGATTGCAATAATTAAGATTAACCAACCATATATTTTTATTTCTTAATAAGACTATCATAATATAATTATGTTGCAAAATCTCTTGTTAATTACTTTGCTCTAAAGAATTCATTATTTTCTGCTTCAGGATCAGCATATTTATTTAAAAGAAATTTAATAATTTATTAATCTCCATTTAAAGATGCTAAATGTAATGGTGTATTTCCATGATTATCTTTTACATTTATATTTAAAACATTCCTACAAAAAGTCCTTTTTATTAAATCATAAGTTTTTTAATCTCTTAAGTTTAATATAAGATAATTAACTTTAGCAAGTTCTTATTTATAAATTTAATCTTATTTTAGATACCTTTAAAGTTCGTGATAATATCTTTCTTTATAAATTTAAGTATCTTTTTTTTATAAAATCTGATTTATTCCATTAATTTCATTTTTTGTAATTTATTCTAAATATTAACTCATAATTTTATAGTAGTATTCTTCTCTCCTTCTTTCTTTTTTGAATTATTTTCTTGATTAACCTGGATCAGGTTTCATTATAGATAAATCTAAAATTTCAAATTTAACTATGGATTTTAATGCTTCAGAATTATTGCTAATACAACAAGCATGAAGACAAGTTTAAGAATCTAAAGATTTTATAGGATACATAATATAAATTCTAGGTAAATTTTTAAGTATCATTTAGATGAATTAATTAATTTAAAATCTGCAACACCAAAATAAGACCTTTGTATAAAGAAGTGGATTTTACAATTCAGCTTCATATTTATAACAAATTTCTTGAAATTCAATAAATTCAGATTCTTTTTTACCTCTTAAATCATTTATCCAAAATAATTAACAATCCCTTAAAAAAATAACCAAATTCTCTATTAAGATTTTTAGAACTTATATATGTTGATTTTTGCCTGCTAAATCTATGGGATATAATCCATTATTGTCACATAAAAATGTATAGGCTTTATTTTATAATAATAATACAACACTAGCTTCATCACCATAAAATGAACACCAATGTAAAGGTCTCCATTAATTATGTGGATTAACTTCATTTACATCTGATCCATTTTCAATTAAAATTTTCAAACATTCTTTTCTATACTTAAGCTATTTAGGATCATTTAAAAAACAACATATTTGAATAGGAGTACATCCAAAAATGTCTGGTTATTATACATACTTTTTTACTTAATCTTGTATTTCAGAAAATTCATAATCTTCACAATCAAAATCAATTTCAATAATTTATTCGTCTTCATTATCATCATGCTTAATTTATGAAATTTTGCTATTTCTTTTTCTTCTATCTTATCTTTGATTATCTTTGAGTAGATTGTTATAATCTTAAATTAAGAGATCTAGAATTTTAGCATCTTACCTCAATGCAGTTTAATGTAATATATTTCCTATTTAGTTAAATTTTAAAATTACTCTTATCTTAATCATGAACTGTGAAATCACTTTCAAATCTTTAATTTTAATTTGAACCAACTTTCTTTACAAAATTAGTTTACACATTAACATCCCATTATTCATCTATTTCATCTTGTCTTGAAAGCTATTCAGATCTCATAGAAGGAGAACTTGGAATATTTTCCTAAAGAAGTCTAGGAGAATTATATTAGGCCCAAGATGTTTTTTATAATTAAAGCATTTATTAGGAAATCTATAACTGTAATTATAAAATTTGAGTCAAAGTTAAAGAAACAAGATATTTAATCATTTATTTGATTTATCTAATTTAATTCTTGAAACTTCAAAAAACTTAGAGGCATTAAATTTCTTTTTAACTGCTTGTAACGAACTGAGATCTGCAGTTTAAAATAATGTACATAATTCTTTAGCACAAATCTTTAATTGATTTTCATTATGTGTTTTATATGTAGGTGTTCTATGATTATTATTATAAAAGCTTACCTAAACTTTTTAACTAAAAATATAACAGATTGAGCAATTTGAGATGGTTTATATATAATAAATTTATATTCAACTAAAGCTAATTCTAATATATATTAAGCTAACGCTTTATCTTTTGGATCTAAGTCTGCTGAATATTTTTATAAAAATTAATAAGCAGTAGGATTGCAGATATGAAAATTCAAAGCTTACAAAATTAAACCTTCCATTTCTAAGACATCACTTTTAACATATGCATTATCTGTTATGTAAACGAAATCTTTTAAAGCAGGTGGATATATTTCTTCATATTTACAAGCTATAAATAAGGCTGCCACACCCACTAATTATAGTCTCATTCTTGTGACTTAAGCCTAAGATAAATATCTATCAATTAAAGATATTGTTATATAAAGAGTTTCATCCTTCAATTTAAATTTAGCGTGGACATCTACTAACCAATCAACTAAGATTGCTCTCATTTTTATATTTATATCCGGCTATTACTCAACAGTCATATATTAATCTATTATGTATTTATTCTATCATTGTTAAAAATCATTACTTCCTCAATCAACAAGTGTTTTAAAATTTCCTCTGAATATAATTCTACATTTTAGGGATTTTTTAACTCTTTGCTCTTTTCAACCTCTATCTCTATTTAACTTTTTTCTTATTCTCTTTAAAAAATTTTATTTTCTTTTTCATCTACACTCATTGCAAAAACTTTTGGAATCATAGAAAATGCTTTTTTATGTTTTTCCATTATCATTCCTACTTCCTTTGATTAATACATTGTTTAATTTACTATCTCCTTTCCAAAACATCTTTGATTTTCGATGATCATTCTGTTAATATTAATTAAATATTATTATAATCGTTAAAACTAAACTTTTATATATAAAAATCATTAATAAAGCGAAAATGGATTTTAATTATTCATTTCTATTTTCCCACATTTTTAATATTTAAATAGAAATCAATTTGAGAATTTATAAAAAAACATCATTTTTCATTATCCATTTCTAAATTCTATCTAAATACTTGATATTTTTCCAAATTTAAAATTTTTTAAGTCTTTACTATCATATAAATTCTTTTTTAATTTTTAATAAAATCTTAATATTAAGTAAGACAGCTAATAGTCAAAATTTAATACTTTAAATCTTCAATTAATTTTTATTAATTTGTGATATATTTTTATCAATTATCTTAAAATCAATTAATTCATTTAAACTTAAATTAGTATTCCTTATACATAAAAATGAAGTTAATTTAATATTTCAGAATGGATCAATAGGAATTGAGATTAGAAATGTAATATTTTTATTAACCATGAAGTCAACTACACCTAAATGATGATCTTATGAATAAACCAATAATTAAATAAGTATGCAAATTTAATGTATTGAATTATTTATTTATTAAAATTATATACGTAAAAAGATGTGTGATAATTCTGATTCCTCTGAGTTTTATTCTAAGTCTTCTAGATAGGAAAATAAGTATAGGCTAGTTTTAAATTAAGATAACAGGATCATTAGATACAATAAAGTAATTGTGAAAGTGAAAATGAATTAATTAAGAAGAAAGCCAAGTTAAATGATGATAGCGGACAAATTAAAATATCAAGAAAAGTTAGTGATGATTTGATTAAAATTTTTGAACGATTGCCAAATGATTAAATAACAAAACTTTTAGATGTAATCAAGGTGAAGAATTCACGTATTGCAAATACAAAATTCTATTTTATAGCTGATTTACCAGTTTAAGTGAATTTAGAAGATTTAATGACAAAAGAAGATGATTTTGTGTTAGATAGTTAATCTGATTCTTAGAAAGGAAAAATAAGAAAGAGAAGGGAGTCGAAAGAAAAAGAATGCAAATGTTGTAGATAAGTTGTTAAACGTCATCATTGTACACATACAGAATGTGAAAAGCCTTGCTAAGTTTAAGAAAAATTTAAAAAAAGCAAGCCATGAATAATTTGATAAATTTTTACTATAAATCAATGCATTTATATTTTGTCAATTTTTGCATCCTATTTATATTAAATTTAATACTTTCCATATTTCATATTTATTCTTTCCTTATCTAAAGAGAAACTCAATCTAATATATTTCACAAATAATTACTCGATCAAACTTCTTTTTAGGAATATTTTAATTCTTTCGATATTCATTTTGAGCATACTATTTAATGGTTAATCTTGCAGGTTCAGGTTTAAGGTTAGCCCATTTAATCACTTATCTATAAAATTGCAATATTTCTTTCTGAAATTTGGAATGCATTTATATATATATTTGATAATTTAATATTTATATAATGTCTTTAATTTAACTTGATCCTATTAATTTTAGTATAGAAATCACATATATAAATTATTTTGAAACAAAATGAAGAAGAGTTAATCTTGTGCACATTTTTTATTGATATTCTAAATAATATTATAATTAAATTTCTTATTATATGACAAAACTTATATTATGTTTGAAATACCAATAATATGAAATAGGATTATTTATTTATAAAAAAATAGACAGCTTGCAGAATAAATGATATACCTTTAAGTATTCAAATGTCTAGATTAAATAAAGAACCTTATGAGATTGAAAATAACTATATTAAAAAATATAATTTTATGATAAATATTGGCTATTCTATTTATAGTCATTAGTATTATTATAGGGGCTGAAGTTTTATCTTAAATATAGTTTCACAAAAGGGAATGAGATTAATTTTAAGAATGATATTATTATTAATTTTATAATTGATATATTTTTAAATAAATTATGAAATCAATTCCATTTGATTTTAGTTAGAAACAACTTTTCTAAAATGATTTTACCCTCTTTGTACTTCTCAGATTATTCGTAAGCTTTAAGCTTAAATATTGTAATTCAAGAAATTACATATTTCCATCCAAGATAAGTTTAGCATTTAATACACTTTATATCTTGTGTAGTATGTAAACCAGTTCTTAACCTTTTATCTTCTGGTTTTCCTGTTAGATAATTAATACTTTTATATTTAAAACTATTACCCTTTATCAAATAGAAATGCTGTTCCTGAAGTTCCTGTGAATTGCTAAAATTTAAAGTCATGGAATTACTTTAGAAAATAAGCATTCTTAGTTTGAAAGATGAACATTGCATTTTTTGCATGCATAAATTTTTTTGCCTTCAAGGTATTCGATTATAATTTTTCCCATATTAAATTAATTTTTAATTAATTTATATTATTGAATGCCTTTAAAAAAGGAAGGATTCTAGTCTGTAGGTGAATTTTTGAGTTTCTCTTTATCAACAGATGATTAAGCAAGTGTAGGACAAATTAAAACAGCACTTTTCTTTGTGAGACAAATAGTTTCAGTCCTTTTAGGATTAGCTGCAGGGTTTTTACATTTATAAGGCATATTGACAATTTTAGGATTTTTGTTTTTGTCAATGGGATTTTCATATTATTATGTCTTCAAATACAAATAAGTAAATTTAGCAAATATAATAAGGTCGATGAAGATAAAATTGAGAATACAGAAATATACACTGAGGGATTAGGAGCTTCTATAGGTGAATTTTTGTTAACTTGGACCCTGGTTCATACAGTGGCTTGAATATTATGAAATGTTAAATATAAAATTATAGTAAATAAAAATGATCTCACATAATCGAGAATAAAAAATTATGTAAAACTTAAAATAAAGTTAAATTAATCAGAATTAGTATCTGCAAACAGGGCATTGTTTTTTAACTTAGAGCCAAACAATAAGACAGCTCTCATGAAACTTATGGGAACAACGTGTCAAAACAATTGGATCCTAAGGATAGAGTTAAATTTATAAAGAATTAGAAATTTCTATACCTTGAAGACAAATAGCACACTCAAGATTATTATTAACTCCTAAATCCTCAAAAGTTGAATAAATGTTTTGTTCTCTTATTTGGTTGGTAAATTCTTCGATTTATGTCTTCATCGTGAATAGTTTGGGTTTCACATGGTATTGATAGAGCAGAATACATTATTGAATGGATATCAAAATAGCCACACTAATACAAATTCCTAAGTTGTCTTATAATTTGAAGATATTAAAGGGACAACCTCGATAGTATGAGAAAAAAATCAAAATGCAATAATCTTCTAGAAAACAGAAGTATGTGATATTAGGCATTTAATTGTGTTAATGACATTTAATGATTTGCGGTATTTTGTAGATGCATAATAGTTAATACATAAGATCCGATAGAATTGGAATTGTGAACCATTAAATTGTTATAAGTAAGGCACATCCAAACATCATAAAGACTTGGATTCCTAAGAACTCTAATATGGGATAATCTTCTCTAAGAATATGATTTTCATATCTGTAAATTTTTAATAGCCATCTATAATCTGTCAACAATAATGTTAAAGAGAATAGACCGGTTGAAATTAATAAGAATAGATTGAATTTACCTACATCTTACACATCCTCCAAGTGCTTAAAAAATAATGTGCAATGAAGCAATAGAAAATTGAATTAAATCTAAATTTTCATTAGAGTAGCTAAAGTAGACTCCTATCATAATAATTTGATCACATATTTACGGTTTCGTACTGTGAGGTTGGCATTTAATTAACCTTATAACGATGCACACCAGAACAAAATGCTTTGAATATTGTTAATGATGTGAAGATTGTCAAATAATCAATTGCATTATTTTACATTTTTATTATTTATTTAATCATATTAAATAATACACTCTCTATGTATATTTATAACATTCTCTATTTCTTTAATATTTTATTTCTCAGGTTATCATTGCTTCTTATTTATTTCCATTTATATATACGAATAGAGTATTAATCATATATTAAAATCTTTTTTTAAAATTTAATACAATGGTTAGCAGATTGAGAAAATGTAGAAAAATGAGAGGACATGTATGCCATGGTTACGGTAGAGTTGGTAAACACAGAAAACATCCAAGTGGTAGAGGTGTTTCAGGAGGTTTAACACATCATAGAATCAATTTCAATAAATACCATCCAGGATATTTCCAAAAAGTACCCATCTACTCCTATTCCTCCTCTAGAACGGTATGAGACATTTCCATTTGAAAAAAAATACACTTCACAGACCTGTTGTCAATATTGATAAATTATGGTCACTTGTCACTGATGAAACAAGAGAAAAATATTCTAAATCTAAGGACAAAGCTGCTGTTATTGATGTCACCAAAGCTGGATATTTCAAAGTTCTTGGAAAAGGTAGATTACCAAATCAACCGGTTGTTGTTAAAGCTAAATTCTTTAGCAAAACAGCAGAAAGAAGAATCAAAGCAGTTGGAGGAGCATGCATACTTGTAGCTTGATACATTATACATTACAATATAAATCACAAATATTCTATTTTGCAAAAGCCTCATTACCATTTTTATCTTTCTTCCAAATCAATTTAATTTTTTTTGAACTATTTTTATTATTTTTAATCAACTTGTTAAGTATTTAAAGTGAATTTATATTATAAGAAGATAATATTTAATTATTTTATGATCAAATTACCAGAAAATATTTCAACACTTAAAACATCTAAAGATAAATAATTCAAAGGTAATTCATTTATATATTATCTAGTACATATTACATATTGTGGAGGATGAGGATATTGGTCTCAATATAACTTGGCCTAACAATATATTAAATCATTGTATCCTCAAGCCGAAGTAACAAGCAAGTCTTAAGATAAAATAACAGGAGAAATGGAAATAACTGTTACAAAGAAAGATGGCAAATCAGAAAAAGTTCACTCTAAATTAGGTGGAGATGGACCTTTCGGAGCTTTCTCAGCTGAAAAAGCTATGAAAAAGCTTGTCAATTTTATTGAAAATTGAAAAAAGACCTAGTTTTATCAATTTTAAATATTTAAAGACCTAATATGAAGAGTCCTTCTTAAATATTTCAGAGGAACTCTGATTTTAAAAAATAGGATCTTTTAATGATTTAAAATTTGATATAAAATTTTATTAAAATTTTAATAAATATATATCATCATTATTATTCTTCTTATTAATACTGATTGTCTGCTTCCTCTTCACTATTATTTTTGATTTCTTATGATGATTATTATTTACTTTATTGTTAGTCTTATGAATTTTATTTATTATCCTTCATTGTTGAAGTACTCCCTTAATGTTATATTACTTCACTTGAATTTATTCTTAATTTTGATTTCTAATCTAATTTTCCTTTAGAATCACAATAATTAAGAATCTATTACAAATCTGCTTTACTATTCTTTACTGTTTTTGATTAATACAATCGATCAACTTACTATTATTATTCTATAAAGGAAGGTTTACAAAGAGAAGGGAGAGAGAATTGATATTCTTTCATTAGAGATTCTCGAAATGAAGCATTATTATTCTTACTCTTATTTATTTATGTATTCATCTTCATTTTAAGCATAGTAGGTAACTAAGCATAAGGACTATTTTATTGTTCTTTTGGGAGTTTTGAAGAACTATATGATTTTATATGAGCAGGCATGGAAGTGTTAAGATTATTGTTATATTCCTTAATACTTAAATTCAAGGCAGTTGTTAAATCATTCTTAAGTGAACTTCCAAATTATTAGGAATTCCTTAATTTACTTTAAAAAGATTAAATATTAATATACCTTAATAATATTTATTCTTCATTAGACATTTAATCGCATAACTACTATTATTCTTACATTCTTTTAGCTAAATGATCTTTGAATTCTTTTTCTTCTGATCTAATTTTATCAATTTTATCAATTTGTCTTTATTTAAGATCTAATTTTAAGTTGAATTCCCATTCAGAAATCTATTAAATAATATCATTTGAGTTACTTTAGCATATTATTTCTATTTTTCTTATAGTTATTGATCTCTCTTCTTTTAATTTATAAGCATCTAAAAATCTAATTATTATTTCATCTATTAAGTTTGAAGATACTTTTCTTCTAACATGTCTTATTTAGTTTATCTAAGTTCTTCATTCAATAGAACTCTATTTCTCTACGCTACATATTGAACACCGTCATTATTTACAGCACTATCTTAAAGTATCTATTTTAGCTAAATCCTGTTTGTAATGAGATTACCTTCATTTAGTCATAAAATTTTTGTTTTTTGGAATGAACTATCTTATCAACTTTTGTTTTTAAGATATTATTGTTTGCTTGTTGTAAATTCAATTGTTATTTCAATTAAACAATTCTGTTTTCAAGGATGGAGAGTTCTTAATTTTTTTGGTTGAGTTGTTTGATTTGTTAAGAAACTGTTTCCATATATATAAATTATAATAATGAATGATTAATTAGCCAAAGCATTACAATTAAACGGGGTGTTATAGAAACGTAGTCCAAGTCTTATAAAAGGCTATTAGAAACGTTACTTCTCTGTGAGAAATGAAGGATAGTATCTTATATATTGGAAGAAGAAGCCCCTTTCTTCTAAAGATAAGCCCCAAGGTACTCGCATGCAGGAAATTAAGGTGTCCTTAGTTTGACTTCGATATCCACAGTTGCCAATGTAAAGGGATCCGATACAGAATTCATATTAGTGGTTGGGGACCGTTAGTTCTAATTAAAAGCTGACACAGCCTCTCAACGTGAATTTTGGGTTGAAAGTATTTTGTATTTGAAGGAATATCGTAAATAATTGGAAGGTGATAATGATCCTATTCAATAAAAGGTTAAGTGGAATGAATTGGATAAAGAAACAATCACTAAAATAAAATTAGAAGTAGAAAAAGATTAATTAGATAAAATTTCTATGAAAATTGATATTAAAAATGATGAAGTCATGAAATGCAAAGGCATTTATCCATATCTCATCAAATTTGATGCAAAAACATAAGATTAATTCATTATTTGTGGATTTCTAATGAAAAAAGGCAAGAACACCAAATTTACTAGAGCAAAGAAAAGATGGTTCATTATGATATCATCTGTTTGTATAACAGGATAAGAAACTGATAAATAAGGACCTTCTTAAGGAGATATTCCTGATACTTTTTAGTTAGATACTATCTATTATTTTGCATATGATGAGAGAGGTGATAAAAGCAATTTTATTGGAAGAATTCCTGTTTCTGAATTAGAAAATATAGAATAAATAGATAAAACCTCTGGATAATTACTTTAATCACTACCTTATGGATTAAAATTTGAATATAATGAGAGATAATATTAATTCTTTTCAGAATAACTTACTGATATTTAAAAATGGATTCTAGCGATTCAATGTGTCAAAAAAAAACCAAAGGTTGGATTAAAAAATTCATAATAATTAGAAAAAAAAGAAGAAATCATTTTTGAAGGTCAACTTTAAAAATAATCCAACAAAATAATTAAAGGACCTTTATCTTGGATTAATGTTAATGTATAGTTAAAAAAGAATTCTCTTAGCTGGACTGCTAAGGATGATTCTTAAGGAAATCAATATGTACTATTAATTTACATCAAATAAGTTATTGGCAAGAGTAAATCATTCTAAGTAATTAATTAATCATTTTTTTAGATTTTCACAAATGATGATTAAGAATTTAAATTCAAAGCTTAAACACCTGAATAAAAAGATTAATGGGTTAAGATCATAAAAGAATAGGTGGATGTATTGAAAGGCAGCATTTAAAATTTAGAAGAAATTTTAGAATTGCCACCTGAAGAAGCAACCAAGATTGATTATAATGAATAAATCAAAGATGAAGATTTATATGATTAGGAAACTATAACTGAAAAATTTTATAATAAAATGACACTACAAATAGAAAAAAGTAAATAAGAAGAAAAACTTAAAAGTAAATCGTTCTTCTCAAAACTCCTTTGTTGTTTTGGTGGTGGTGAAAGTGAATATGAATATGTCAAAGATAGAGGATTTTGAAGATATTAGATTATATTTAATAAAATATCAATATATAAGTAAGTTCTAAATTATTAACTACATTTATTACAATTTTATTTTATATTTGATTTTAGTATTTATTTTCCATAAAAATAATATTATTCTTCAAATAATTATTATTTGTTAATAATAAACTAATATGTAATTATAATGATTTCTTAAATAAAGTTTTGACAAATAGAATCCCTTCTAAAAGACTGACTGATTCCTTAATCCTTAAATAGTAAAAAATAAACAAAAAACAATTAAAAAAAGAAGAAGAAATTCATTACCTTAGCAAAATCTTTCAGCAATTTAAACTATATTATAGAATACGAAACTACTTTAAAAAAATTTGTTTTAGAAAAAAACAACTTTGGAAATGATTAGAGATTCTTACAAAGAAATTTTTTATAATTAGCAAAGCACTAAATAAAGTACGTAATAAAGTATTTAAGATGTTTCAGAGAAATCTCATACAGTTTCCAATTTTCTTGATTAAAACATTACTTAATCTACAAATCCTTTTAGCCATTTATAATACATATCCTTATAAACCAATAAAAAAATAAAATCTTCTTGAATATTGTAGTTAAATTTCTGATCGAGTAGAAAAGATATCAAAAATATAAAAAATATTAAATAGTCAAGAAAAAAAGTTTATATTAAAATTTAAAGATCCTTATGGAATATTTACTTAATAAATTACATAAGTTTTGAGAAGATATTAATCAAAATTCTTTGTTAATTAAAAAGCTTAAATTAAATTAGTTGATAGAATATTTTCATTTAGATCTGATAGTTTGTAGAATGAATAAATCATGAATTAAATGTCTTTATTTATTAGAGTTTTAGATTAATTGAGTAAAATTTTTATTTTTTTATTTATTGAATTATCGTTATCATTATTAATTTTTCAAAAAAAAACAAAAATGTTAAAGTAGATAAAACTTAGCAAATCAGAATCCAATGACTCTGTAACTTAATCCTTTCTAGCTAATGTTGAAAAGAACAAATGTATATTTTAATATCTATAAAATTAGAAAATAAAACCGATACTATAAATATCTATGATTTAAATAGTATTAAATTACAAGCTGATGTGATTCTTAAAAACATTGAGAACTAAATTAATAGTATTTTTCATTTAATAGATAGTATGTTCTTTATGGAAATCTTAAAAAGGGTAACATGTTTCCTTAAATACAACTTAAAATACTGGAATATAGTAATCAAAAAGATAGTGGAGTTCTTCGTTAAATAAAAAAATTCAATAACCAAGACCATTTTCAGCTTTATCAGGAATTGCTCCAAGGAATAAGCTAGCTGAGTTAAATAAAGAAAAAGAGATAATAGAACCATAATAATAAATAATTGAAAAAATTTAATAAACATAAAAACCTAAAAGTGCTTTAGATTTAAATTAATTATGTAATCAATAATTGATAATGGGAAATTTTAAATTAGAAACAATATTAGGTTCTGGATCTTTTGCTATGGTTAGGTTGGGTATAGATAAAAACACAAAGGAAAAATATGCTATAAAAATATATGAAAAAATTAAATTGAATGATTCTCAGAAAATGAATAATGTAAAAAGAGAAATATCTATACTGAAAAGAATTGAACATTAAAACATTATAAAATTGTTTTGGGCAATTGAAGATAAAAAATCAGTACATTATAATAATATAAGATCAATTTAGTAATGGAATATATTTCCTCGCAATCTTTGGCTTCTTATATAAAGTCTAAGCCAAATAGAATTTTACCAGAAAGAGAATGCTTAAATTTATTTTATTAAATTGCTGTGGCAATAAAATATTTGCATGATTTGAACATATGCCATCGTGATATCAAATTAGATAATGTTTTAATGATGAAAACAAATGTTGTAAAGTTAATAGATTTTGGTTTTGCGATTTGCATGCCATAAAATCAAAAAACTAATGTTTATTGTGGAACACCTCATTATATGTCTCCAGAAATCATAGCTAAAGTATTTTTATAATTATTTTAAGGTTCCTCATCATCCATCTAGTTCAGATATTTGGTCTTTAGGAATTCTTTTATCCAAAATGATAACTGGAGAATATCCTTTTAAAGGATAAAATGATAAAGATTTATATCGTTAAATTTAATGTTAAAAATTGAGAACTAATTAAGATAAAAAAATCAATGAAAATATAATGAGAGTTATAAATGGATGTTTAGAAAAAAATATATAAAGCAGATGGAATATAGATCAAATTATTAATGATCCTGTGTTTCATAAAGATCTTTTAATACCTTCAGCAAAAGGTTTTTTGAATTAATGAACCAAAATAATATATAAATTAATGTCATTTAAATTAAATCACTATCCCTCTTAAGTTTTAGTTCTCAAATTTTGTTAATTAAATCCTATTTAATTTGATTGTGTAAATCTTTATTTTGGGTTTTCCATAATCTAACTTATCTTAAATTATTTACTTTTCTTGATTTTTTACTTATTGTAGGAGTGAATGATGGCCTCATACTTTCAATCTATTCTTATAATTTATTTTATCTATTTTATTCAAATTATTCTATTCTTTAATCAAATTTCTTTCCTTTTAATTTCTTATCTAAAATCTAGTATTAGATATAATAGAAATACTCGACTAGATTATTCATTAAGTACTGGTTTGTAAAGAAACTCATTTTCAGTTTATGAAGCTTCCCAAAGTTTTTTTTCAAATTCTTTTTCAAAAAATTCAGCTCTCTTCTTCATAAACCTTTATTATTCTTTAAAAAACTCTTCTATTTAATCCTTGCTTACCTTTTTTCCTTAAATTAATATAGAGCAATACTTTATTGATATTATTATTCATTTAATTTTTCACTTGATTTTTATTTTGCTTCCTTATATTCTTTTTCGTATTAGTATCTAATATGAATTGGAATTAAAGGATTGCTTTTAACAGAACTTGATTTTTTTTATTTTTATTATTCTTACTATTCTTAAGAATTATTTATTTAAGTTTATATCTCTTAATTTTGACTATTCATATTGTTAAATTAGCATTCTTTTTCATTATTTTATTTATCAATGCTTTAATCAATTTAATTTTCAAGGCTAATTTTCGTTTGAAGTTTCCTTTTTTCTAATTTTTTTAGTTTAGTACAATCAAATGAGGTTTATGTATTTTAATGCCTTTTCTTTACAAAATCATCCAATTATTTCTATAATTTGTTACCATACTCTAACTTTTTTTTTGAACCTTTGCTATTTAATTTTTATTTTTCCTCAAACTAAAAACTGTTGTAAGATTATTTATTTCCTCTTTAATTTGAATCCCATAAACTTATAACATCATTACTCAATACTTTATCCCGTGATAATGATAATTAATATTTAGATGAATTCAAATCAATAGTAATATTATTTGTTTTAAAGATTGGTGAAAAATGCTTTTTTTTAGCCCTTGGATTGCTAATTACTTTCATTATATAAATTTTACATTTTTTTTCAATATTGGTAGATGTTTCAAAGTCAGAAACTGTTATCTCATTTGTATCTTGATTTATCAAAATTTAATGATTGCTTTAATTTTATTCAAATTGCTCTTTCATTTTTTTTTTTTCTTATTCATATATTGGCTTTACTTTTTTCTAATTTACAGCCTTTTTTTTCTCAATTTAAGGCTTAGAACCTTTAGCTTATAAATATGACTATTAGGAAAATTTCCTCAAATTCATTAAAATAAATATTATAATAATTTCTATTACTCAACTCCAATCATTCTTTGATTTGTTTCTTTTTTTGTATAATAAGAAAACAAATAATGTAATAATATGTTGATAATATTTTATCGATTAACAGAATAAACTTTGATCAAATGAGTCATTAAATTTAAAATGATATTTTTAGGATTTTAAATACGATTAATCACCAAGTATAATTTAAAATTTTACTTAAGAGAATAATATGTTAAAAATAAAAAATAGATTCTGTATTCCTTGAAATTATTAGTTTACAAAGGTTTATGACTAGATTATTTATTTGGAATTTAAAATTTAAGATTAGATATCTGTAGATGTCTCTATAATATAAACTAAAAAACAATTTATCCTTTATTAAAAAATGTAAAGAATTTTTATTTAATCCTAACTTAAATCTATATAATAACAGAAATTTAATTCATGTTTATTTAGGGTAAAAGATTAATTTATATTCATCAGTATTTCTAAGATATTGGTATGAATACATATATTAATTTTTACACAAAATCAAAACAATAATATTTTTAAATAAAATGTAAGAAAGCAGTGATAATTTCTAAGATTCCTAAAGTTAAAGCTCAGAATAAAGATAAAAAGGGAGCGTGCCTTCATTTTTAGTAAGACTCTTCGATATTATGGAAGTATAATCTAATAATTGAGAATAGAATGAAGACTTAAAAGAAATAATTGGATGGAATACTGAAGGTAATGCGTTTATTGTAAGAAATTAATAATTACTTGCTGATAAAATATTACCTAAATATTTCAAACATAAGAATTATCCTAGCTTTTTAAGGTAAATTTTTTTATTCTAAAATTTAGATAACTCAACATGTATAATTTTAAAAAAAGTAAAGCTGATGATGTTAATTAAAAATTTGAGCATAAATGGTTTAGAAGAGATGGAAGAGCCTTATTGACCAACATTAAAAGAAGAAACTAAGAAGAAAATGATGATAAAGATGTTAAATATATATTAAGAATCTTAGGAAATTCCATAGATTGTTGATGAAATTGAATAATTTAAAAAAGCACAAAAGGAACTGAAAAATGAAATTTAAGCAATAGCTGACAGTTAAAAATAACTATAAATAGCACTTTAATAAATTATGCAATAAAATGAAACACTATTTTAAGAAAGTCAACAATTAACATAAGAACTATCTAATATGCAATCAAAAAATTAATAGCGATTCGCAAATTACTCTAATATTTTAACTGAAATTGTTTAAAGATTATAATAAGAATAAGAAGAAGAATTAAGTATTTCAGATTAATTATTGTAGGAAATAGGGACATTAACTAACCATAAATAACTGGAGAATAAAAAAAAGCTAATGTTATATAAATAAAGCAAGAATAGCCTAGTCAATAATAACAGTTCTTATCTCAATCGTAAAATAATTTATCTGCAAATTCTCTTCAATTTTTAATGAATATGAGTGCTAATAAAAATGCATTTAACTTTTAGATGTTTTCATAATTAAAGCATTAATAAATGAATATGTAAATGTTTTAAAACGGTTCTACATAATAATAATAATAAAGTGATGTCAAGAAGAATGAAATAAAAAAGGAAAATGAATAATGATTATTGATTAATAAAGTTTTAAACATATCTATTTATTTTTGTAGTTTATTTTATATTATTCTTTTTTTCAAACCAATTCAAGAAATTAATTTAATAGCATTAATTAACAAAAACTTTTATTATTATGAGCTTTTTGAATAATTTTTATATATTTTAAATTTTAAGTTTTCTTTTCTAAGACTGAATTCACCAATTTTATTCTAATTTAAAATCTTTATAAAATTTCCTATGTTAGCATATCTAATTTCACCACTCTTTATTTAATTGAACATTATTCATTTAAAGAAGCAATTAATTTTTAAAGAATTATTTTATTAATCTTAAAAAAAAGATGGGAAACTTTAATTTCTTATTAGAAGCATTTTTAACAAATTATCAGATCTATGATAATAAAGCTTATGATATTTCAGAAAAATGGGTAAATTTACTTTTAATACATTCATCTTTAAGAAATCTTTCATATATATATAGCCAAACTCCTAAATCATGGGTTTATTTTTTTGTGATTATAATTCGACCATCGCAAGCCATTTAAATTGGTTATTTTTCAATTTTTGGTTTAGTTTTTGCAATTTACCATTTATTTTGCATTTTAATGCCTACTTTAATTGGAAATACTTTATTGAGCTCTATTAATACTTTATTGAAAGTCTCTTTGCTTAATATTGTTTTAGAATAATTTCAAGATTTATTTGGTTACATAATTGGAAGCGTACTTTTATTGTTTTAAATATTCGAATATTTTTTCATTTAATGGACATTGAATGTTAATTAAAAGAATTTTCAACTTGTTAGAATTAGTTTTTCAAGAACAATTAAATTTCTTTTAGATATTTTTTTGATAATTGCGTATAAATTCAGATTTAATATCATTTTAATCTAAATTATCTCAATGACAAATTCTCTTGTCGATTCATTTATAATATTAACTGAAAAATCTGATTTAAATTTATTAATTAAATCAATTATCCTTTCAATTTAGTTATTAACTATATATTTAGGAATTGCTTAATTTATAAAGTATGAAAACTCTTATACTTTGATTTTGGTGCCTTTCTTTTTTAAAATTGCATTTGGAATAAGAAAAAATAAATCTAATCTTAATTCTAAAGATCATATTGTTCAGGCATCAATTTTTCTTAAATAAAAAAAATTTTATGAGTGTTTCATGATTTTACTAAAATATAAAGAATCTAATCTATTGAGATAAATTAAATTAAAACTAATTTTATAGTAGGCTGTCAATGAATTTAATTTTGTTATAAATAAAAACTTTTAAACGCCAACAATTCAAAAGGATTTAGTAATGAAATTAATTTAGAATGATTCATTAAATTAAGCAATTTCATTAGAAATTAATTAAATTATAAAATGTAAAATTGATCTCCTTTAAAATTGGTATTAAAATTCAATTTAAGATATTTTAATTTTTATTAGAAAAATTATAAATACAAAATAAAAATTGGATAGTTTTTATTATAGATAGTCATTAAAGTGTAATTAATCGCTAATATTATTTTTTTATGCAGAAATCCTGAATGATATAATATAAGCTAATGAAATTCTTACTCATGTAAAGAAAATTACTAATGCAGCGATTAAAGAGTCATTTTTATATAAAAAAACACAATACATGAAAATAAAGTTTTTAGATTCATAATACATGATTGAATCTATTTCTAGTAATGCTCCTCAACAATACAAAAAAAAATTATTAAATGAATTGATTCCTTAAGGAGTTAGAGAACATCATGATGAACTGATATAAAATTATTTAACTACTGGTTAATCTAAATTTTCTCGGAATTTTAGCAAAAATTATATATAGAAAGACGGATTTATAGAATCTATTAATTTAGCTATTCAAATTATTTATACTCATTAAATTTAATTTATTTCACTTTTTACCAAAAATGCAAAATAAAATAATGTATTTATTATCATAACAAATGAGAATTTTGAATTAAAATCTATGTCAGAGTATTCTAATCAAATACCATTTTTGGATAAAGTATTTAAGCTTGGCATTTATGTCAATAAAATAATCAATTAATTAAATTCAGTCTCTTAATCTTGTCTAATTGAAAGCTCATTATACTATTCTCATCCAATTATAAAATCACGCTAAAGCTTTTATAATGAAACATCAGAATAAATGAATTATTTTTGCGATATAAATGTGACTGTAAAAATAATTAATGATGCACCAACATATTATATTTTGGAATTAGAAAACTTTAGAAATTTTTTAACAACTAAAAAAGAAACTTAAGTTTAAACATATACTTCTTTTGTATCTGTTAAAGGTTTGAATAATTGTGATGAAGTAGATTAGAATGAAGCTTTGTTAATACCTTATTAATCTGATGAATAAATTAAAAAATTTGATGTAGATCTGCATTAATTAATAACCTCTAGGGATGAAGACTTATATTTCTTACATAATGATATTGATAAGAATTAGTTAGCATTTGATAAATCTAATACAATACATGAATAATAACTCAATGATGAATACGAACAAGAAGAGTTTATGATTGATGTTAAATCACAAGGTTCTTCGATAGAATAATTAAGATAATCCAAATTTATTAGAAAGTATAGTTTAATAAATAGATTTAACAATCATTTACCTTTGAAAAAGCAATAATAGATTCTTATCTTATTATTTATCTTGTGTAGTATAATATCAATTATATTTATAATAATTGTAAATAAATTAAACATATTTTTTAGGAGTTGTTAAGTTTAAACCTAATTGGATTTGCAAGTGATATCAATTTGCTTGAAATTAAGAATTTATTTTTTTAACCATTAGATTTATTTTTGGCTACAAGATGGAATTTGTGGACATATAATTATGAAAAATAAAATGCTATTATTACTTAAGAAGAATATAATGAGTTATCTAAGTTTTCAATATCAAACTTAGGAGAGGGATATAATTAATTGAATTTTAACATGTAATCAGTATTGTTCAAATACGATTTATAAAATTTGTTATAGAATAAGATTTTATCAGTTTTTTAATAAACAGACACATTTAAAAATGAAAAGTACAATATGACTTTAAGGAGTGCTATATCAATACTATTAAATTTTTAATATATACTAAAAATGAATTATGTTTACGAAAAAACAGTGAAAGCAGATAGTCCATAAATATTTTATAGTTTTAAAAATTATCCATTACTTAGAGATATACTTACAGAATTAAACGAAGATATAATGATTGCAACCATTGCCAGAGGATAAGAATTTGAAACTAAACTTATAACTTTTTTCATCTGTTAATAAGTAATATTATTTATGATAATTTTATTAATTTTCGGATTAAAAAGGTACACAACAAAAAAACTGTAACTTTTTTTATCTCTAACTTCATATGTAGAAGATAATTATTTATAAAAAGAAATTTAAAAACAAAAAGCTCTATTAAGTTTACTCTAAGAAGACAGAACAAAATTATTTTTTTACAAATTTAATTTATTTGAAAAAGAAGCATCTTTTATATAAAAAAGAACAGATAAAACAACAGAAAATTAAAAGACACATCGTATAATTGATTAAAATAGATTACCAATAATTTAATTTACTATATTCCTTGGATTATTTTATATTCTAATTTAAGCAAGTTCAGTTGTAAATTATCTTTAGTATATGAATTATTTAAAGAAATATCCACAGACAGCTGCTTATAAAAAATAATTAAGTGATTTAAGTGGTGATATACCATTAATGTTTGCATAAAGGGAGGTTTTATATGGTAGAAAGAATTATATGTATTTGGATTCAGCATACTTTGATACAATATTTAAATATGTGCAAGAATCTTTAAATTAAACAATAGCTTTTTCTTCATCAAATCTAGATTTCTCAAAGTAATTATAAGATTAATATAGAATTTTGATGAGTGAAAAATTTGAAAAATTTTACAATGAGATATTAATAGAAAATCTATGCTAATTTTTACCTGAATATTTGATTGAAAAATCAAAATAATTATGTCCTATAACAATGAGTGGAAATATGAAAAGAGGACTTAAAATAATGTTAGTTTATATATCATCTCTAATTGAAACAGATATGGCTATAAACAATTTTACTTACAGAGCTCGTCCAACTTCAAATGAATTAGAAGGAGCTTATATGATATCCGAGATTATAAATGTTATAAATAAATCATTTTATGATGATTTAATAGATATTACAACATCATTAGTTGAATAATAGATGGTATTTAATATAAATATTTAGACTTTTAATATATTGTATTTATTAGTATTATTTGGAGTATTGATTGTTATTTTGACTATGATTAGACCATGTATGTATAAAAATAGCAGAAATATTATATAATTGATTTATCTAATTCCAGAATATACCTTATATAATGATGAGGCATTTGAAAGAACTTTAAGATTATTAATAAATTTATGAATTTTGAATAGATATTTAAATTAATTAAACACACAAAACATTTCATTTAAATTCATAATTTAAAGGTTGCCCTGTTTTAGCTAATTATTGAGAATTCCAGTTATCAACATAAACTTATTATTCATTTAATTTTTCTTCAAAATATTAGTATTCTTGCTACTTATTATTTCTAATAAAATCAAGTTCTTTATTATAAACATTAACTCCCATAACTTCAAGATACTCATTTGTATCAACAAATCTTTTTTTTGACTTACCTTTAATTTTATCTATAAACATATTTTCCAACTTTTAACTATATAATTTTTTATGTTTAACTAAATATAGTTGGATTTAATTTACTATTTGTGATAACTTTTTCTACTTGTTAATATGGGTTTTCTATAATTTTAGTATTAAAGTTGCTTTAAATGTCAGATAATATAAATTTTTCTTGATGAGCTAAATGTTCAGCTTCCTAATCTTTTACAAATCGATCCACTAATCTACTTGAAAGAGGGACACTTTTTTATTTATTTGTTGTTATTAATGAAAATGGAGGTCTATCATCCTTATTTTCGTACCACCTTAATCTCATATACCATAATCTATTATTATATTTTTCATCTTCACTCTTTTAAGATTCAATTATACTAATTTTCTAACTTTTATCTCTATAATCATCTGATCTAATCATTATTGTATTTAAAGGATTTCTTTCACAACTTGATGCTATTTTATTATTGAAGAATTCCCACTTCTCTTATTATATATCAAACTTATCTAATACTCTTTTTTCTCTTGTTACAGCATTTTGTAAATGAAGAGGAAGAGTTTATTCACACTTTAATTTCTCTTTTAAATTTGCTTCTATTCTTTTTTTAGCATCTACCATCTTTATTAATGCATCTTATCTTGGTAACATTTTAAATTCCCCTCTTGGTTTTTTTTATGTTTTTCTTTATGATCCCATTCCTGATATTTATGATTAAGATTATTATAACATAATTGGCTTATTTGAAGATGGATTATCATCTGAAAAAGAATCATCAAAATCTCCTTTTTTTTGTTTAATTACAACTTTTTATCTATTTCTATTTCTTACTGATAAAAATTAATCAGGTTTTCCAACTATAGACCATTTTACTATCTTTTCTTTTTTATCATCTTCATATCTAGGACCAATTTAGCTATCAATATACTTTCTTCGTTCTTCATTATTAACTTCTTTTATTTAAATATATTTATAACAAATACCATTAAAAATATTTCGAATGCTGTGCATAGAATTAGGTTTCATAAATTTTTATGTTGCGGCAGTTTATTAAAATTTATCTTCAAAGTTAAAATCACTGCCAGTCTACGCAGCTGTAACCGAAGGTCTAAAACTATCTTCAAGTTATTTGATACCCAAATCTACTTGATGACATAAAAAAAGTTTCTCTTTTTTATTCATTATATAATTTATTAATAAGTTTCAATAATCTTTTCACTCTAGAATTGTTTATTTATTTGTTTACTTTGTTAACCTCAAAAATATATTAAATTTATCATGTACTTTTATATCTATAATTGATCTTACCTAAACAATATATTTTTCTACTTTTTAAAATTAATTAAATTACTGTAAAATTTCACTTTATTATTTATTTTAAAATATACTAATAAGAATTTTTTGTTTCTTTTCATTATATTTGCAATATTTTAATTAATTAATTATGTTTATAATTGTTGGCTTTTATAATTTGTTTTTCAGGACTACTCCAACTCTAAACGGTTAAAAACAATTAACATCACGTACACAAACTTTGATTCCCTATTTCTGGAAAATTTATAATACTCTTACCATTACAAAATTACAAAATATTTACTCAGAAACTATAGCTAGAATCTTGAGATTCATTTTGAAATTATGTTAATTTATTTCAATAATTATTCCGATTCTAGATATTATTAAATTATCTCTCCAAATCAGTTGAAGACACATATTCTATTTTATATCATAACATACATCATTGAATTAGAACTTTGTAAGTAAGTAATTGATTTTTATTAAAATGTAAAAAAACCACAGTCATTATTTTTACATTTCAATAAGTCAATAAATAAAAACCTTAATTATTACTAATGAAATAATAGTATTATTCATCAAAATAATAGTATTCTTCAAGTAATAGTATTTTTTAAATCAAATAAGTACTATAAAATTGATTTTTAATATTGTTTAATTATTGTTTATAAAATCATATGAAAAGCGAATAAGCATTACATACTTTGTGTGCCATTAAAAAAAAAATCAACACTTTATAAAATTGTAATCATACAGCAAGGATTGAATCAAATAATAGAAGAACATCTATTCAAATAAAGGACTTTAGTAGTGGAAAAAAAGACACTAAATTGTTGTAAAAAAATTAAGTGGCAAATGTATAAGCAATTCTTTAAATTTCTAAAAGTTCTAAGACGTTGATAAAATAAAAAAGTATATTAAAAGCATTATATAGGTGATGAACATCTAAAAATAACGTAATCAGGAATTTAAAGAAAATCTGTCAAAGAAATAGATGGTTAATAGAATCTCAAAGAGGGTGATGTCTATAAAACTATTTCACCCAAAGTTGTGATTAATAATGACAAAATCAATGTTTACTTTGTAAAGGAAGTCAGTAAATACCATATAAATACTGAAACAAAACCACCAAAAGAAGAAACAATAAGCACTGAAAATACTTTAATTTTATAAGAAATTTAATAATAAAGGGTCTATTTAAAAACATCTTAATAACAAATTACAGCACCTGGAAATAAATAGATGTTCTCTAACATACCAAAAAGTATGTTAAGTAATCATAAAAGTCTTTTAAATTAATCAGCTAGAAAATTATAAGATATTAAAATTCATAAATGAATTGCTTCATAATTTTGATAATATTTTGAGATTTAAGTTTATATATAACAGTTATTTTAAATCATTTAAGTTTCACTTAAAATTATAAAATTTATGTAGAAATAGTTAATTCGATTGTTAATTTTATAAATTGTTGTAAGAAATCATGGATAGCATGTACAAATTAAGTATATAGTTTTTACAAATGTTGAAATATTAATAAATATGAATTAAACTTTTATAAACTAAAATAAGTCTGTTTCCATATAATTGATATTCAATATAATTTTATATAAAAATTTTGTTTATTTAATGTCTACCTTTTATAAAGAAAAATGCATTATATTATAGAATTTATTCTTATATATATTTTTTTTAAGAAAAGGAAGTATATTTTTTTTGTTTAGAAATTTATGATGAAATTGAAATACTATTTATTTTATTTAGATTTCTTCTAATTTGATAATCTACTATTATTTATCATTTTGTGAAAATAAGTGGAATTAATAATGGAAATCATTAAAATAATCAAATATTTTTTTTAAGGTGATCAAATTATTTGAGATAGTTTTTATGATAGTGTATAAAGGATTGAAGTGTAGAAAACATTGTTTTAATTGTAATTTATGATTTTTAGTTAATTTAGTGAATTGATAGGTTTTTTATATTTAGTTTTTATAAAGTGATTTGGATTTTGTATTAATGATTAGAAATACTTATAAGGTTGAAAGATGATATTTTAGGAGGGATTTTGATTAGATTTTTTAGGATGTAATAAGAAAAATTAGAATTAATAATTTTGGAATTTCTAAAAATCTGAGTTATACAAAGTATTGAATAAAAAAAAATATTCTATATCTATATATAGAATTAGTGATTTAAGAACTGAAAAAATTCTGAGTAAATGAAATAAAATAAATTAAGCATTAAATGGGTCATTTAAGTTCATTACTAAGAAAGAATTGGATTCTATGGAAGAGAAACTGTTTCTGTTCAACTTGTGAAATAATATTACCATTATTATTAATATTGGCATTAGGAGGAATAAGGTTTGAGTTTATTATAATATTAAAAGAGGTGTAGTAGATAAAAGTATTTTGGAGGAGACAGCCTTTATATAACCAGAATTAGATTGGAAATCTAAGGATCCAAATGTTCCAGTGATATTAGAGCCATTAATTGATGAGAAAGTAATTGAAAATAAGTTGATGGCTATGTAAAAATGGAACGCAAGTTTAAATTTAATTGAGAACTTAAAAAGTTTGGATACATAGAGTAGATTATTAGTGTTACCAAAGATGAAGTAAGAAATAATTGAATATTTTAGAAATTGTTTAGATAATTACAACTATTAATAGGAGAGATTTTGGCTAAATGGAGATGTAGCACTTGGACCAAATGAAGAACATGAGGTAGTAAAGGAATTAAAGTATATATTTGAAAGTAAGAAATAAATAAGATTGTTTTAGCCTATTATAATTATAAGACAATAATATTTAAAAATAATGATGATCTTAATGATTATACATCACATAAAGATTATGGTAGAAATGGGAATCCTAGAGTTTGTTTTGGAGTAATGTTTAATGAGAGTGCTGGAGAGAATATTTATGATTATTAATTGAGATTTAATTCTNTTTATCATTTTGTGAAAATAAGTGGAATTAATAATGGAAATCATTAAAATAATCAAATATTTTTTTTAAGGTGATCAAATTATTTGAGATAGTTTTTATGATAGTGTATAAAGGATTGAAGTGTAGAAAACATTGTTTTAATTGTAATTTATGATTTTTAGTTAATTTAGTGAATTGATAGGTTTTTTATATTTAGTTTTTATAAAGTGATTTGGATTTTGTATTAATGATTAGAAATACTTATAAGGTTGAAAGATGATATTTTAGGAGGGATTTTGATTAGATTTTTTAGGATGTAATAAGAAAAATTAGAATTAATAATTTTGGAATTTCTAAAAATCTGAGTTATACAAAGTATTGAATAAAAAAAAATATTCTATATCTATATATAGAATTAGTGATTTAAGAACTGAAAAAATTCTGAGTAAATGAAATAAAATAAATTAAGCATTAAATGGGTCATTTAAGTTCATTACTAAGAAAGAATTGGATTCTATGGAAGAGAAACTGTTTCTGTTCAACTTGTGAAATAATATTACCATTATTATTAATATTGGCATTAGGAGGAATAAGGTTTGAGTTTATTATAATATTAAAAGAGGTGTAGTAGATAAAAGTATTTTGGAGGAGACAGCCTTTATATAACCAGAATTAGATTGGAAATCTAAGGATCCAAATGTTCCAGTGATATTAGAGCCATTAATTGATGAGAAAGTAATTGAAAATAAGTTGATGGCTATGTAAAAATGGAACGCAAGTTTAAATTTAATTGAGAACTTAAAAAGTTTGGATACATAGAGTAGATTATTAGTGTTACCAAAGATGAAGTAAGAAATAATTGAATATTTTAGAAATTGTTTAGATAATTACAACTATTAATAGGAGAGATTTTGGCTAAATGGAGATGTAGCACTTGGACCAAATGAAGAACATGAGGTAGTAAAGGAATTAAAGTATATATTTGAAAGTAAGAAATAAATAAGATTGTTTTAGCCTATTATAATTATAAGACAATAATATTTAAAAATAATGATGATCTTAATGATTATACATCACATAAAGATTATGGTAGAAATGGGAATCCTAGAGTTTGTTTTGGAGTAATGTTTAATGAGAGTGCTGGAGAGAATATTTATGATTATTAATTGAGATTTAATTCTAGTGGATTTAATAATTATGAAATACCTCCAACAAATTTAATAGAAGTGGATCCAGTAAAATATTAAGATTATGATAAAACTAATACATATTGGAAATCCGGTATGTTAACAGTTTAAACCTTTGTTGATAATATAATTCTAAGGATTGAAACAAAAAGTTAAGCATAAATAATACCAAAATTTACATATGGTATAAATTTATAATAAATAAATAAGTTCATTAATAGGAAGGAGTGAAAGATGAATTTGCAACATTTCTGAGAGGCCAATTTGGTGTTTATTTGATATTACCTCTAATAATTATATATTTAAGAATGACTTATGCAATGATATATGAGAAAGAAAAGAAACTTAGAGAAGGTATGAAGATGATGGGATTAAATAATACATCTTTTTATTTATCATGGATAATTTAATATGTAATTATCTATACAATAATATCAATAATTGCTACAATATTATTGACTGCTATAGTATTTACTCACACTGATGGATTTGTATTATTTTTAAATTATTGGCTATTTTGTATGGTGTTAATATTCTAATCAATGTTTATAAGGTATTAAATTTAATTTAAAGTTTTAGTGTATTTTTTACAAGAGCATTATTTGGATTAATAGTAGCAATAGTTTGGTATTTACTGATGTATATGGTAATAAGTTTAGTAGGAAGTGGATCAGAGATAGTTCCTGAATCATCGTATTGGGGAGCATCAATATCATCTCATGCAGGTATGTCATTTGCTTTTGATGTTATGGTAATGTTTGAAGCATAAGGCAGAGGAGTACAAATGTCAACAATCTCAAGCAAAGTTGAAAATTATGCTGTCAATATTGCTTTAATCATGCATATCTTAAACATTCTCTTTTATTTAATTATGTCTATATATTTAGATCTAGTCTTTCCTAATGAATGGGGTAAAAAATTACATCCTTTATTCTGTATTCCATATTTTAATAGATCTCATAATAATCAATAAAAAAATCTTATGAAAAAATCATCTTAAGTTCATTAAGAAAGATATGAAGAAGTTGAACAAGCTTTAAAAGATTAAGAAAGTAGAAAAGAAGTACTCTAAATTTCTAATCTTACTAAAATATATCCAAGTGGTAAATAAGCTGTTAGTAATGTAAGTTTAACTATGTATATTGGTTAAATTTATGCTTTATTAGGACATAATGGTGCTGGTAAAACTACTACTATTTCAATGTTAACAGGACTCTTAGATATTACATAGGGAGAAGCATCTGTATTTGGGTATGATGTTGAAACTTAAATTGAAGAAATTAGATAATTTATGGGTGTCTGTCCATAACATGATATTTTATTTGATAATTTAACTGTTAAAGAACATTTAGAAATGTTTGCTACTTTTAAAGGAATGAAACCTGAAGATATTCCAGCAGCTGTCAGAAGAATGATTGAAGACGTTGATCTCTTAGAAAAAACTGATTATCTTAGTAAAAATCTATCTGGAGGATAAAAAAGAAGATTATCTGTTGCTATTGCATTTATAGGGAATTCGAAATTGATATATTTAGATGAACCTACTTCAGGAATGGATACAAGTGCAAGGAGATATATATGGGAAATGCTTAAAAATTATAAAGAAGATAGAATAATTGTTTTAACAACTCATTTTATGGATGAAGCTGATTTTCTAGGAGATCGAATTGGTATTATGGGAGAAGGCAAATTATAATGTTCTGGTAGTAGTGTATTCTTAAAGAATCAATTTGGTAATGGATATAATCTTACCATTGTCAAGGAGAGTACTCTTACTGATTCTGATCCTATAATTGATATTATTATGAAAACCTGTCCAGAAGCTATCTTGATTTCTAAAGTTTCAGCTGAAATACTTATGCAATTACCTTTAGCTTCAGTTAATAAATTTCCAAAATTATTTGGAGAATTAGATACTAATTTATAATCATTACATATATCTAGTTATGGAATAAGTATTACTACACTTGAAGAAGTATTTTTAAAGGTTGCTTAAATAGGAGCTGGACATCATTAAGTAAATGATTATATTGAAATGGAAGATAAAAATAAATAAGCTGTTTAAATTGATGATTTCGATATTAATTAAATAAGAGTAACAAATTCAACTCAATTATTTTTTAATCATACACTAGCTTTATTAATGAAAAGAGCAAGATTTTTTAAAAGAGATCTTAAAAGTCTTTGTTGTGAAATCCTCTTACCTTGTTTAGTTGTACTTCTTGGATTGATTTTAATGACTATAGATTTCATTACTGAACCAAATATCATAATATTGACTCCACCATCTAATTGTTATGGTTAAAATATTTAGTATTTATGGGGAGGATTGAATGATTAATAATTATTTTCTTAGATAGATTTAGAATTGTATAATGAAACTATTTAAGTATTTGGAGATGATAGTTTAAATAATCTATAAAAGATTGATTAAAGTTACTTTGAGACATTTGATTTAAGATCAAATATTGGGTGGTATTATTTGATAAGTAATTCAAATAATTAATTTATATATTATATGTTTGTAAACACTATTTTTAGAGAAGCACCTCTAGTTTTATAAAACTAAATGAATTAAGCAATTTTGAGAACAGCTACAAATAATAATAATTATTAGATAAAAGTTACAAATTCTCCTTTGAGGAAAACATATGAAGAATTAAATGGATCAAAAACAATAGCTGGATTTTTATCTGCTCTTATTTTTTCAATGGGTATGGCATTTATTCCTGCATCATTAATATCATATATAGTAAAGGAAAGAGAAATTAATATTAAACATTAATAATTGGTATCAGGTGTTTCAGTGAAAGCATATTGGTTCAGTAATTGGTTAATGGATTTAGGAAAGCATGTAATTCCAGCAGTGGTTTGCTGTTTATTAATTTTGGCATTTGATATATCAGCTTTAATAGAAGGAGAGAATTATGGATTTTCATGGTTAATTTTCTTTTTATATGGTTGGGCAATTATTCCTTTTTGTTATTTTTTTAGTTTTGCTTTTAGATAATAAGGAAATGCAATGTTATTGAGTTTTTTTATTCATTTATTAGTTGGTTCAATAATAAGTTTAATAGTGTATATACTAAGATTGATACCATCAACAAGAGATGTAGCAACTGTTTTATAATGGATTTTTAGATTGATTCCATCATTTTCATTTGCATATGGTATTTTAAATGCATGTTCTAAAGAAACTTATATGATAATGGAAGGATGGAGTGAAATGAAGAGTACATATGATATGGCTGTAAGTGGAGGAGATGTATTAATGTTATCTATAACGGGTGCATTTTATTTGATTTGCATATTTATAATAGAATACTTTGAAGATAATGGATAATTATAAAAATTGGGTTCAAGTGAATCTAGTATTCCATACATTCCAAAACCTATTGATGATGATGTAGCATAAGAAAAATAAAAGTGTTTAACATTTAAACCTGAAGAGAAAGCTATTCTTGTAAAGGATTTAAGAAAAGTATTTATGTTAGGAGAAGGTAAACATAAAGTAGCTGTTGATTAAGTTAGTTTTGCAATAGATCAAGGAGAAGTATTTGGATTATTAGGAGTTAATGGAGCTGGTAAAACTACTACCTTTAAGATTTTATCAGGAGAATTGAAACCTACTAGCGGAGAAGCATTCATTGCAGGGAAGAGTGTTATTACTGATCTTGAAGCAGCTAGAGTAAATATTGGATATTGTCCTTAATTTGATGGACTTTTAGATAATCTTACTGTTCGAGAACATATTGAATTATTCTCAGATATTAAAGGAATACCATATTTTAAAAAAGATGAATTAGTTGAAAAAAAACTAAATGAAATGGATTTAAAAAGATTTGAACATATTTAATCAGGATAACTTTCAGGGGGTAATAAAAGAAAATTATCAGTTGCTATTGCAATGATTGGAAATCCTCCTATCGTATTTTTAGATGAACCTTCTACTGGTATGGATCCAGAAGCTAGAAGATTTATGTGGAATGTTATCTCAAGAATTGCTACTTAAAGAAAATAGAGTACTATCATTTTAACTACTCATTCTATGGAAGAAGCAGAAGCTTTATCTACTAAAATTGCTATTTAAGTTAGTGGTAATTTAAGATGTCTTGGATCTGTTTAACATATTAAAAATAAATTTGGTAAAGGATATGAAATTGAAGTTAAATTAGAAAAACCATCAAAAAATGAAATTTAAGACTTAGTTCAAAATATGGGATTATAAAATAATTCTAGACTTGATTAAAATACTACTGTTGAAACATTAAGAAAAATTAATTCAAGTCATTTAGAATAAGAAATCACTATGAAAGGTTCAGGATCTCATATTTATAATGATATTAGAAAACCTAATGGATTAGCTGTTGAAACACTTGCTGAATATGTTATTGTAGAAAGAACAGGAGAACTCTTAAAGAACTTTATTCAACAGAGTTTTGGATAATTTGAAGTGATTGAGCATTTCCAAACTTTCTATAGATTTAGACTTCTTGGATAAATTACTGTTAGTAAACTCTTTTAAGGATTTGAATAAAATGTAATTTTATTAATTTAATAATTTAGAAAAAACAATATAGAATTTCCCAGTATTCCATTAAATAAGCATCAATTGAATAGATTTTCAATAACTTTGCAATTTAGGATTCTCAATAATAGTAAAAGCACGAGGATGTTTAAGGAAATTAAATTGCAGTTTAAATTTAATAAAATTCTTGATTTTAATTTTGTATTGAACTATTATAAATGTTTATCTTAATCATTAAATATTGAATTCACTAATTTTTTTTTCTTCTTAAATTGTTTCTTTTAAGACAACTTAATCTCCTTTGAGAATAATCCAATCATAGTTTTTATAATAATAATGATATGGAGATCCAGGAGGATGTAAAATATAACTAGCCTACATATAAGATATGAGTGTTTCACCCCCTTTTATTAATATTATTTATACTAGTTCCATATATTAATGTGTAAGTTGAAGAATAAGAAATCATAGGTTCACATGTTACTCTAAGATAAGCTGAACCACTTTAAACATTGACATCAAATCCACTTATACCTTATGCTAAAATATTGTTTCCTGGTTCTAAAGTATAGATAGATGGTACAATTCTTGTAAATTTTTAAGCTCTTATTGCCAATCTATTTGAATTATCAAGGTATTAATTAAAATAATTATGATAAGCACCTACAGATCCTGCTAAAGTTAAATAATTATTTGAAATAAAATATGCAATTGTTAAAGATCTTACATGACAGAAATCTCTTGTTGAAAATCTAATATCCATACTAGAAGAATCTGGTATTCCCATCACCATTTAAATACTTGTATATAAAGACTCTACTATTTCTAAATCGGCACCAACTATAAATGCTGTCACTTTTGGGGCTGGGTATTTTGGATAATATGAAATCATAAAATCTTATGATCTTTAACCAAAACCTTATCTAAGCTTATATAAATCTTCATATGTATATTGCACATATTAAATTTCGGCTTCTTAATCAACTATTGCTATCCATCTAACACTTAATATTGGTATAATGGCAGGTCCCCATATTACATAGTTTATATAAAATCCATTTATTGTGATATCAGAAACGTATGTTTAGTAATTTATATTTTTCCCTTTGCCCCATTAAATCTCTTCATGCATCAACAAAACCTATGGTCGACTACTATGATTTTATCTTATACGCACTAAATCTTCTCGGAAACACTATTTAAGTGTATTACCTTATTGGAAATGAAGGATTTGTAAATTCAGATTGTTTATTTATTGTACGATCTATCCCTGATTACCATTCGGAATAATATTCAGATCCAAATTAAGCTGAACATATAACTATGCTCAATATTACTATTAAATATAACATATTAAATTTATATAAAAAGAATAATCATTTATATTATTCATTATAATTTAATCTTATAGATGTTATGTAAAATTAAATTAATCATTTCAATTTTATTAGCGATTCTAAAGTTTATTATTTTATTATGTCATCTGCTCTTTTTGAACTTTTGCTTCTCTATTACAATTCTATTTGTTCAATTTATTTATACTCTTTTTATTCTATATATAACGATACCTCTATTCTTCTAAATCATACTATTATTCTAAGAACTGTTTTTAGATATTGATTACAACTAATCTGTTCGTTTCCTATCTTATTGTGATGCATTTTAAATTAAATCATTAATAGATGATAGAGAATTATGTTTACTCCTCATTATTTAACCGTAAATATTATTTAAATCTTTTTGTTGTATCGATTTCATCACCTCTGATTTTTATTTTGTATTTGCATTTGTTATTATACTATAATAATTTAACTTTTATGATGCTTATGTAGGAAGTATCAATTCTGGGTTTGCTTTATGCTCAGAATTAGAATTTTATTATCTTTAATCTAAAACAAACTTTGGATTAAGTCCATTCTTTTATAATTTTGATGATTAGTTTGTTTGTTAATTTATTAAGGCTTATAAATAATCTCTTTAATTAGAGTCTATTTATTTCTTTTTATTTTCTTTCTCTAAATTTTATATGGTTTATTTTAAGTTATTTACTTCCTATTATAATTATTATTCTTTCTCATTCAACTCTTAATTCTCTCTTTTTAATCTCTATCATTATTCAATTATATATATTTACACTTATATTATTTTTAGTAGTTTCTAATAATTCTTATCTAATTTGCTCACTCTCATCTAATTTATTTTGAATAGATTCTGCAAATAGTTTTAATTGTTATTCAACCTAAACCTTTTTTATTTATCAGTACACTTATATGGCTGCGAATTTCTTGCTCATATTTTATTAGAGCTTATTCTAATTTGTCATATTCTTCATCATCTTTATATTATTAAGACTTATCCAATTCGTTGCATTTATCCAATTTCCTTTGGATTTTGAATAATAATTTTTTACTTACAACACTTTCTTCTCTATTTTCAGCATTAGTTTAGTAAATATTACTTTTATAATACCAACCAAATAAGACAAACTTTCATAGTCTTTCAACTCATTTTCAATTTAATTTAGTTCTTCCTTTGTTTCTATATATTTCTCCACATAGACTAAAATCCTCTCAAGTAAATCCTTTAAGTTATTTTCTAATTCTTTATCAGTTGTTGTAAAAGTATTTATACTTGTCGGAGTTTAGTTCATTTATTAATAAATAATATTTGTATATATTCTTTAATCTATAAAGAGATAAGAACTTTTTTAGATCTCAAATTAATTAAGCTTTCAAAATAACATATTTTTATCATAAAATCAAAAGAGATAAATATCAATAAGTTTCTTAAATATAAATTTTTTGGTTAATTATAAATTATTTAAATCATATTAAATTCCATATATATTTATATATATATAATTTTAGAAAAAGAAGATACACATGTTCTGAGATTAAATAAATATATTAATAACTAATTTTAAATTTATATATATAATCACTATTACAAAGAAGTCATTTATTTGTTGTTACTTAATAATAATCTTAAGAATTTGGATTTTTAGTATTCTATTTTTTGATTGGTTGAGTTTTGAAATTTTAAAAATTTTCTATTTCTTTGTTAATCTATATTGCTAAATCAACAAAGGAAACAATTAACATTGGAAAAGCTTCTTAAAAATTTGAATCTGGTTGAAGTTCAGTCAATATAATGTTTGATATTTTTTACATTAATTACACAAATTAGATAGCAAATTTCTCATCATTATGTATTAAATAATAATCACTTTCTTCTACCCTTTTTATTATTTTTTACTCTCTCATAATTCTTTTAATACTATTCTATATAAGTATATTAATATTGGATCTCTAAATAATACAATTATTCAATTAATCTCTAGTGTGAGTTGGCAAATTATCCAAATTACCAACTAATCCTAAGAAATCTGTGAATTTTTTATATTAATATAGTAAATCCTTTACAGATTAACCAGTTTCACTTCTTTATTCTGAGGGTCTTGATTATGGTTAGCTAATTGATTACACTTGCATATAAGGTTATTCAACTATATTTAATTCCTACTATTTCTATCTCTATTTTGGCTATGGTTTTGTTCCAGAGCATGCTCCTCCCATATTTGAAGACAAGATAATAACTTAATTAAATTACGTAAAATTTATAAAACTTAACAATCATTTTCTTTGCTTTGACCTGGTCATTTTTAAATAATCATATTTTGCAAATACCATATATATTGATAACATCCAACATATTGTACAATAATCCTATATTCCTAAAATAATTAGAAATACATCATAATTATTTGCAGACTACATATTCAGTATTACATCATCTACTTATGTATAAATGACTTATAATGAAATAATTTATTTTAATTGTTAATAATTGTATATTGGTTTAAAATTTAAACAAAATTTTACTATAAATGCAGTAAATTCTTTGTAATATCTATAAATTCTGTAATTTAAGTCTTAATTTATTTTTTTAGATCTTAAATAGTTAGTCTATCTACAAAATTTAATCTCTAATAAATTTCCAAAAATCAATTGAAAATTATAATCCTATTAAAAAATAGCTCTTATTATATTGAGCCTTTTTATACAATATTCAGATTAATTTTTCAAAAACTTCAATTAAACATTTTAATATAATTTCATCAATAATGAGATTTCTTCTATCCAAACTAAAACAAATTAAAACAATATAAAATCAGATCAATTCATTTGTTTGTCTGACTTTAATTATTGTTATTTTTGTTTTTTTAGTAATAAATATAAATATAACATAAAATGTATAAACAACCTAATTTATGAAATTATTATTATTTTGATAAAAAATAAAAGATTACATATCAAGTTATGTTTCTAGAATTTCTCTAATAAAAATCCTAATTCTATAGATTTAAAAATAAGATTATTTTATAGAATTGAATTGTATTTGTGGAAATAAATTATTGTGTAACACTCTATGATTATTATTTATTTTCTTTTTAAATATTTTATTTTTCATCTAATAAAAGATTGTTATATGCTTAATGATACCCCATATTTCATATAATGAGGAATAAAATATAAACTTTAACAATCTACCAATTTTATCTTATCTCAAAAATTAAAGGAAGAAATAAGTTCAATATGTAAAATTTAGAATGCAGACAGTAAAAATCCATAAAAACTTTGCTGAATATCAAGTATTTTTAATTTTTAACCATTTTTTAGGTGGAAGTAAATGAATATGGAAAAATATGGATTATGGAAATACGCTATAGTACACTCTTGCAATTCTATTAAAAACTCAAGAAACTTTTTGGCATCAAAATAGCATTTCCATCTAAAGTTTTATTTGGAAATCTCTGTCCAGATACTTTAAAAAAAAGAGCAATCAGAATTCAGAAGTTTCTACAAGAATTAGGCAGGTAAATATATGGTTCATTTTTTTAGTAATTATTAACTTATTAATTCTGATGAATGTACTTAATTTCTGACGAAGCAACAATATTATGGAACTTAAATTATTGATCTTACTGAAATAGAAGAATTCGAATTAGATGCCTGACTAATTTTAATTTGTAATTAATTCTCACTTTATACATATTATCAAAGATTTGAAATTCTAAAAGAATATTACAATTTAATAAAATAATGAAATCAATTAAGATATTAATTTAGGGAATTCCTTCTCTTTGTTAATATCTTTAATTTTGAATCAATCATATTAACTTTAAAACCCGAACCTTCGAACCTTGTTAAATAAAAGAAAAGTCTTACAATACTTCTCTTATTGTTTAAAGATATAATTAATTGGTAGTGGATATTTTTGAGAAATTAATTAAATATGTTAATAATTTCAAATATGCTTTATAGCAAGCTTAACTCAAAATGTCCGACTATTAAAATACATTAGATGCTTCATCATGCTTTAATAAATCCTGTGAATCATTTAAAGAAAATTAACTTGATAATAGAAGTAAGAATTTTAATTATCAACAAGATTTTACTCCTAAGAACCCTACTAATAGACCTTAAACTGCAAGAGTTGATTATTTCGATCCTCTAAAAAAGAGAAGAAATTAACAAAGCTACAACAGAGTTGTTTGGATAAAATTTAAATACAAATAAAGGAGATTCTTTATGGATATAATCTCCAATTATATCAAGTTACAAGTAGATCAATTAATATGATCAAATAAAATACTCCTTAGAATAATGAAACCTTTCTTAAATCAACGTTTTTAGCTCCTGAATAAAACAGAGGATTAGATCATCGTTATTTTCAGAATTTACATTATTAATAAAATAAAAAAAATGATTAATCTCTGAAAATTCAAAAGGAAATTTAAAATGAATTAAAATACAATTAATTAAATTAAAAAATAGAATAAACAAAAAAACTCTACTCATATTCATCAAAATATAATTAATAATGAAAATATTAATTCAATTAAAATTTCAATAGCAATTCTTATTTGTTCCGAATATTATTAGAAAACACAAAGAACGTCTAAAAATTAGCATTTAATTAAATAAATAATTGAACTTAGAAGTTAAAATAATCGAAAACAATGTCCAAAAGGAAGCCAAAAATTATAGAAAAATAATTTTATTATCCAATCTATTTTAGGATTAATGTAATTTATTCAATCAATATAATGGTTAAAAAGGATTGACGGAATTGTTCTTTCAGAAATTTAAATGAATACATCAAAAGCAGCTATTACTTTAGAGAATTTTCTTAATCAACAGAAAAAAATATGTAGTTTTTTAGTGAAATTGATTTCTAAAAGAGTAGGAAAATAGATAAGAAATTAAAAAGAATAGATACTTTGGTTTTAGATTTGGATTAAACATTGGTTCATTATCAAGAGATAATTAAATCTTAAATAAATAGTTTCCTAAAAAAGGAGGAGAATAGACCATTTGCAGAAGAATTTATTGAAACATTATCAAAATAATATGAAATAGTTATTTTCACAGCAGCTTTATCAGATTATTCAAATTTTATAAAAGATATAATTGATAAAAATGAAGTAGTTTAATAAAGATTGTATAGAGATTAAACTGTTTTTAAGGTTGATGTTTATATCAAGGTATTGAATGTATTAATATTTTATAGGATCTTTCAAAATTAAATAAAAATCTATCGAAATTTATAATAGTAGATAACATGCCTGAAAATTTTAAATTGCAACCAGAGAATGAAATTTACTTTTAAGCTGGTTTGGAGATGCGAAAGATAGAGCAATTAAAGATCTTATATCATTGCTTGAATGTATGGATTATAATATATTTCTAATAGAAATTGTAATTAAAAAGTGTAACGATATTGGAGTAGCTTTGAATTAATTTAGAGAGTAAATGATAGAAAAAGTTTAAAAAGGTATAAAAAATCCTTATTAATGTTTTGAATTGTATTGAATCATTATAAAATTTGGATATTGACTAAATATATATCTAATATTATAGTATAAAATAATTAAGATTTTGATTGGGAGAATAAAAATGTTTAATAATATCTTAAACATCTTAATTTGAAAAAGATAGAATATAATTATAATAATTTAAAATCACAAAGAGATTATAATTAGGAATAGAATAGTAAAGTGAGATTCTTGTATCTTTTGTGATTAGGAAATAGGGATTATTAGAATGGAGTAAATTCGAAAATAAAATATAATTTATATGAATCAATTTGAATCTACAGAGGGAAGAATTTTATATCTAATTTATACTCTATACATGAACAATAGCATTTCAATAGATTAGAAGGGGATATTAAAAGGTACTTATGGTGTAATATTAGAAGATTATTTAATCACAAAAGAAAATGGGAGATTTATGAATGCTATAAAATCATTTGAGTTATCTAAAGATATTGAATAATTATCAGATTTTCTAGTTTAATTCGTTAACAGTAAATTGGATAATAAATCTTAGTGGAGAACTCAATATCAGACTATGTTTCAGTTGATTCTTTTAAAACAATAAAGTCTTCGAAACCTTGTGAGTTATTGAGGGAAACTACTTAGAGTTCGAATCCAAATTCTAATCAATACATATTATTTTCGCCTGTTTTGATATAGAAAAAGAATGGAGACGTATAGTTTATTTCTAGGAAAGATAGAAAATACTCAACTTAAATATAATGATTTATTTTAATAATGGAATAATTATTACCTATGGTTATTGAAGAATACAATGTCTTTAAGCAATTTATAAGGGAGTTGTATAAGCAAACTCCATTACAAGAATACACAAAATCTTTGGATATTTTTGATACTGCTGTACTAGTATCAATTATAAGTATAATTGGCTTATGGGCTATAAGGAATCTAAATTTTCCAAACAAAGATTACAATTAAAGTATATAAGATTTTATAGAATAGGTTTTTTTGGATATTTGAAGGCATAGATATTTCTATTCTTTGTAAATTATTGTCCAGGTGTAAATTCTTACATAGAAAAATAAAAATAGAATGCATTACAATCTTTTAGTGATTCAATGGAAAAAATGANTGTAACGATATTGGAGTAGCTTTGAATTAATTTAGAGAGTAAATGATAGAAAAAGTTTAAAAAGGTATAAAAAATCCTTATTAATGTTTTGAATTGTATTGAATCATTATAAAATTTGGATATTGACTAAATATATATCTAATATTATAGTATAAAATAATTAAGATTTTGATTGGGAGAATAAAAATGTTTAATAATATCTTAAACATCTTAATTTGAAAAAGATAGAATATAATTATAATAATTTAAAATCACAAAGAGATTATAATTAGGAATAGAATAGTAAAGTGAGATTCTTGTATCTTTTGTGATTAGGAAATAGGGATTATTAGAATGGAGTAAATTCGAAAATAAAATATAATTTATATGAATCAATTTGAATCTACAGAGGGAAGAATTTTATATCTAATTTATACTCTATACATGAACAATAGCATTTCAATAGATTAGAAGGGGATATTAAAAGGTACTTATGGTGTAATATTAGAAGATTATTTAATCACAAAAGAAAATGGGAGATTTATGAATGCTATAAAATCATTTGAGTTATCTAAAGATATTGAATAATTATCAGATTTTCTAGTTTAATTCGTTAACAGTAAATTGGATAATAAATCTTAGTGGAGAACTCAATATCAGACTATGTTTCAGTTGATTCTTTTAAAACAATAAAGTCTTCGAAACCTTGTGAGTTATTGAGGGAAACTACTTAGAGTTCGAATCCAAATTCTAATCAATACATATTATTTTCGCCTGTTTTGATATAGAAAAAGAATGGAGACGTATAGTTTATTTCTAGGAAAGATAGAAAATACTCAACTTAAATATAATGATTTATTTTAATAATGGAATAATTATTACCTATGGTTATTGAAGAATACAATGTCTTTAAGCAATTTATAAGGGAGTTGTATAAGCAAACTCCATTACAAGAATACACAAAATCTTTGGATATTTTTGATACTGCTGTACTAGTATCAATTATAAGTATAATTGGCTTATGGGCTATAAGGAATCTAAATTTTCCAAACAAAGATTACAATTAAAGTATATAAGATTTTATAGAATAGGTTTTTTTGGATATTTGAAGGCATAGATATTTCTATTCTTTGTAAATTATTGTCCAGGTGTAAATTCTTACATAGAAAAATAAAAATAGAATGCATTACAATCTTTTAGTGATTCAATGGAAAAAATGACAACTAAAAAGACATTAAAACTTCCTGAAAATGGGATTGATACAGATACAATAATGGATAAACTAAATGAATGGGTAGAAAGAGATATTAAACATTATGGTAGTGGTAAAGTGTCTGGATCATTATATGTAATGCCAGATAAATAATTTATAAAAAATGCATAAGATTTTTGTAAAAACTTTTTATATTCTAATCCATTACATCCTGATTTATGGCCAGCAACAAGATAGATGGAAGCAGAAGTAATTAGAATGACTGGAGATTTATTTGGATAAGAAAAAGAAAGTATAGGAATAGTTACAACTGGAGGAACAGAATCAATACTTTTAGGTATGTTAGCATATAGAAATTGGGGAGAATAATATAAAGGAATAACAAATCCAAATATGTAAATTTATTTAATTATTTATAGAGTTATACCTGAGACTGCTCATGCTGCATTTTATAGAGCAGGTGAATACTTTAAAATATAAGTAAGAATAGCAAAGGTTAATTAAACAACCTTTTAAGTAGATGTTAATGATTTAAGAAGATAAATTGATTCTAATACAGTTTGTATAGTAGGATCTTTACCAAATTTTGGTTATGGAATTTTTGATCCTATAGAACAATTAGCTTAAATAGCAAAGAAAAAGAAAATTGGATTACATATTGATGCATGTTTAGGAGGATTTACTGCTATTTTTGCAAAAGATCATGGTGTTGATCTTGGAAAGTTTGATTTTACTTTAGATGGAGTTACATCAATATCATGTGATTAACATAAACATGGTTTAGCACCTAAAGGAGTATCAACTGTATTATTTAAAACTAAATAATTACGTGAGAGTGCTTTCTTTTCAATTGCAACATGGTCAGGTGGTGCTTATGCTGCTCCAAGTATGTAAGGATCTAAATGTGGAGTTGGTGTTGCTGGTGCATGGTTTACTATGTAATCTATTGGTAAAAAAAAATATATTGAATACAGTAAAAAAATTATGGATGCTACATAATTATTGGCAAAATAATTATCAGAAATACCTGAAATCTAAGTTTGTGGAAATCCTTAAATTAATTGTGTTGCTTTCATTAGTAAGTAATCATGGCTCAATGTTTATGCTGTTCATGAAATATTGACTCATCAAGGTTGGACTATTAGTAGTGTATAAAAACCAGCAGGTATTCATATTAGTATTACTTAATAAAATGTTTCTAATTTGAAATAATATGTTCATGATATTAAAGCTGCTATTGAAAAAGTAAATTAAATAATATTATCAAGATTAAAGCAAATCCTTAAGAGTATAAAAAAGGAGGAGAAATGGGAACTCTCTATGGTACAACATAAAAAATACCTGATTCCAAATTAGCTGGCTAAGCATTAAAAGTTTATTTGGATTCATTATTAAAGATATGAGTTAACATTAAGTTATTTTAAATAGTACAAAATTTAGATTAATATTTATTAATATTAAGTCTTTTTTCAACTTCAGAAAATCTCTGTTCTTTTAATTCAAAATACTTTTTATCATGTCTTTTATTTTTAAATATAAATTTCAACTATATAAACTAAGTTTATTCAATAATAATTTTTTTGTTTCTTGTTCTCTTTCTAACTATATACGTATCTCATTTATTTATTTTCCTGATTCTCTCCTTTAAGATTCGAAATCTAGTTGATATTTTTGTATTTTTTATTCAAAAGCTTTTTTCATTGTTTCAAACTCTAGTTTTAAAGCTGCTTCATAAGAATTTGAAAATTATTCTTCAGTTGTATAACGCTTTTAAAATTGCTAATATATTTCATCCTAATTTTATATACTCAAAATACTTTAACTTTATTTAATCTATCAATAGTTTCTTTCCATTATTAAATTTCTCTTTATTAACTTTCAATTATTGTTTATTTTTCCAATATTTAATTTCTTAATTTATTAATATCCTATATTTTATTTTAAAATATTACATTTTCTAAAATTTTATATTTTTCATTATATTCTTATTAAGCTTTATCTAAAATTTTTTGATAATAATTATGGTCTTTTGCAACACCATTATTTTATTATTATGTATTAGATTATGTATTAGATTATATTTATTTTTAACTTTATTATTATTATTATAATTTATCTTCATATTAAGATTTTATATTTAATTATTCTTATTAATTTTATGATACTAAATCAGAAATTTATTTTTCATAATGGTTTTTTAATTATAATAATTATTTCTAAAATTATTCAATTTAAGATTATAAAGTTTCTATTTCTTTTTCATGTTTTTAAGTTAAAATCTCACTTTATTTTTGTAATTTTAATTCATATTCATTTCTTATTTATTCAATTTATTCTAAAGAAATTTAATTATTATTATTATTATTATTATTATTATTATTTCCTTTCATTAATGTTTATAACTATAATTATAATTGTTTAATTGTTTTATTTAAATCATTAATTTAGTCATCCTTTTATTTAATCTATTTAAGCATAATCTAATTATTGTTATTATCATTTGATATTTTTTATGATTAATTCTTGTCTTATTTAACTTAATACAATTCTGCCATTCGATTTAAATTAGCAATAGAAATTTAAAATTTCAAAACAGATATTTATTGCAAATTTTCCTAATAATTAGGACATAATGAACCAAATAATTCATCAAATTTAATCATATGAATGGCCTCTAACTCAGTAATTTTCATAATTAAATTATCCATAATTGATATGAATTTATAGAGTTTGACAACAGCTTCCCTTAAATAGCATTATAATGATTACTCTAATGTTCGAACATCTAATATAGTTAGAAGTTATGAAATGTCAATGTTATTTAATTTTTCAAATGTTAATTTAGATTATGAATTTTAAGCAACCCATTTTTTTAATTATTATAATCTATACTCTTGTCTTGGATCATTATTTCGAATCTAAAGATAAATAGTTTATTAGTACTCTTCCATCAATGTCTAATTTATTGATTTCTTCTTATATTAATTAAAGTTCTGCTTTCATAGTTGATATAAATGTATTCTCCTCCTAATAAAGATTAAGACTTAATAAATTAAAGGGATTGTTGGCTAATGGATCTTAAAATTATGGAAATCTATTAATGTATATATTTTCAAATACATTTCTCCAGTTTTTAGTTTTTAGTCTCTACTTCCAGGTCTTTAAGAGGCTAATTTAATTTTTCTATTAAATCCAGCACTGCTTCCCATTATGTTACTGCTATTTTCTAATTATTGGGATTATTTGAAAGTTGGGTTCATTAATTTAATTTTTTTCAATCTTATAACAATATTTAATATATTAACAGTTTATCTCAAATAGCTATTTTCAAAAACATCGCTAAAGAAAGCACTAAATAATATGATAGATTATAGGAAGAAGCTTTTAAAGAATAAGTTTTTTTAAAAAATATGTTTAATATTATAATTTGTTTAAAAGATTAAAAAATCATTCATCTTTTTTTCTAAGTTATTTGTGCTATATTTTGATTCAAATATCTTTTAGGAGAAATGAGAAGAAGTGATGATTAACATGTATTAATGGAATCTTATTGCATATTTAATAGCAATCTTCCTAACATCAAAATAATCAACAATCCCAACATTCCCACACTCAAAATAAATATCATCAATGTTTATTTATAAGTCGTCAATGCTTAATCAAATTTTAGATGTGCTACTTCAACTAATTTTGCATATGCTGAAGTTAAGATCTCACTACCATAATCTATATATATAATATGATCATTGTTTTAGAAAAAATCTTACACTTATTTAAGACTATTGTTATTATTATTAAAATAGAAAAATTGAGGTTACGATTCAATTAATTTATCTATTTATGTAATCAAATATTTTATGCCATGTTAATAATATTAGAAAATACTAGGATTAAGTTTATATGCTGAAGTTTCATTACAAGCAATTCCAATTTAATCTAAACAAATGTTATTCTCATTTATCTGTTGTAAATTATATTTTAATTATTCATCACTTACAATAGAAGCAAAATTATTATTGAATTCTATATATTAATCTTATTGATCACTCTTCAAAGATTATGAATGGTTATTAAATTCTTCTTAACTCATTAAATTTTCAAATCGAAATTGATCATATGTATTATAACATACTAAATCTATATTATGAATAATGTTAATAAAAGAGGATTAAATTAATTTAAAATTAAATAAAAAATTTGCATTTTCAAATAATTATTAAGACAGTATAAATATAACAAAGAAGATAATTAAAAAATAAGCAAGTATTACTATTAATCCAATCATTAATATTATGATATACTTAAATTAATTTATGTGTTACTTTTTCAATTTCTCCAACAATTTATACTTATTTTTTTTATTATTAGTATTAAGTAATACATTCTAACTCTATTCAGTTAATTATTAAGTTTAATACTATATATTATCAATACTATTTTCAAACATTCTAGTTTCTTATACAAAATCTATTAACATCCATTCATACAATGATTTTTTAAAAATAGACAAAATATGTTCATAAGTCTCGATTTCATCTTGCACTTCATAGACTTACAATTTTATCACTAGTTTGTACAATCTTCTATGGTCATTCTTAAGCTTTGATATTAATGGAACTTACAAAAACTGTAACAACATAACCAAAAAGAAAATGATCAGCATATAAATTGTCAATAAAGATTAGACTTATTCTTCATTTTATACTTTTTCATCATAACAATTATTATATGCCAATTGAGGTAACTAACCTATTTCTTTTAAATTAGCAATCGAAATTAGTATTACCTAAGAATTATTTAAAGTATTATTTTTAATTTTATAAAACTATGCTAAGCTCCTTTAAATAGTCTCTGATAATGTAGGATTAACTATTAGTTAGTATTCTATATCATAAAATTAATTTACACTAAAATTAACTTAATTTATATCAATTAATTATTCATTTTATAAATTTATTAAATTTTGAAGATTTTAATCAATTTAAATAGAGTAGAATTCTTTCATATTATTATCAATACTGAATAGATTAGCTAATTCTAAACGATAAAGACCATGAGTTATTTATGAATAACTTTATTAAGTAGATAACATTAATTCAATCAAATCAAAACATTGATTAAAGTTATATTATTACAAAACAGCTATAGTTAACAGTATGATATATCCGATTATTAAAAAAAGAACAAAATAAAGAAGATATTTTTATATTTTAAAGGAAGTAGGATTTTTAAAGTCTTTCATTTTCAAATGTATTGATTTATAATTCTAATCAAATATTTTAAGATTTTCAGAATATTTAACTTAATGTTCTTCTTAAATTAATTATTATGAAGCTCTACTATCAATAGCTAATTTAGAATCAGTCTCATTAAAAAAGTCTTGCTGTTTTTTCTTATCCAAAAATTTGTTTATAGTTTTTAGAGCAAGATTCTTTTCTGGAAATTTCAATCTTAATGATGCTTTCATTAATGATTCCTATGTGTTTAAACTCTATTTAATTTAGTTGTCATTTTCATAACTTCTACTAGTGAATAATTATTTATTATCATTTAGATTATGTTAATTAGATACTTAATCTATTTTAGGAGATTAAAAATATAAATCTTCATAGTAATGAGATGGGTGTGAAGGAAACATGTAATGAAGCATTTCTCCTTCATGATTACTTATTTATTCACTGATATTGCTTTGAATACTATTGGAATCAACTGTTTAGATTTATTGTTCAATCAACAGTTTTTTAGATTAAAAATTTAAACAAGCTTATTTAATTGTTTCTCTAACTTAACGTTTATATCCCATAGTAGTTAATAATTATTATTCATTGACAGCTAATTCAACAACAAAAAATTATTATTTTTATTCTATATCATTCTTTTTATATCTATATTCTTCATAATTAACAGAATAAAATACTGGAACTGGATTAAAATCTTAGAGTGTAATTTTTTCAATATATTTTGTATATTTATCATAGTAAATTTTTTCAGCTCTTGTTTTAAGTTATTCGCTATCTTCTTCACTTTTTAATGAAACTTATGATTAAGATGATGGTTTAACTGAAGTTTTCTACATTTCTGATTATCTAGTGGTACCAAATTGTAAGGTTTAATGACTTTTTAAATGTTAATCAAAGAAAAAACTACATAGCTTTTCATTATATATAGTAACATTCTGTTAAGCACTTAAACTTTCACTTTCTTAATAATCACTTTTAAATCCTTTATATAAACTTCCTGATGAAAAGTTATTTGATTAAACACGAACATCATCAATTATTTTTTGCAAAACTTTTTCATATTATGAAACAAATAAATTAAAATCTTCAGGTATAAATAAATAAGTTTCTTTATTGCTTACAATACTATTACTATTTTCTAGATCTACTAAATTAGGATATCTATTTTTAGGAGGAGTTTCTCCATCCATTAAATATTCTATTCCAGTTGATTCAATTTCTCTTGAAACAAATGGTAATAACATCCAAATTAATACTTTTTAATAAAATTCATCTATTTTTAATATTTAATTTGACCATTATGATTCATAGACATCAAAACTTTCACTTACTATTGAAGAGTTTTCAGATTTACTTTTTTCATGACTATTATTTTTAAAATGTTCAACATTTGATGTTTTTTTATTTCTTTATAATCGATCAATCATTAAATATAATCCTTATGTTATTCCTAAAATAGTTCCATTAACATCAAATAATATATGTTAAGCTCCTTTAAAAGCTACATCCTTAAGTTTTTTAGGATCTTTACCATGTATGATCTTAGGTTATTCTTCTTCTAATGATTTTAAACAACCAATCATTGTAAAATCATCTGTCAAATTTTAACTAAAATTATGTGCTAAATAAACTTAACATCTTATCAATGTTTTATCATATGTTTTTGCAAAAGTTTAAAAGTACTTACCTATTCTTGCTGTTCCTCCTCTTCTAATATAATTTTACATTATCTCATCATGAACTGGTTCTAACCAACTAGGCATCAATGTATTTATATTTCCTTTTGTAAAATCTAAAAATGCCTCCAAAGGATTATCAAAACGATGAAATCCAAAAAATTTTGGAATTAATGGAGATATAACTTCATTTAAAACTTTTCCAATGTTTGGCCCTGATGCAATACAAACTTTTACAGATATTGCTTCACCTTTAAAAAAGTTAATATTTGTTATTTCAAATGAGTTCATACTTTTCTCTAATTATAAAATCTCTCTTCTTTCTAAAAATATATAATTATTATAATTCTTACCTCTTTCTAATTCAAAATATTTTCTAACATTATTAAATAATAGTAAATCTATCAAAGCACTATACTTTAGGAATTGTACATTAAATGTTCGTCCATGAGTATAAAAAATTGGTTTATAAATTTTTATTTAATTTAAAATTTAATTTTTTAAAATCTGTAATTTTCTCACTTCTATTTCAATTTCAGAGAAATTAGAAAATTTACCTGCTAAATAATGTTTCCAAAATTGAACTTTAAATTAACTTAATTGCATTAATAATGGTAATAAATTCTATTTAATTTATTCCATTTAATAAAGTGTTTAAACAATACTTCTTTCACTTTTACTTACTTGTAATTTTACATTTGATACTCTTGTATCTTTATTTATATTATAATCTTCATCTTTTTACATTTATGCTTATAAAATAAATTATAATAAAAGTGAAATTTATATGAAATAAAATGAGTATTCTCTTTTTTTTTAAAATAAAATCTTCAATTCTTAATAACTTTTTGGGGCATTATTTCTATATTTATTAATAAATGTAAGAAATTTCAGACTATAAATTTCTAGATTTTTAGAATCATTTCTATGCTTTTCAAATCCAATTCTAAATAAACAAGATGTTAAAATGACTGCATCTTCTTATTTTAAGACACCTCCAGCACCAATTTTCTTACATTAACATTTAAGTGATTGACAACGATTTAAATGTAAACTAAATTTTTAGATTAATTCAATGATTCTTTTTTTACTTTTCTGAGCTGCTTAAATTAAATCAAAGAAATCTTCAATTATTAATAATTCATAATATTAATTTAAAGTATTATGATAAGTCTTTAATCTTTTATGTTGAATTAAGGTTTGAAATAGAAGTTATGATACTGGTTACATAATTAACATAACAGTTAATAAATTATAAGCCTGATCTGGATTTGAATATAAATTAGATGTGAAAATATACATTATTATATGCATTACTAATAGTCTATTGTAAATTGTCGAATACTTTGAAAATCTAAGAGTTATTGAATAACATTTACCCAAATGGTAATTCAAAATAGGCTTCATAAATCAAGACAAATAAAATAATGCCATGAATTATTCTACCAATCAATTAGTACATAGAATTAGTACTTTGATTCAATATAGCCATAGGAATGATTAACAATTGTGCAAAACAATTATAATATGTGAAATGCTTTCTTAATGATTATTCATTGAATTCAAAGTTAATGAAGTAGATATTTGAAATCAATAATGATCCAGTTGATGTACTAAGTATTATCACTGAAAGCACAATGAGAAATAGATCACTCTAACTTAAAAAGTTCCAACCTATGTAATGCATCTGAGGCAAGTAAAGAAACCATGTGAAATACAGGAAATAACAATTCACCAACTTTGTGGCAGACTTAATTTAAACTTGCTTGTACCTGCGATAATGATTTGGATATGATTGCTACTTTTTAGTATTCATTTGTGAATTTTCTGTGCAAAATTATTAGATAAGGTATTAAGTTGAATAGAATAAGCAGTATACCAGTAAGAGCATTTATGGCATAGATATCTTAAAACAAAGGAGTCAGAACACATATTTCTGATATGTTTTTTATGAATCTGAAAACATTTTCATCATACTATTCAGTGATGAAGTGTGTGAGTTACAAATAGTAGATTAGAATCTAAAAGGTTATAAATTTAGTGCTATTTAATGATGGTGACAAATTGGTCTAAATTATCAGATTCATATAGTCTCTAATCCATTACATAATTAATTAAATATTAAATTCATTTTTTTTATTTTGTTTGTTTCTTTTTTTTCTCTAAAGACTCTTGAATCAAAGGAATTTACGATTGTTACATCTATTACGAAGTTCTTGAATCTACTTTCTAATTGTTTATGACAAGTTAAGGAAGATATTCCAATACATCATCATATGCAGGTAATTAAAACATTCGTGGCTAATGCATCACTTAATCTTAGGCAAAGTCTCTTCTCTTTGTTTTGTTATATTTTTGAGATCTAAGCTTTTTCAGATATTTGGCATAAACACTCATATCTTTTAAATATTTCCTTAATTTATCTTTACTGTAAGTTTCTATAAATATGCTCTAAAAATGTCTAAGTTAATTATTTATGTAAAATACATAAAATTATCTTAATTTTACAATTAAAGAATAAATGGTTAAATAGTCTCCTTTTTACCCTAATCTAAACCATTGTAATATTTTAAGAATTGCTCTTTAAAATATTTGTTCCAAAGATTATGAAGCATTTATTTATAAGATTTGAATCTTAATAAAAACTCTAAAAATAATGCTCTAATCTTTAAAATTTTTTGATTTGTAATAAGAACTTGATTCTTTAAATGATAGATTTCTGCTCTAACTTTTAAGTGTGGCACAATCTTATCAATATGCAATTTAAGTTGCTTTTGATATACTGCTTTACAGAAACCTTGTAATACTCTAGAATAATGATTTATTTATAAATTACAATTTAACATCGAAAAATACTCTATCATAAATAGTTACTCCTTTTATTGCACTTAATCTTTTATGAATTCTTTTCATAATTCTTTTAACTTAAAATGCCATTAAAGTAGATTGATTTTATGCTTCTATTTTATGTTGAAACATAAAATAAATCTTTGTACATATTAAAGACATGTAAATACTATTAAACCAATGTGTACACACTCTATTTTTTAGATTCTTTTTTGATTAAACAAAATTATGTCTCTATCGAATTATTTTACTCAATTCTTTAGTTTTTTATTAATATTCTTTTCTTTATTATTCATTTTAACTCATCAACTTTTTCCTGCATAACACATCTCCTATTCTATTATCTCCTTAAGTTTTTTTTAATTCTCTGAAACTTTTTTAATGTTCTTCATTATATTCAATTACTTTTTGTATATTTTCTTTTATTAAATCTTTAAAAATTCCACGTTATCTTAATTTTTCTTTTCTTCTTTTTTTAATTTCTGCAACTTCAGCATTTAATTAATCTGAATTCATTCTTTCCAATTATTAATGATTCATATTTTTAATAAATTATGATGATGGTTCAAATTTTCTTGAAATTGTTTATGGTCTTTTCATAAATCGACTTCCAAATTAAAATTTTAATTTCACTTAGGTATCTAAATCACATACCATGCTAATGTATATATATTCACAATGGAATGTTTTAGATTCATCTATTTTATACTTCCATCCTTTGACTGAGATGATTTAATCACAAGAGAATTTTGTTGGGAAAGGATTTACAGATGAAACAAATATTTTAAAATTAGTAGTTTCACTTTAATTCATATAGAATTATAAAGGAACAGGTTATAATTTGGATCGTAATTTGTAATAGTAAAATTCCATTTGTCTGACAGATTATACATTCCATAAATCTGGTCGCAATTCAATAGGATGCTAAGTATTTTGATATATGAATGAATAAAATATACTTTATCGTGTTAATAATTAATTATTATTTCTCCTAGACTAAGCTATTGGCTATTGATACGAACTGGCTATTCATTTTATTCGACTCGAAAATCAAGGACTTTATCCCTCTTATAAAAATCCTTTATACTCGGCTTATGAAATCAATTGAATTCCTCTTTGGAATTCAGGGATCATTTTTTAAGTTATATATGCCATTTAATTAAGTATTTTTGATCTGGATTTAAGAGATCCTGTAGATTTTGGGCCATTTTTATAGGTAGGACAATCTCGAAATATGTCATTTTCAGAATCATGACTAATGACACTCAAATCATTGAAGTATGGATTCTAAGATATATATTTCTCTTCATTATTTGGATTGTTGTTGCAAATTACTTATGACTGTATTTGTAAATGGAAATTGGACTTTTATAATATTGATGATTTAAGTGTTGACTCAAGAACACTCTATGATTGTAGTAAATTTCGTTTTGTAGCTGTTCTGCTTACAAGTTATTTATTTTACATATATAAATATAAAATAAATATAATATAAATGTCTCAGAAAAGATCATTTCTAATTAATTAACAAGAACAAATATTTAAATCAATAAACACAGGTTCTACATCAATGATCTCTAAGAGATGAGGATAAGTGATATGAATAAAAGTAAAAAAAAAGAATTTATTCAACAATTTTTTTCATAAATATTTCTAAGGATTCTGGCTTTTATCTTAATTTGTATAATATTCAAATTATATTTAGGAAATTGCTTTTGAAAAATGTTGTTTTCGTAATAAATTTATTGAGAATTTCATAATCCTTCTGAAGATCAGAACCATTTTAATTTCATGTATCTTTACTATAATTTTCTGATAGATGAGATTATATTTCAAATGAGAAAAAAATTAATTTTTTTGGATAGAAAAAGTTATGACATGGCAATAATCCAAATTAAAATTTTGATTGTCACAATTTTGACAAAATTATCTAAAATTGATCAAAAAACTTACTTAAGAGGCTGGAACATATCCATCAAATTTAATTATTTTATTAATTAAATTTTATCGTATTTATTTTGAGTAAACTTAGCTTAGTTCTTTAAAAAATAAATTTAGGTTGATAAAACTAAAAAATTATAATTTTAACTAAATCAATCATATAATCTTTTTGATTGAAAATAGTTTTAATATTAATATTCAAATAAATCATTTAAATTTTTAAGGAAAATAATAACAATACAATTGTGATTTTATGTTGAATGCTTATTTAGCTTTTTCATTATAGTGAATTCAATAATTGAAATACATATTTTATGATATTTAAATATAATTCACACATGAAATAAAATCAAAACTTGATCATTTAATCTTCCTTTATTAATTTTTTTTATTAATAGATTTCATTAAAATAGTTTCTTCCAGGTGTGAATTTTAATTAAGATTCTTCTAAAAAATTATCTAGATAATGTCCATTTTTATCAAAATTAATATTAGATACTTATTATTCAAAAGTTAACTTATTTTATTTATTTGCTTTAGAATTTTATAAGAATTCTAATATACTTTATTGATAACCATCAATATAAAAATCTAAACAGATTCTCTTACACACAGGACAAGACCATTTCTTTTGTGTTAGAGATTCAATAAATTTACAAAAACTATCTAAACAAAAACATTAAATGTGTTCACATAAAATTCCTCTACAAGGAACTTTTATTGGTAAAGTTGTAATTTAACAAATCAAACTAACTGAAATTTTGTTCACTACTATATCAGTTGATTAATTAAGATTAGAATACATGCAAATATTATCTTTCATTTATTAGGTACTAACCCATTTTGATTTGTCAAATTAATATTGCTAGATTAATTCTGTAGAACTAATCTCTTAGATTAAAAATGCTCCAAAATAGAATAATTAATCTGTTTTAATTTAAAAATTTTTTCTATCATTTAAATTACTAGATTAAGAACGTAATACAATTCTATATTATCCTTATTTAATATTTTTAATAGTGTAGTATTCATCTTTTCTATATTTTAAAGAACTATTCACTTTNTATCTTTACTATAATTTTCTGATAGATGAGATTATATTTCAAATGAGAAAAAAATTAATTTTTTTGGATAGAAAAAGTTATGACATGGCAATAATCCAAATTAAAATTTTGATTGTCACAATTTTGACAAAATTATCTAAAATTGATCAAAAAACTTACTTAAGAGGCTGGAACATATCCATCAAATTTAATTATTTTATTAATTAAATTTTATCGTATTTATTTTGAGTAAACTTAGCTTAGTTCTTTAAAAAATAAATTTAGGTTGATAAAACTAAAAAATTATAATTTTAACTAAATCAATCATATAATCTTTTTGATTGAAAATAGTTTTAATATTAATATTCAAATAAATCATTTAAATTTTTAAGGAAAATAATAACAATACAATTGTGATTTTATGTTGAATGCTTATTTAGCTTTTTCATTATAGTGAATTCAATAATTGAAATACATATTTTATGATATTTAAATATAATTCACACATGAAATAAAATCAAAACTTGATCATTTAATCTTCCTTTATTAATTTTTTTTATTAATAGATTTCATTAAAATAGTTTCTTCCAGGTGTGAATTTTAATTAAGATTCTTCTAAAAAATTATCTAGATAATGTCCATTTTTATCAAAATTAATATTAGATACTTATTATTCAAAAGTTAACTTATTTTATTTATTTGCTTTAGAATTTTATAAGAATTCTAATATACTTTATTGATAACCATCAATATAAAAATCTAAACAGATTCTCTTACACACAGGACAAGACCATTTCTTTTGTGTTAGAGATTCAATAAATTTACAAAAACTATCTAAACAAAAACATTAAATGTGTTCACATAAAATTCCTCTACAAGGAACTTTTATTGGTAAAGTTGTAATTTAACAAATCAAACTAACTGAAATTTTGTTCACTACTATATCAGTTGATTAATTAAGATTAGAATACATGCAAATATTATCTTTCATTTATTAGGTACTAACCCATTTTGATTTGTCAAATTAATATTGCTAGATTAATTCTGTAGAACTAATCTCTTAGATTAAAAATGCTCCAAAATAGAATAATTAATCTGTTTTAATTTAAAAATTTTTTCTATCATTTAAATTACTAGATTAAGAACGTAATACAATTCTATATTATCCTTATTTAATATTTTTAATAGTGTAGTATTCATCTTTTCTATATTTTAAAGAACTATTCACTTTTAATGGTTTAAATTAGACTACTTTAATTCCATTTATCATTAAATCACCAATATCAGGCCATGATTATTCATATCTATAACCATCCAATCTAATACATCTAATATCTATAGATTAATTTAACTCTACTGAATTTAAAGTAAAATTCATAGTTGTACTTTTCTCTGACTAAGATCTAGTTTCTAAAGTTAAACAAGCTAACATGTTTTCTACTTTATGTAATGGATCCATATTCATTAATATGCATTATGGACAAACAAAGGATGGTTATCCATCTTTTATCTTATATCTTAAGCAAGTGTTATGAAATTGAAATCTGCACATAAAGCAAATTAATATTTTAGCATTTGGAATTTATTTAGGAGTTTTAGTTTTTTAATAGATTGCACAAACACATTTAGAAAAATCATTTTCTTTTATTTATTATTCCATTTTCTTACACTATATGTTTCTCATTTCATCATATATCTTTCTAAAATGATTTAAAACATTGCAATTCACTTTTTCAATAATCTTTTTAACTTGTTTAAATTTCTTAATGAACGGAGTATTAATAGGGATAAAACTTTAAGAAAATGCTACTGCTAATTCATTATTTGAAGGCAAAGGTAGATTTTTAGCATAATCAAGTAATTATATTATGTATTCCTTCAATGCCATTTAAAGATTTTAATTAATCATCACCAAATAGCATTATAACAATGAATCTTCTGATAATAAATGCTTATGCTTCTCTATTTAAATCTCTATTTGTGTTGTTCTAAACTTTTCTATTTCTTCTTATAGATTTTTAATCATTTTTTTGAATTATTATGCTTATGTCTTCCATTACTAACATAATCAAAAAAAAACCTGAAAATTATTTGGACATATTAAATTGTAAATACAAAGTTATTTTACTTTATAAAAAATATTGATAAAAATACTTAAATTATTTTTAAATAAAAGACTTAATAAATGGAATTATCAACACTACATTCTAGAATAATTATCATTTATCTTTTTTTTTAAATAATTTTCAAAAAGTATTTCTAATAATTCTATTTTCATTATTTCTTTTTTAGCTCCTTTCATTCTGATAATTATTCATCTCAATGAACTTTTTTGATATCTACTAAATAAAATTATTTCTTTTTTATTCATTCATCTCAAAACTAGAATAAGAGATTAAATGGATAATTTAGGGCTTCTTTGACTCTAATTATACCCATAATATGCTTTATTAATTTTTGAAAATTCTTAAAGAACCTTTTTTAGAAATTCAATTGTTCATTTAATCCTTAAACTAAAGTTTTATTTTTTATTTATTCAAAATATATATGTCTGGAAGAGAAACAATTTTTATCAATCTATTATTTATGAAACCCATATTGATTTAATTATCTTTTAACTTAAAAGGTTTGAATGTGTGATAAAAATAAAAAAGTTTGACTATTTGCAATGTACACTCAAAATTGATATTACTAATAAATCTACATTAAGAATTTTGAATTTGTCCCCTTCATTATTACTTCTAATAATATTGATGATTCTGTTCCCATTTAAGTCTTTAAATTAACTACTTCGAATATTTCAATTAGGCTTAATAAAATCTGAGACTCTTTTTTTAATACATAAATCTGAAATATTATTATTTAAATTATTCAGGTTTGGGATTATGAACTTTTATATTTTTATGTAATTTAATAAATTTTGATACTTGATAATTTTCAAATTGATTTAATGAAGAAGGAAAAAAAGAAATAAAAATAAAAAAGTACTTTGGATGAAAGATTTATTGAATTTTATATTTAAGTTAGAGTCTTATGTGAACATTACTTTGTGAAATTCAATAACAAAATAACCCATATAGTATTGATTTTTTCAGCCATTTAAGAATCTAGCTTTTTATTGTTGAATTATCAAGATGAATTTTTCAAAAAAGGAATCAAGTTTTTTACTTTTATTAAAGAAATTTCTTTAGCCTCTCGAATAAAATTAAGTTCAAATAATGAGTTTAAGGAAATTAGCTACCTAATACCTTTATGTATTACATTAATATATTAAATATTACTAACATATTTATTCATTATACATTTGGGAAAAAATAAAAAATAACATAGGCTGAGTGAATTTTTAAGAACATAAAATAGATTAATTTAAATTCTTTTAAGAATTTTTTCATATTTTCATTCATTGCTCTATTATATTATCATAATTCCATTGACTGAATTAACATTGGATTCCATATTTTATAATGCATAAAGTCCATCCATCAATATGATTCATTTATCATTTTCAATAATAACACTAATTTTAGTGATATCGAACTTCTTAATTTAAATGTTTTGCAATTTAGAATCAATTCTAATTAATCCTCATAATATGTAGATGTTATAAGCAACTTTTAGCAATTATTGGAAATCTTTATTAAATCTTATTATATTAGTGATTGATCAAATGGAAAGTTCAAATGTTACCAAATTTTACTTAATTTTCAGTATAATATTAATCAAACAATCAAGTAATTTTTGGGCTTTAATATGGAGTTATCCTAATTTACATCATCGATAGAAAATTGAAATATAATGTAATTTTTTTCAAGTAACTATTGCTATAATACTATTTATTAATCAGGTTTCAGAGTAAAAATAAGATACTTATGATGTTTTATTAATTTTATTAATTTCACCAATTTTAAATGAAATTATTTAGAATTACGAAATTAAATAATATGAATTTTTAATGTTAAATAACAGTTCAAAAATTACAGCTGATATGTTACAATATAAAATTGGTAATATTATATATGAATATGGTAATTTGTAATCAAATTACTTGTAAGATACTAAAAAAATCACTTATATTAATTACTTTAAGCAAACTCATTTAGATGAATGTGAAGATTCTAAATGTCAATGTAGGAGATAGATGATTTCATTTGAAGATACTATTTCTTTATACTTAAAAGATTAAGTGAAGAGTTTCGATTAAATAATATCAAAAACAAAAGATGATTCTGCTCGTTAATCATATTTCTTGCATTATTTATCTTTAATTAATTATTTAGGATTGAATACTAAAGCCTTTTAATAATCAAATTTTTTAGCTTAACTTGATAGTGAATAGATTTAATTTAGTTCATCTGCCTCTCATGGTGTTAATTATTAATTTAATAATCAAAAAAGTGATAAAAAAGAATAAAACAATAGTTCAGATGGTAAAAGTCATTCTCTCTAGAAATCTAAGTTTGGAGGTGAAAAAAATTAAACAAATCCTACTCATATCAAATTAAATCATATGGGTTTTATTTCTAAATAAAAACTATATTTAATATAAGAATAAATTAAATAATCTATGAGTATGGGATTTTCTAAATAATCTGCTTAATTTTCTGAAAATTTAGAACATGCTGTTAAATTATTTTTATAAAGTGAAGAGAATAATAAAAGATTAAGAAAGAAAGTAGTGAAAATGATTAATAGGAAAAGAGAATTCTTTAATAATTTAAATCAATTAAGTAATGATCTCATTCTATTTGATGCTGGTAAAAAGCTACTAATTTAAATGAATGAACTTGAAGATCAATTATATAGATTATATGATTAATTTCCAAGTTAAAAAATGCAAGCATTAAATACTTTTTATTAATCAGAAATTATGAATAATTATTTTTCAGCCTTTAAATTAGCAACTATTGCTTCAATATCAGATGAAAAATTATTAAAAATGTAATCTTAAACCAATTTTGATTTGTTTTCTAATAAAATAGACTACCTAATTATTGGATTTGATTAACAATCACATAAATTAACAGTAAGAAGTGGTTCAAATTTGATTCACTAATTTTTTGGTTTATCTTAAGATTCATTTAAAATGATAGGCTAAATTAATTCAATTTTACCTTAAGGATTTGAAATAGTACATGAGAAATTAGTCGCTAATTTTTTATAACATGGAGTATCTAAATACTTTAGATAAATTAATTTAAATTTTTGTCAATATCAATAAAGATTTATCAAAACAGTAGATTTTTTTTATGATATTAATTTTATGAATTTAGATGATTTAACATTTGCTTGTTTCCTTTAAAATGTTGAAACTCAAAGTGTCTATTTATTTTCTTTATCAAATCATAAAATATCAGGAATATCAAAAAACTTTATAAATAAATTGGGTTATAGTAGTAAATTAAATAAAGAACTAGCCCAGGCATTTCAAAAAGTCCCAATAAGCAAAGTGTTTCCAAAAATCTCGCTAATACTAGAAGCCAATATCACTAAAGCATCTGATTTTAATTAAGATATCTTGGATGTTACTTAAATTAGTGAATACTCTATGCAAATGTATATTCCAATAGCCTTGCTTTTAGAAAACAACTCAAAAATAAATTGGGAAAACTAGGATCATTTAACTAATTATTAAGTAGATTGCATTTTGCATATTAGAAATTTTAAAACTGAACTAAACTATATTATTGTTGAAATTAAAGAAATTAAAAAATAATCTAAAACAGAAAATACTACTCCTGAACCTTAAATGACATTAGGATATAACTCAAATTAAGAATTTGAAAGTTTTAATGCTTATGAATTTGAGTAGGAAGATTTAGAATTTGCAGTAAATATGCCTAAAGCAATTGAATTATATGCATTGGAAGATTAAACTGTAAATATAGATAATTAGGATAATTTAGATCAATTTGAGTATCATTCAAATAAATTGAGAGTAAATGAAAAAAGTGTAAATTAATCATATCAATAACCATATTAAAATTAATCTATGATGAGTCCAAAAGATAGTGGTTTAAGATTAATTGAAAATAAAAATCCTGATTTTAATGTAACTTAAATAAAAGTTAAATAATATTCAAATAAATAATAATTCTTTAAGTCAGCAGAATAGATTGAATAGGAAGAGTAATCTTCTTCATTTCAGTAAATTAGCGAAATAAAAAAGGATCAAATGTTGGAAAATTAAGTTGATAAGCTTTAATACGATGATATTGATCAAGAATTATAAGAGAATATCAGAATGTAAATGTAGATGGACTCAAAAGAATAAAAAATAGTTCATGTTGATGATATTGGTTCATAAGTAAGTTCAATAGCTGGATTAAAGAAATCAAAATACTCAAAAAAGTATGATTTAATAGAAAAATTAATAAATTCAACTAAATTTTCAAAAAAATTTAAGATAATGTTGGTATTTGTGATTATAATGTTTATTTTATTTTTAATATTTAGTGGAGTAATGCTATATTATTCAAATGATGATTTAAATCGATTTTTGGAAGAATTAGATTTAATTTAGATAAAATCTAATATAATTGGGCCAGTTAATAAATATATAGTTTCTTAAAATTCCTTAACAAATTATATTATTTTAAAAATATCAAATTTGACACCAGAACTTGAATTAGATAAAATGTTATATTCAATAAAAGATATAAATTTTACTTATTTTGAATTGAAAGATAGTTTTACAAAATAGCTTTCAAATCCTTATTTGAATCCATTTTTTGAAGATAAATACTTCAATATTATTGTAGGAAAGTATCCAGATACAATGAATTATTCAATATCAGCAAGAGAATCAATGTATTTATATTTGGAAGCATGCTACAATTTTATAAATATAGATTATATCAATATAATTTAATTAGATTTAACTCAAGGTTTTTTAGTTTTTTTATATGCTAATTATCAAACATATGTAGAATAATTGAAAATTTTAAATGAAGAAATGGTTAATTACTCAATATTTCGATCATATAATGTTTAGGATAAATGGAATTATCTTTTAATTCCAATTATTATAGTTTGTTTTTTATTATTGTTTATTTCTTTTACATTTTATAAGGCTTATCTAAATTAATATGATAATTTTCTACAACTTTTCAATTTTATAGATGTTGTATGGTTGCAAAGAGACATAGATAGATATAGAGGAATAGCCTCATTATTAATTAAAGATTCAGATGTTTTATTTAAATATTAATTTGATATTGATATTAAGGAGAAATTTTTAGCCGCTGAAGATATAAGAAAGGAAAAGATTGCTCAAAATTAAAAAAACAATAAATAAAAGTAGAAAGGTTAAATAGCTAATATGAACTAAAAAATGTCAATTATACCATCAATGTTAACATTTACATTTACATTTGGAATATGTTTTATATTTTGTTTTATTACAAATTCTTTGGGTAGAAATTACTTTTTAAAATATCCTGATACAACATTATTTTTTAACTCTTTATCAGATCTATGTATAGCAGTAAGTGGAATATTCTCAATGAGAGAAGTTACTTATTACTAAAAGTTTCCATTAGCAACTGTCTTCTACTTTTTACCAGATAAAAATGCAACATTTTTTGTGTAAAATTTCTTTGATCAAATAGAAATAATAAATAATTTCTTATCTTTAATAGCATAGATGGATTAATCTAAATACATAACATCTGATGAATTTATTTCAGAAATGGATCTAATTATGAGTACAGATGTATGTTAATTCTTGCCTGAGGTAATTATAATATTTTTATCATTAGAATAAAATAGAAATGGCCTAAAAACATTGTGATGCTGTTTATTAAGGAGTGTTACGTAAAGGTTTTTAGGCAGCAGGAACCACCATAAGAAATAACTTACTTACTGAATTTGATTAAACAAAAGGTTTTACTCTAAAAGTATATACTATTTAACAGGAATTAGAGGCTGGTTTGATATTATATGATACAATCTCAGTTTTGAAAAAGCAATTTCAAAATTAGTTGAAAAATTCAACAGATGAATTGATTACATAAATTTTGGTAAATAATTTTAAATAAAAATCTTAGATAATAAATTTGATATTTATCATAATAATAGTTTTGATTATTGTATTAATCTTTACTAAGATACTATCATATTTTAAATGGGAATTCAATTTAATGAAGAGATTTTTATTGTTATTACCTCAATAATCATTATTTTTAGATAATTAATTGGATAGAACAATCAGATAAATGGTTGTTAAAGATGATTTAACTTGAGAATATAAGTATAAGTTTGGATTATTTATTATAAATAAAAAATTGTAAAATAAATATATTCTAAAAATATATGATGAACATCCAACAGTATCAAAATTACTTCCCATATGTAAATGAAGCATAAGTATAATTCTAAGGGGATATAGAATAAGCAAGTATAATTATAATTTTATGAATTCAGAATAGAGCTAAGGTTCAAATTATAATGAGTTTAATATAATTCAATAGAATTTTTATGCAGCAACATTTCCTCCTTATTAATTTGAGTTTGTATAAGATCATGAGATACCAAGTCAAATAAAAAATAAAAAAAATAAAAAACATAAGTAATTGATTTTAATGTAATTGTAAAAGGAATAACGATTAAAAGGGGTTGCTACCAAAGACTTTAGAATCAGACAAGTAGTTTGTAGAAGATCAATAACAATTAGTAATTTAGCCAGATTAGATGTACAATATTAGATTCATAATTTTAGTATGAAACAACCATATCCAGTATTCCATTACACTTAAGGAAATCCTATGCCTAAACTTCAATCAGACATTGTTTCTAATCCACATTAGGATGGTTAAGGTTCTTAAGAGGGTTCTTAATAGACTTAAAAATAGAAAGGACAACATTGTCAAATAAAAAAACCTAAGAAAGAAAACATAAATACTGGACATTGGTCAACTGATGAACATTCAACATATATATCCTTTTTATAGTAATATGAGGATATAATGACATCTTCTATGATGAAGAAAACATCAAAAATATTCAAATAAATGAGTGAATTAATTGGAACAAGAACACCAAGTTAATGTAGAAGTCATCATTAGAAATTTAATCCTTATGCTTTAAGAGGAGAAAATGGAAAACGTTTACCAAGAGCTGAAAGAAGTAGAGCAGGAAGAAAAAAGAAGAATCCTTAAACTGATTTACCAAAAGCATGTAATAATTATATTGTATTATTAAAGAAGAAGCAAATATGATGCCAAATTATGAGACACATGATCCTTATTATTATATGATGTTGGAATAACATAAATATTATTATTCTAATCTTTCATAAGAATTATGGAATTAATAACATGAAATTGAATAACATCCAAGTATAAAAAAGGAAGAAGAAAATGACTTCATTAATAATCCTCATTTTTAATAACTTCAATAAGAATATGAAGAATGTTTAAAATATAATTTACCTTTTATTTAAAGAAATGGAATCTAATCAGATTACAATTTTGATGCTAGAAACCAAGCCCTAAACGATTTATTAATATGATTATTATGTATAATAAATTAAGATCATTAAATTTTCAACTTAGATTTTTATATATCAATTACCTACTTTTAACAACACATTCAATGTGATTATTATATATATTTCAATTAAAATCCATTTTAGCATTACATATTACATGTTGCATTCTTATACAGAAAAATAAAGAGTAAGATTTCAAGAGAACAGGTTTCGCTATTTAAACCAAGCGTAACCTGATGAAAGTGTTTCCTCAAATACTGACTTAGAATCTTAATAAAAGGATATTAGAGTGAGATTAGAGAGATCTTCAAAAAAAAAGGTCTCCGTTAAAATTCGAAATCTCGACATTGATAGTGATATTATTAAAGAAGAAGATAGTGAGGATTATAATAGTGAGTCATAATCTTAGAATCACAATTAGAAATCCGAAGCAGTTCTTAATCTTATCTAAGAAGAAGAAATTGATAGTCCTTTCAAAAGCAGGATTAATTAAAACCAAGAAATACTTTGGAAATCTAGTAATCAAGAAAGTCAACAAGTAGAAGTTCAATTATTTAATACACCCAAACAAAATTTATAAGTGGAATCTCCAAAACTTGAAAATGCTATTAAATCTTATAAAAATCTTAATTCTATTAATAGTCTATACTCTCCAGTCAAAGGATTTTAATAACTCATTAAGAATGACAATACTATCTATCAACATTACAATATTTTTTAAAAATTATTCCTTTATCATATATTTTGTTATATGAAACAAATGAAAGGACTTATCGAATCATCAAATCAAAAAATAAGTATAGTTCATCTGCCAAAATAAGCTTTTAAAGATTCAATCTAATATAATCTCAAAAAAGTATATGAGTAAATTAAAAAGAATGTAAGCGTTTTGATAAATATTATTCTTAGGAATTTTACAACTTTAACAACAGATCCTTATTTAAGTTATTTTTCTGGCAAGATAACAAAGGTGTAACAATTATTATTGTAATACTTGCAATGTTTGAGACATACTCTAGATTTGTTATGGCTATTTTAACTGAAACTTTAATTGCTGCAGTTACAAGAAATGATATGAAAAGTGCATATTTATAGGCTTTAGCTTTAGCAATACTTTCATTACTTGCTTTAATGAGTAAACATTAATAATAGTATAAATAATTCAGTTAAATTAGATATTTGATAAGTAATTTCGCTACTAAAATTAGAATGGTTTTTATCAATTTAATTTATGATAAAGTAATTGAATTGAATTCAACATAAATTTAAATGTTAAATGTAGGAAAAATAATGAATCTAGTTAGTAGTGATCTCAATGTTATAGAATATCAATTGGCCTTCATTTATTAAGTAGCCGTTATTCCAGGATCATTGTTATTTACTGCTATTATCTTATGGGTAAAAATCTTATAAATTTTAGTTAAGATTTGATGGTCCTCTAGGATTAGTAGCTATATTATTTTGTGCTATTTTATATCCTTTATAAATTCTCATTTAGAATATAAATAAGAAATTATTACTTAAAACTCGTAAGTTGTAAGATGAAAGGATATAAGTATGATATAATTACTTAAGATAGTAAACCAACACAGTAATAGAAGGTATAAAATATATTAAAATATATGTTTGGGAGAAGATATTTGAAAAAAAGATAAATACAATAAGAAAAAAAGAATTTATATATTATCTAAATATTCATGTTTTAAATCTATTAGATCGTTCTTTTAACTTTAGTGTGCATATTTGGGGATCATTTTGTTTTATTTTAATATTATATACCTCTAATACTAATCTAACAATATCTACTATAATGGGAACAATTTAATTAATGTCAATGATTAAATATTATTGCATATTTTAAGTGTCTTATGCTTTTTAGGCTTTAATGAATTTTAGTGTTATATTTTCAAGAGTATCTGAGATTCTGAAACAATAAATAAATAACATTACTACAATAGATCAATTTAGAACTACTTTTACTACATATGATGTTCCATAATAACCAATGCAATAATTGTTAATGGATAGAAGTCGAGGACTTAATCGTAAAGGTAGTCTAACATTATAATCAACATCTCTTTGTTCTATAAGTTAATATTATGGAAAATGGTCTAAGGATGGTCCCTTTGTAATAAGTTAAATTAACTTAGAAATTAGAACTGGAGAGATTATTGGTATTATTGGAAAGGTAGGAGCAGGTAAATCTACACTTTTAGCTGCCATTCTTTAAGAATTGCCATATTATGAAGGAAATGTTTCTTATTAAAAAAAAGTTAAGTTCGCTTATGTTGAATAGGATCCATTCATTTATACAGGAACAATTAAAGAGAATATTTTATTTGGAAAAGATTATGATTAAGTACTCTATCTAAAAGTATTGGAAGTAAGTTGTTTAGATTAAGATGTATTATCATTTAGATAAGGTGACAAAACAGAAATAGGGGAAAAAGGGGCAAATTTATCAGGAGGATAAAGAGCAAGATTAAGTTTAGCAAGAGCATTATATTCTTAAGCTGATTTATATCTTTTTGATGATCCTCTATCAGCTGTTGATTCTAAAGTAGCTGGTAAAATATTTGACAGTGCTATCAAAGATTTTATATTTAAATTTCAACCCAATTATAGACCATCATTAATTAAAACTCATGAAGCTTTTATTTAATAAACACCAGCAGTCATTTTAGCTACACATTAAATTTCATATGCATTAGAATGTGATTATGTAGTAATACTTGATGGAGGTATAATCACACATTAAGGATAAAAAAATAAAATGAAAAAATATATCTTAGAAATTACTAGTGCTCATACAAGCAGCAGTAATATTGATAATCCAGTTAGATCATTAAAAATTAGAAGACCTAGCAAATTAACTAATAAAATTGTCAATTAAATCTAAAAATATAATAAAGATCAAACTTCAGCTTTATATATTACTGAAGATCAAAATTAATCTGATGCTAATTTTGATACTTATAAAAGATATTTTAGTTATTGGAAACCTTTTTTATTAATATTTCTCATTTTGGGCTAAAATGTAGCTAGTGAAATTATTAATAATTACTATTATAAAGAAATGGCTTCATTTAATGAAAATACATCCAAAAATAATGATTAAACATTTTACAATGCAGCTATTTTAGTACTGGCTGCTTATTTCAATAATGTTATTAAGTATTTCTTGAATATTTTTGGAGTTCTTACTTCAAATAATAAAATTCATAATAAGATGTTAAAGAGATTAATTCTATCTCCCATCATTTATTTTGATACAAATCCATCTGGTAGATTGATCAATCGCTTTTCAACTGATTTATCATTAGCAGATACTTAAATACAATCTACAATTACTGATATATTTGAATAAGGATCATAATTTTTAGTATCTCTTGTTACTATTGCTATTTTATAACCATTCTTTACATTTGCTGCTATTTTCACAATTTTAAGCACAATTTCAATTTTTAGAATTACAAGATCAGTAGTTTCTCAATTGAAGGTTTGTGATTTAATACAAAGATCTCCATTATTTGATTAATTTAAGATCACAATAAATGGTGTAACATAGATTAGAATAAATGAAAATTAATCATGGATAAAGGAGAAATTTATTTAATTATCAAATTAATCTATGTAGGCTAATTTAATATTTTTATATTCATAAAGATGTTTTGGTTTTTACATTGATTTATTTGGTTAATTTGCAAATATATCTGGAATCTTTTTAATAATAGGTATGGTATAAGATCCTACAATATTTTCTTAAGCATTACTATTACTTTCAACTTTCAACACTTAAGCTGGTACATTAAGATAATTTATGGCATTTGATTCTATGATGAATAGTGTAAATAGAATGTTTGAAATATGTGATTTAGAAATAGAAAAAGCAGAGCCATAGGGTGAATTAGAAATGAAAAATTGGCCAAATTCTGGTTCAATAAATTATTCAAATGTGACAATGAGATATAGAGAAAACACTCCTCTAGTTTTAAAAGGAATGAACTTTAAAATTAATGATAAAGAGAAAGTCGGGATTGTTGGTAGAACAGGAGCTGGTAAATCATCAGTAATTTCTAGTCTATTTAGATTAAACTCTATATAAAATACTGGGTATTTTTATTAATAATTATTCTTAGTTTTATTACAATTGATGATTAAGATATTCGCAAAATCAATTTATATAAGTTAAGAAAAGAAATTAGTATAATTCCTTAAGTACCTTTTCTTTTCAAAGGTACATTAAGAGAAAATCTAGATCCTTTTTAAAATTTTGATGATAAATCGTTATTAAATGTTTTATCCGAAACAGGTTTAGAAGGATTTATATAATAATTACCAAAAGGTCTCGAACATTAAATAGAGCCAGAGTTTTTCTCTATTGGTTAGAAATAATTGATATGTTTAAGTAGAGTTCTATTGAATAAAAAGAAGATTTTGATTTTAGATGAGGCAACTGCAAATGTTGATATGATAACAGATTGTTTAATATAATAAATAATAAAGGATAAATTTAATGATTGTACAATATTTACAATAGCACACAGATTGAATACAATAGCAGATTATGATAAGGTTTTAGTATTAGAAGATGGTAAGGTATTAGAAGAAGGACATCCTTATGAGTTATTAGTTCAGAATCCTAAGATTTCAACTTATATAAATAGTGACTCTGCTTTTGCTAAAATGGTACTTTAAACAGGTCATAAGAACAGTAGCTAAATTTATGCTATGGCAAGGAAAAGTTATCAATAAAAATATGAAATATAGAGTAAAAGTAATTGTAATAGCAAAATGTTGGATGTGTCTCTTAGCAGTATTAGTGAGTTCAACATTTGATATTTCAAACCTTACGATCTTGATACAATTATTTAAATTTCCCTTTATCATTTTTTCCATTATATTTTTGTTTAATTTAAGCTAAATATCAATAAAACAGTCTCAATGATGAAATTTTCTACATTAATTAACTGTTTTTATATCTTCTTATATTATTATATATTACTCTTTTACAAGTATTAAGATTCTCATTATTTCCACTAAATCTTTTTCTTATATATATTTGGAAATCTATTACTCTCTAGGATACTAAAAAATCTTCCTGCTTTTAAGTTTCAATTAAGGAACCTAACAATAAATCTGAAATAGTTTAATATAAATAATTACCCTGCATACAAAAAACTATCATTTCTTTCAACATATAACTTAAAAGCAATTAATTAATTCACAATTTAGTTTTTATCAATAATTTTATACTTCTTTTTAAAATATTATACAATTACTTACATATAACTATTATCAGCAAGCATCTCTCTTATATGTTGTTCCTATAATGATATAATTAATAGTATAGCAATTAATTATATCTTTTGTCAAACGAATCCCATAAGGCTTCTTTAAAATTTCCATTACATTACTATAATTATACAATTATCTATTCATATGAATATTAATTTGATGCATAATATTAATTGACATTCTGAATGTTGATTTACATAATAATAGGCGGCTTAAGAGTTAAAGATTGTATATTATTAAAGGTAGATTATAAGTAGAATTAGATTAAAATTAAATTATATTTTTCCCATATAAGTAATATTCAATTAAGGTACATTGAACCAATAGCTATTTAAATTTAGTGAAATTATATTAATTGTGCTAAAGTGATTTATTTTTATTTGAATTAATGCAATTAGAAATTCAAGAAGAGCTCTGTAATAATATACTTCATAAATTATTGATAGTTTAACTTTTGTTATTACGTCTTGAATTGATAGTAAAAAGTCTGTATTCAATCTATATGCTTTCTTAAATCTTATTTGTAATAAAAGTTTAAGATTTTATTGAATCCTTTTTACAGAGATTTGCATTTATAATATTAATGAATGAGTAATTACGATTTATAAAACTTGAAGAATCTATCGAATAACTGAGTAAGTCTTTTCTGCCTCATCTCAGTTCGATTTAGTAAATCTAATAAAAGTTGTCTGCTTTGGATGTTTTTATTACGAATAATCCAAGGGTTGATTTGATTAGTGATACAATCTAACTTTTAAACTCTTAATTAAAGATCTAAGAGAGAATTAGCTCAATAGAATCATAACATACGAAATTCACAAGTCATTATGATGAAATTTTAAATAGACATTCTGGTTATATTATGTAAATATAACCTTGGATTGATGAGATGCATAAGTTAAATATTTTATATTTATTCTAATAGGATTTTAGAGGAAGCTAAATAAAATAGAGAAATGAATAATCAGATGAAGTTCAATTTCAAAGAGATGAATTAAAAGTATAAAGAATATACAGGAATCCTTTTGTAAAATGATAGATTGACTTAGAATTATAAAACTCGTCTTGATTAATTCGAAACTTAATTAGCTTCTAAGATTGATCACTCAGAAATAACAAAGGTTTAAGATTTAATGAGAAGAGACTTTGTAACTTGTATTGAATTGGATAATATCAAAAATTAGATTCAGTAAAGGCTAGATCGATTGTAAGGAGAGATGGGTACTAAATAATAAATGGGAATTATTTAGGATAATATTTAATTTATAAGAGATCGTTAGATTTCTGTATTAAGTGAATTAGTTGATAAAAAAGTGGATGATCTAGCAAATAATAAATTGAAGGTATATGCGACTAAAAATGATTAAAGAGTCTTTGAAGATAGAACAAATTAAGTTTGTAAGATATTATCAGAGAAAATATTGATGATGCAAAAAGAAACAACAGAAGAATAAAAATTAATATAAGAATAAATGAAAGAGTAGAATTAAAAATTAATTGACTTTAAATAATAATTAAACGTCATCAATTCCACATTTTAAAAATTTGTAATGAAAGATGAATTATAAATTGCTATGTAGAAGACATTACGTTTGTAAAGAGAATCAGAGTATCTAAATGAAAAATTGGAATCAATAAGTGCTGAAATATTTGAATAAAAAGTCTCTATTTAAGCATTTAATAAATAAAAAAATTTAGAAATTTAAAATTTACAACATTAATTCATACAAAAAGAAGGAGAAAGTGTAACTTATTGTGATAGTCCAAAAAGAGCTGATATTTCTCAAGAAGAAATGGATAGTGTTCCATCTTCTCCAAGAAAAAAAATTAGAAAATCCCTTTAAAGATAAGGATCAATTATAACTTCAGATATGATGTAAAGAATATTTCAAAGATCAGATACTAGAATTTAAGAGTTATAAAACTAATTAGATGAAATTAGATAGAGATTGCCTAAAACAAGTAAATTTTAAGAAACAATTACACAACCTGTATCTGATACTATAAATATCAGAATGGAATACTTTAACTAAATGATAATTTAAATACTTGAAGAATCAAAAAAGTTTAAGAATTAATTTGAACTTATAAATTAATAGATATTGATACTCAATAATAGACCTCAATTAAAAGAAGATACACTGTAATTAATAGATGAAAAAATGAGATTTATTTAGGAATTGGAATTTAAACTTGAATAAAAATGTGATTCATCTTTAGTAATTCCTATTTTAGATTCTAAAGCTAATGCTTAAGAATTTATGGAAATAAAATAATTATCTAAATAATTGAAGTAATGTGTTTTGGACACAATAAATAGTTTAAGAACCTTTTTTACTTCTGATTAAAATGATTAGATTAAAGATTTATTAATAAATTAATTAAGTCGATATTTATGTTATTTTGTGAGATAAATAGAAGGTCATCAATAAGCTTAAAGTGAATAATCATAATAGAATAATACATAATAAATAAAATATCTTTAGCCAAAATATAATTCTTCAAGAATGAAATCTCACTCATCTTGTTCAAAAAGAAGAGAAACTGATTATGAAATAAGAGGTAGAACAGTTAATAGAAATATTACAGAGACTGCTGTATATAATTCATTGAGATCATCCCCTTTAGCATTTAGATTAGTGAATTAAAATAAATAGAGTGCAACAATAGTGAAAAGATTGAAAGTTTAATGATTGATATTTACTTACTCAATTTAACTTAAAATATGATACATAATTATATTGTTACATATGCACAGATAACTTAATTTCTAAGAGTTCTTCAGATTCAAATTTAATAGCTAATGACCCTAATTTTAATAGAAATTAGTATACCTTATAATTTGTCACCCTTATTAACAGGTATTTCTTCTCTAAAATACAAAATGGCAGGTTTCCAAAAAGGAGATTTGGTTGGACCCATAATAACATGAATTGGTAAATGGGTAAATGTGAATGAATATTTCATCCACACAATGATTCCAGTTGCATAATCTTATCTCTTTGTCTTTATTTAGTATTGATTACTAAAACTTAAATCTTCTTATTTGCAATTTTATAGATTGATCTCATAAATTAAATATTCATCACTATTTAATTATTCTGCTTTTATGCTTTCAAGAAGTGGTTCCCTTGAAACCCATTGTTTCATCCATTTCATATTGATACCATAAACAGAATCCCTAAATAAAATTTAAAATTTCATTATACCAAAATTTCATCTTTTANTACTTGAAGAATCAAAAAAGTTTAAGAATTAATTTGAACTTATAAATTAATAGATATTGATACTCAATAATAGACCTCAATTAAAAGAAGATACACTGTAATTAATAGATGAAAAAATGAGATTTATTTAGGAATTGGAATTTAAACTTGAATAAAAATGTGATTCATCTTTAGTAATTCCTATTTTAGATTCTAAAGCTAATGCTTAAGAATTTATGGAAATAAAATAATTATCTAAATAATTGAAGTAATGTGTTTTGGACACAATAAATAGTTTAAGAACCTTTTTTACTTCTGATTAAAATGATTAGATTAAAGATTTATTAATAAATTAATTAAGTCGATATTTATGTTATTTTGTGAGATAAATAGAAGGTCATCAATAAGCTTAAAGTGAATAATCATAATAGAATAATACATAATAAATAAAATATCTTTAGCCAAAATATAATTCTTCAAGAATGAAATCTCACTCATCTTGTTCAAAAAGAAGAGAAACTGATTATGAAATAAGAGGTAGAACAGTTAATAGAAATATTACAGAGACTGCTGTATATAATTCATTGAGATCATCCCCTTTAGCATTTAGATTAGTGAATTAAAATAAATAGAGTGCAACAATAGTGAAAAGATTGAAAGTTTAATGATTGATATTTACTTACTCAATTTAACTTAAAATATGATACATAATTATATTGTTACATATGCACAGATAACTTAATTTCTAAGAGTTCTTCAGATTCAAATTTAATAGCTAATGACCCTAATTTTAATAGAAATTAGTATACCTTATAATTTGTCACCCTTATTAACAGGTATTTCTTCTCTAAAATACAAAATGGCAGGTTTCCAAAAAGGAGATTTGGTTGGACCCATAATAACATGAATTGGTAAATGGGTAAATGTGAATGAATATTTCATCCACACAATGATTCCAGTTGCATAATCTTATCTCTTTGTCTTTATTTAGTATTGATTACTAAAACTTAAATCTTCTTATTTGCAATTTTATAGATTGATCTCATAAATTAAATATTCATCACTATTTAATTATTCTGCTTTTATGCTTTCAAGAAGTGGTTCCCTTGAAACCCATTGTTTCATCCATTTCATATTGATACCATAAACAGAATCCCTAAATAAAATTTAAAATTTCATTATACCAAAATTTCATCTTTTAATTACGATATTGACTATCTTCAATCGATTGAATATATAATTAACCTTTGTCTGGCATAATAAATCCATCTTAATTTAGATATTTATCTCTTGCAAATATTACATCTAATACACATCCACCATAAAATAAAATGTTACCCATCCAAGCTGCAATAATGATATCTACTTTGCTATTTAATTCAATTTCTCTAATGTTTTCTTTGTATACTGTAACATTCTATATGTTATTTGATTTCATAATTTCACTAGTATAACTATTTGCTTTCACTGCAAAAACATGTTTTGCTCCAGATTAAGAAGCCAATACACTAAGTAATCCCATACCCGCATTTAGATCCAAAACTATTTTATCTTTAAATAAATGTTTATTTCTTGTAATTGCCTTTACAAATGGCTCAATACGATTAGGATCATTATAAATTTCTTCATCATTTATATTATCCATTTTTAAAATGTTTAATATTTAATATTTAAATTATAAATCCTTATTTAGTGATATAGAATTCATATTTATCTCTCTCTAAACCATATAAATAAGTCTAGAATAAGAAAAGTATAAACAAAAAATTAATTGAATAATCCTTTGACTTTTTTCAATTATATTTTATTTATAGTATTAGAATAGATAATTTTTCCATTTATTCATAATTAATATATCACATTAACATTTTAATTTACTAAGTTAATTAATCAGTTGATTTTTTCTGAGGTATTATACCATTTTCTTATAGAAAACATTCTATTCCTTCGACAGAATAATCCTTAAGAAATTCAACAACAGGAAAAACTCCTTCCTATTTAAATTTCTATAATTTATCAATATTATAATTCTGTGGTAACCATAATAAGCCTTATGGCAATCTTTATAAATCAATATTTCTACAATATTAAAAATGCTGATTTGTGTTAACTAAAACAAAGTGCACTTAACTAATAAAATAATAATATTGTACTTGAATTTAGTTGATGCTTTAATAAATGCAGTTCTATAAATATCAAAATAAGGCTCTCCAGGAGGATAGATTAATTGAAATACAGGTTTTGTTTTTAAAAGATTGTAGATTTCTTCATCTTATCCATTAAATTAATAAAGAAAAGATGTATCTAATTTTTCAGATTGTTTGATTCCTAATTAGAATCCTCCATATCCAGAAATAAGGATAACAAAGAATGTAAGTCTATTCTTTACTTTCCTTTCTCCATAAGCAATATCGTATAAATATTTCTTTAGTGTAAACATAAATTAAATTAATCATAAAGGTAGTAAAAGCTTTGATTTAAGAATAGACACATTTTCAACATCATTTAACAGCAAACCTGTAAGGACAAGTAATCCGAAATTGCATAACATATTCAATACAATTAACAATATTGCAAATATGTTAAGATGTAAAAAGCTTAAAGTAAAGATTTCAATGATAATCCCAAAGGTTACTATAATTAAGATGTATATCAGTGTGTATTTATGTTTCAACATTATTGAAAAAACAATAATCATAATGTAAGTAACACTAATGTCTGGAGTGATGAAATTAATCATCATTGAGAGTACCTATTTGTTAAGTAAATTCAATACTGCAATTATTGTCGCCAATAAATCAATTCGAGCCATGATAGGGTAGGAATGCAATTTGCGTTATGGCTCAATTACTATTTTTTTGAATCCTGAAGCAGTTGAAGTATTTTTGAAAGCTGTTGCTTAAAGAGATGGTGGTTAAAGACTATTTTTATCAGGGATATTCTAAAAGATTTCAGTATTTAATTGAGACTTATTTGAATATGGAGTGTATTTTGGTTATATATTAACATCTTAAAAAAATGGTTTGCTTAATTCATGTAATTAAAATTAAAGTAAAAATAATTCTTCTTAACAAATTTAAGTTTGATTTTCTAAGAAATTCATTTTTTCATCAACCAATTCTTTATAATTGTTACCAATTCTTAACATACATTGTAAATGAATTAAAGTATGGCAGTTAACATTTTACATTTATAACTCAGCTTCTTTCATTTCATTCATAGGCAAAGCTTCACAAGGTAATTGTAAACTTGCAACAATATTGTGATCTTCTAATAATTCAACTTTTAAATCAGCAACAAGAGATTTAACAGGAATTTGAACATCTAGATTCCATTCAAACCATCCATTTTTCTTTGTTTGTATTTCACTTTCATGTAAGAATTCTCCTATAAGAACAACTATATATGGTCTTTATACATAGGATTCTTATATTTTCACATAACTTATATGAAGATTAGTAAATTTATCATAAGGTTTGATTTATTTTAAATATGCTTTTTATTCTTCCATGTACATTTCTCTATTCATTGCATGATTATATTTATTTATTATTATGTCATTAGCTTCTTATATAACATGAGCCAAAGTTTAAATTGTTAATTATGCGTTATAAGAAGCAACTCTTTCAAACAATTCAACTGCAATTTCATAATTAAATTCTTGGTGTCCATTTTTAATGCTCATCTAATTCAGCATTTTAGTCACTTCTATCTGACTCATTTCCTCATCTTGATTTTTATGACAAAATTCTACTAGCTTAGTAACAATCTAATCATAACTTAAAACTTTTTCCATTTATATATTAATTTATATTTATGTAAGTATTTAATTAGAATAAAAACAAAGAGTATTTTCTAATCATTTTTCAAATCAATTACACTTAAAATATAATGTTAGAGTATCACCCAAATTAAAACCTTTTANACTAATGTCTGGAGTGATGAAATTAATCATCATTGAGAGTACCTATTTGTTAAGTAAATTCAATACTGCAATTATTGTCGCCAATAAATCAATTCGAGCCATGATAGGGTAGGAATGCAATTTGCGTTATGGCTCAATTACTATTTTTTTGAATCCTGAAGCAGTTGAAGTATTTTTGAAAGCTGTTGCTTAAAGAGATGGTGGTTAAAGACTATTTTTATCAGGGATATTCTAAAAGATTTCAGTATTTAATTGAGACTTATTTGAATATGGAGTGTATTTTGGTTATATATTAACATCTTAAAAAAATGGTTTGCTTAATTCATGTAATTAAAATTAAAGTAAAAATAATTCTTCTTAACAAATTTAAGTTTGATTTTCTAAGAAATTCATTTTTTCATCAACCAATTCTTTATAATTGTTACCAATTCTTAACATACATTGTAAATGAATTAAAGTATGGCAGTTAACATTTTACATTTATAACTCAGCTTCTTTCATTTCATTCATAGGCAAAGCTTCACAAGGTAATTGTAAACTTGCAACAATATTGTGATCTTCTAATAATTCAACTTTTAAATCAGCAACAAGAGATTTAACAGGAATTTGAACATCTAGATTCCATTCAAACCATCCATTTTTCTTTGTTTGTATTTCACTTTCATGTAAGAATTCTCCTATAAGAACAACTATATATGGTCTTTATACATAGGATTCTTATATTTTCACATAACTTATATGAAGATTAGTAAATTTATCATAAGGTTTGATTTATTTTAAATATGCTTTTTATTCTTCCATGTACATTTCTCTATTCATTGCATGATTATATTTATTTATTATTATGTCATTAGCTTCTTATATAACATGAGCCAAAGTTTAAATTGTTAATTATGCGTTATAAGAAGCAACTCTTTCAAACAATTCAACTGCAATTTCATAATTAAATTCTTGGTGTCCATTTTTAATGCTCATCTAATTCAGCATTTTAGTCACTTCTATCTGACTCATTTCCTCATCTTGATTTTTATGACAAAATTCTACTAGCTTAGTAACAATCTAATCATAACTTAAAACTTTTTCCATTTATATATTAATTTATATTTATGTAAGTATTTAATTAGAATAAAAACAAAGAGTATTTTCTAATCATTTTTCAAATCAATTACACTTAAAATATAATGTTAGAGTATCACCCAAATTAAAACCTTTTATTCAATCTTGAGTACTATAATTTAAATAAATAAATTATACTGAATTTTCAAATAAATCATCATTGTTAAAATCATTTCAATTTTTAGATTTTGAACATCTCAAATATTTTATTCAAAATTAATTAAATTATCTAATCTAGTATTCTCTAGCTAATAAACATATATATATAATTTATATAATACATCTTCAATTTAGAATATTCATCATATTTCTTTTATCTTTAAAGATTTAAATCATCATGGTTCTCATAAATATTAATAATTTATCATCTGTCTATACTCTAAACAATATTCCCATCTCTAAAATCAATTCATAAAAATTATGATTAAGAATTTAATTGAAAATGCTAAATTAACAGCACAAAAAGTTATGATTAAAGAATAACAACATAAACAGCAATAAATTGAAACCTTCCCTACTTTTGATTAATTGGCTTTTAAAAATTATAATATTCCAAAAGATAATTTATGGTAATACTCAATTGAAGATTTTTCTAATATTCTATATTAAATGGAAGATTATATAAATCGACTTTAAAAAGGATATGATGATGTTTGTTAATAATTTTTACCTATGTTAAATAAATTTGAAATGCTTGAAAAAGAAAGAAAAAGAATAACATAAGAATTATAAGAAAAAGAAAATCATTGTAAAGAATTAGAATAAGCAATGATTGAAATGTAAGCTGATGCTGATAATGAGTTGAGAAAAAAAGAAATAATTGAATGTGAATTAGAATAATCAAAAAAAGAATTATAAACTATTTAAGCATAAATTAATTGGAATAATAATTAAATAGATGATAAAGAATTATAAGAAATTAATGCTGCATTTATTGAATTAGACAAAAGTAGTGATGAATAATATAAATAAAGAATAGATGCTTTATCTAAAGAAATCCAAGAATATATTTAATTAAATAAAGATTAACTTCATAAAATTAATTTATAGGCTCAAGAAATTGATAAATAGAGTTAAGAAAATAGATAAATAAATAGAAACTATAATATGGTATTACAATAATTAGCAGATTAATAATCTAAAAGTAGATAAGAGAGTGAATCTAAATAATAATAAATCAATTTATTGATCAAAGAAAACAATAAATTAATTAGTTAATTACAATAATTAGATTAATAAAAAACTATTGAATTATAAATCTAATTAGAAAATACTAAATGGAAAGAAGAAATTCAAGATTTAAAAAAAAGTATTCTTAAAAAAGAATAGGAAATCAAAGGACTTAATAACTAAATTTTAATTGAAAAACAATTATAATAATAGTAAAATGATTTGATTAAAGTTTTAAAAGGTAAAAGAGATATTGCAATTATTGAAATTAATCAAATGTAATCAAAATAATAATTAGACAATTCACAATAGATTACTCAACAAAAATTAAAATAAATAAGATTTTCAATTCAGAATAAATTAATTTAAATGAGAAAAGAATTTGAAAATATGTATAAATAGTATTTATTATTAATTTGTAAGCTTGAAAATAATAAGCTTTCAAATGATTTAATGAGATTAGAATCAACTATTAATAAAATAGTAATAGATATGTAAGATTTACTAGATGAAGTTGAAGATATAATGGGTTGATTAAATGATTACATAAACATCATAAAAAATTATGGTTCTATTATAAAATAGTTCTTAATCTTAGAGAGCTAATATTTATCCTTTTAAAATTTTTTAAATAATCTTTAATCTTTGAAAGTTTAATTAGATTTATATTAGTATTATCTCAAATTGGTGTTATAATAAATTTGAATCTAATTCTGTTAGAAACTATTATTAGATATCTATTCTTTATCTTAATGTAAACTCTCTTAAAAATTGTGTATATTATGATATACTTATTTAAGTATCTCTTTTAATAATATCCACTGCTTTGTGAATTCAAACAACAATCTATTTTCTTATTAAAATTCAGCACTTTAATTTTACTCAAAAATAATTTCAAATTTTGTTTCTAGCTGAATTAATCTATTTAATTTTTGATTTTAAAGCAGTCAATATCATTAAATGTAAAATATATATAAGTTTATAATGTTTTTAATTCAAAATTAAGCCAAAATTTTTCCAAAAGCCGATTCTTCATTTACTTAATCTTTTTTTTTATTTTTATTTGGGTATTGCTTTACTTTATTTATAATTTCATCCAACTTGTTGTTAATATCAGTATGTCTATATATAATTTGTTTATTACTTTTATGATTCTAGTTCTGATTCCAAATCACTAACACTTTTCAATAAAAATACTAACTCTTTAAATAATGAATAAGATATCCCTAATTATTTGAATTATTTAATGCAAGTATGTAATACTCTAAAAATATAAAAAATAAAGATTTTTACTTCTTTAACTTATCAATTTTTTTATAAATTTCAGCTAGTTTCATATTACCAGTTTCCATTTTAGATCTCATTTTATTTCTAAAACCTACGTATGAGAAATTTAGTTCGTTTATTTATTAATTCAATGTTGTATTAAATTTTTGATTATATGGTAGATATTAAGGTTATTAAAAATTATCCAAGTTAATATGGCAATTTATTTTTTCTCCTTCAATTAATTTTATATTATTTAATTATTTAAAGTAATAATTAAAGTTTTTTCTGACTTCCAATTAAACTTAAAGTGAAATTAATATTTAATAATTTATGTCAAATTTTTCAAATATTTCTCTATTTGATTAAATTGATTAATTAACGATATTCAGATCTTCTTCAGTTTTATGATTTTCTTCTTTTACCTTTATTTTCTGTTCATCTTTTGCTTATACTAATTTAAGATTTTCTTCCTTTTGCAAATTGAGATTTTTAGGACTTTTTTATTCTTTTCCATCCTATTACTGTACTGTTTCAGTTTTTTCAGAATTTTCTTGAAGAATAACTTACTTTGTTATTTCATTTTATTTATCATCTTAAGGTTGAATATTTTATTTTTCATTTTTTAAGTCATTTTATTGTTATACATTTGGACAATGTTGATTAAACACTTTTTCTTATTTAAACGGTTATAATTCTTTTTCAATCAAATCCAAAATTTCCTTATAAAAAGAATCCTTTAATTTAAGGTGTAATAGGTTTTCATTCAATATAATTAAAAGATGATGGATATAATTTTTAAAACTTAACTTATTACTTTCAATTATAAATCTTATCAAAATCAAATAGACATTTTTTAATAATTTATAAAGTTTTTCCTAATCGTAATCCCATTCTATAGATATTTCATTATTTTGACATTAATAAAGATATGATAAGAATTATAAATTATGATGTTATTATTCAAAAAGAAAAAAATAAAATTCCTCTTACTTATTTTGATTTTACGTTTAAGTCTAATTTTAAGATTGGGAGGTTGTAATTTATTTATCTTGTTCTTTTTCTAATAATGCTTCTTTTTAATTTTACTCAGATAATTTACTTTATACTTCATTTTATTCATTATTATTATTAATATTATTAATTACATGAATATTTTAGAGTTCTTTCCCTTTATCGAAAGACCATTTTTCTTAATCTGATAACTGCTATTCTTCTGTTTTTTCTAAGGACTAATTAAAATCTAAAGATTTATTTTCTTAAACTGAAGACTCAACAGTTAGTTGTGATGGTTTTTCTTAAATTTATGAGATTTAATTAGATTCTTAAATTTTTCTTTAATTAGATTAAATTTCCTTTAAGTTTTTATTATTATCTATCTCTTTAGATAGAAAGTTTACTATTTCATTGATCCATTAATTTTATTCATCATAGTTTTCAATGAAATAGTCATTTTCAATTATTTAGTATTTAAGGTGAATTACTTTTTATTTTTATTAATTATCCTATTGAAAATTATCGCTATAAATAAATAAAATCAAAATCATGATTACTTAATTAATTTCATGTTTTAAAATATCTAAGTGATAATACTTATTTTAGTTATTGTTATAATGAAATCTGACCCAATACTCAATAGACTATATTGATATAATGTTTTTACAATAAGTATAAAAACTTACTAAATTAGACATCAAACCATAATCTGTTTTTGGATTTTTAATTATATCTTGAATAGATATAGGAATCTAAACTATCAATGAATCAAGAATTTGAATGGCTTAAATCAAACACTTTTTATGATTCAATTTTGGAATCTTATCATTATTAATGTCATAACACAACTAGTCAATAATTGTTATAATATATGGAATGAGATTTTCATTTTCAAGCAAAAATTAATAATTACTATCATTTTAATAGGAGTTTTTTTAAATCATTTCTTCAAATAAGAACTAAAAAATTACTTCATTGCTTTAATTTACACTGTCTTAAATTTTTTTTATAAATTCGATATTTTTCTAATATATATCTTAATCAGAATAAAATTCATTAGAATTTATTTATAATTGAATTAGCATGCTTTAACCAAAAACATTTAGAAATTTCGATTCTGAAACATATTTACCATTGAGAGAACAAATAGCTGAAAATATATTTTCTTTATTTTAATAATCTTCATAGTCTAAGTTAAATAAGTTATTAACCATCAATAATAGTCTCTTAAGATATAATATCTATTCAAAATTACAACTCTAAATAAATTTATTTTAGAACTTTTCATTTTCATAATAAAGAAAATGCAAGATTATCATAAACTTTTCCTTTTAGTTTTAAAGATTTAATAATTTATCCATATCTTTATAATTTAGTTCTTTATTTTACTGAATTGAAAAATGAAATTGAAAAAATAATGAAAATCTCGAAGAAAATTATTTATTAATCATTTCTTCCATGCGCTAAGAAAATATCATAGGTTTATATTTCTTATATACTTATGAATAATACCCTAGAAGATAATAGCTCTTAATAAGAAATAAATTTTAATTTTTTATTTCTAGAATTTATTCCTTTTCTAATAATAAATCAAAAAATTCTTGAAATTATAATTTTTAATCCTCATTTTAATATTTAAGAGTTTCTTTAAGTACTTCAAATTAACCTAAAAAGAATAATTCTAAAAGTGAAATCTAATTATCAATTATTTTTGGGTAATATTACTCTTTAATTTCTAATGTTTTAAAGTTCAAACTTGGGAAATATTTATATAATAATGATAATTTTTATGGGTATAGGACAATTAAAATTTAATATTGATTCAACTATTATAATACTTCAATAGCAAATTCTTACAATATTTCATCTATTTTGATTTATTTTTCCTCAAAGATTTTAGAAATATTTTCTTTATTGTGATTATTCATAATCATATTTTAGTCAATAATTTCGAAATATTAATTCCAAAAAACTTTCAGTTACTCAAACATCATCTCTTCTAGATCATCTTTAATATAAATTTAAGAATCAAGTATTGCATTCAATTCTTAATCAAAAAGATCTTTAACTGCAACTTTGGCTAAAATATTTTTTGAAAAATTCTCCAATATAAATTTTTCTTTATTTATAATATAGTTTTTAATATTTTTTGATTTTTCAACTAATTAATAAAAAATATTATATTTTTCCTTCATTTATTTCAGTAGATATTATTTAATTTCGTCTTTATCTAAAAGATTCCTAGAAAAACATAACTTTAAAACTTCATATTTGAAGAATTCATCTTAATATCTATTTGATAATAGTTTTAATACTTTGGTCAATCTACCTATTTTATAGTAAATAATTATTGCAAGTAATATTTATTTTAATTTCTTTGCACTCTTTGCAGCTTATGGATAAAGCTTTAAATTTAAAAACAAAATAGTGCTATCTTCATACATCATTCCAGAATAAAAACAATTTGCAGCTTGAAATTAATCATTTATTAGAGGATCTAAAAATTTAAAAGCTGCACATTAAAAATCTTATCTTAATTATTGTTCTAATTGTTCTATTTTTTTCTTTAAATCTAAAGTGGCAGCTGTTTAAAATTTAATTTTGTATGATTTATAATTTGCTAATTTTAAAGATCCTTTGGTAGCAATATTGAATGCTGAGGATAAATATTCCATCTTTTAATTTTGGCATATTTAAAAACATTTCTCAGCTTCATCATATAGTTTTTTTTAAAACATTAATTATCCTTACTATTCCCAATTTTATTTTTATTATTCATTTAATATTCTTCGTTTATATTTTTATTAACCTTCTTAGAACTCATTCTATTATTCTTCTGTCTTTTAAATAAATAATTATTTTTATCTTAATTCTTCCTATCTATTTTGGGCTAATTATAAAATTTGTGAATATTCCTCTATAAAATCACAAACATTATATTTTTTTAGAATCCTTTCTAGATGAGATCTTTAAGCTGGTTCATCATCATATATAATAACCCTCTTTTTAGCTCTTGTAATACACACATATAACATTTTTAATTCATTACATAGACTTGAATACTCATTAACTTTTGTTTTGTCATATCTTTAATTTAATTTTAATTTTTTTTAAATTACATATTATGCATCTTTTGTTAATTCCCAATCATTTGTGTTATTTTATTCTTAATATTCTAATTCATATATATTTTTAAATACTTGTTATGGATTCTTCAAAAACTTACTTATCTATATAAGTTTAATCTACATCTATGCAAGCTAACAAAGACCATTACTCTTAAGGAATTGGATCAGTACTAAAACAATTATAGATAATAACATCATCAAATTCTAATCCTTTTGCTTGATATGTTGTTAGAACTCTAGCTGTTTTAAATTATTTTGGAAGTGCTTCTTTTGCTTCTTAATTTTTCACAATTATAACTTAATTAAATCCAAATTCTACATCACATTGTTCTTCAGCATCACAATCTAAATTTAAATAATCATTTATTAATTCTGGTTTATTATTAGATATTATTATAGGTTTAGGACCCTTTAAATTTGAGATTTCTTTTTATAAATGATCTAAGCTATTTGGAAATAATAACTCTAATAAAATAATTATGCAATTTGCTAATTATAGAATACTATTATGAGATCTAAAATTAGTTGTTAGTTGATAGACTTAAAATTTCTCTATTTAATTTGATCCTATTTATTTAGAGGTTTTAAAAATAGTTTATAAATCAGAAAATCTAAATCCAATTCCTTTTAGAATACTTTAAGCAGTATCCCCACAAAATATTACTCCTTATTCTGTTATTTTACAAAAAAGTTCAATCATAGCTTAAGGTAAATCTTAAACTTCATCTACATACGAATAGTGGATAGGAAATTTAATTAATTAATTTTATTCTATATTTTTCAGCAAGGAATTGATAATATCTAATTAATCAAATAATTTTTATTCTTCTTTCCATTTTTCATAATTTTCAAAACATTAATAAATTTCTTGAATTTATGCTTCAGTTAAATAATTTTCAACTCTTTCTTTATATAACTGGAATGGAAGATATCTATTAGGATACATGTATGAATATTAGGAACCCTTAATGTATGAATAAATCTATGTCCATATTAATGAAGGAAGAGCAATATCATAAAAATTATGTCTTACTTTTCTAGCTTCTTAAGGCCAAAATTATAAATAAAATAACATGAAGTCAACCTCAGGTATAATAATTTCTTTTATATTCTTATTACTTTAGAAAGTTGAAAATTAATATTTAGTTTGTTAATATTTATTTGATTAAGGAAACCATTCATCTAAATTTATGCCATTATGATCTAAGAAACCTATTTTATCTCTATGTTTATCTCTAAATTTATTGATCCTTTCATCAGAGAAAAATGGATTTTAAGATTGTTTATCTAAAAATATTAAGATTTATTCTACTGATAAAAAACCAGGAAAATTAATTTATTAAAAAGATTTTTAATTCGATTTTGAATTTTCCAATTAAGAAATATTTTCTTATTGAGAATTTTAACATTTATCCTCTTGTAAAATAAAATCTAATACATCGTATTCATAGTTTGTAATAACACTTTCATTAATTGAAACACTAATTATATAATAATAATTACAAGGATTCATCCAAATTGAATGTTTATGTCTATCTATGTTTTATTATAGCATCTGAAGCTTATCTTTCTAATTTATGATAATATTTTTCAACTTCTTAAACTAAAAATTTATTAGCTGTTGAAAATATTGAATGTATTTGAATATCTTTATTCTAATAGTCTTACAAAAATTATATTCTTTTTTAACCTAGTAATTTACTTCTGACTTTCACTAACATTTCTGTTGCAAATATTCTTAAGACAATACTTGTTGTTTTTCCTGTTCCACTTCTACCAATAACTAATGCATTATTCTTTGTTCCGACAATTTACTTTTCCTAATTTGATAATTTAATTTTAAATTATTAAGATTTTTAAAGCAGATCTAAAATTTGCCCTGCAGATTCAAAATCTGCAAATTATATCAATTTATATTTATTTTAATTTCCAATATCTTCATAATAAAATTGAATATTTAATTTTTCATGAAAAGATTTCTTCATATACTATCCTTTAAACAACATATTTTATTTTTATTCCATGAGTTATTTAAATTGTAAAGGAATCCATTATATAAATTTTAGTCTTTATGATTAATAAATAGATTCAGGCCAAAGTTACTTTTCAAATTTAAATAAGTAGTTTTATGATTTAGCATTAATTCCTGTTAATGGAAGACTAATACATTCTATTTAGTTTAGATCAGATCTATAAAAGTCTTGGAAATTATTTCTCTAATAATCTAAAATTGTATCTGTAATTTCTGATCCTTTTTGATAAAAGAAAATATCAATAAGAGTGATTTTTTGAATAATATCAAAACAAATAAACTAAATCTAATAATAATTTTATTGATATACTTATTATTTGGAGTCTTAAATTGATTTATGTAAACCCACTTCAAATAGTATGCTGAAATTTTCAGTAGATTGAAGTAAAAAAAAACTTTAATAAATTAAGACATATGGCACTCTTAAGTAAATCAAATTAATTTTATTACTTTTAATATTGAAATACCCATCTAAGATTAACAAAATAGATGAAATAATTGCTAATATTTTATCATTTTTATTTATAATCTTATTGAGCATTTATTCTACTTTAATAGATAAAATTACTTGAAATTTAATATTACCATAAAGATTCTTTAATAACATCAAATGTTGTAGTCTAAAACTTTTATTCATCTTCTCCAATAAAAGAATCAATAATCATTTATGTAAGGATTTTCTCAATAGTCATATCCTTCTTTTTTGAATCTCTTTGTTATTGTTTGATATAGTTTTAGATTTTTGACTTGTAATTTTTGGTTTAACTTTCAGTATTTTTTTAGTTCGAGTTCATTTTGTACAAAATTTCTGTAATAAATAAATTATAAAAATTATAATATGTATTATTATTTTAAAATTGATTTTAATATATAAAGATTAAATTTATTTTATTTGAATGTAATTTATTTAATTTATTTTTTAAAGAATAAAAAAATATTATTTGTAAATTTCTTCTAGAAATGGTCTAGAAATTAAAAAAAAAACAAGCATTATAATCATAATATTATAAAATTTAATTTCAATATTTTTATTCTTTTCTTTATGTATTCATAAAAGTATTTCGACTTGAGATACATGAGAATGGTTTTAGATAGCAAATCTAAAGCATTCTTTTTGTCAGATTTCTAGCAGTTTATACTTATTATTCTAATTTAAAGTTCTAATTAGATTTGCCTCTTTTAGGACTGTTGTTTTTTGAAGAATAATCAAAAATNGTTTTATGATTTAGCATTAATTCCTGTTAATGGAAGACTAATACATTCTATTTAGTTTAGATCAGATCTATAAAAGTCTTGGAAATTATTTCTCTAATAATCTAAAATTGTATCTGTAATTTCTGATCCTTTTTGATAAAAGAAAATATCAATAAGAGTGATTTTTTGAATAATATCAAAACAAATAAACTAAATCTAATAATAATTTTATTGATATACTTATTATTTGGAGTCTTAAATTGATTTATGTAAACCCACTTCAAATAGTATGCTGAAATTTTCAGTAGATTGAAGTAAAAAAAAACTTTAATAAATTAAGACATATGGCACTCTTAAGTAAATCAAATTAATTTTATTACTTTTAATATTGAAATACCCATCTAAGATTAACAAAATAGATGAAATAATTGCTAATATTTTATCATTTTTATTTATAATCTTATTGAGCATTTATTCTACTTTAATAGATAAAATTACTTGAAATTTAATATTACCATAAAGATTCTTTAATAACATCAAATGTTGTAGTCTAAAACTTTTATTCATCTTCTCCAATAAAAGAATCAATAATCATTTATGTAAGGATTTTCTCAATAGTCATATCCTTCTTTTTTGAATCTCTTTGTTATTGTTTGATATAGTTTTAGATTTTTGACTTGTAATTTTTGGTTTAACTTTCAGTATTTTTTTAGTTCGAGTTCATTTTGTACAAAATTTCTGTAATAAATAAATTATAAAAATTATAATATGTATTATTATTTTAAAATTGATTTTAATATATAAAGATTAAATTTATTTTATTTGAATGTAATTTATTTAATTTATTTTTTAAAGAATAAAAAAATATTATTTGTAAATTTCTTCTAGAAATGGTCTAGAAATTAAAAAAAAAACAAGCATTATAATCATAATATTATAAAATTTAATTTCAATATTTTTATTCTTTTCTTTATGTATTCATAAAAGTATTTCGACTTGAGATACATGAGAATGGTTTTAGATAGCAAATCTAAAGCATTCTTTTTGTCAGATTTCTAGCAGTTTATACTTATTATTCTAATTTAAAGTTCTAATTAGATTTGCCTCTTTTAGGACTGTTGTTTTTTGAAGAATAATCAAAAATTTCAAGATTTGGAGCTGATTATCTTAAAGAAATGGGTTTAAGAATCAATTATGTTTTTTCTGTTTAGAGATTAATAATTTTTTTCTAAGGTGATTCATAAATATAAGGTTTCAAATTGACTTGAGGAGGAGATATTAATTTTTAGTTTTATTTATATTTCTTAGATAATGGACTCTCTATTTTTAATTATTGTTTTTTAGGACTAATATCTGGAATTGAGAGTAATGTAGCAGTTGATTTCAATGATTTTGTTGAAATAGTAAGTTATGATTATTATTGCTATTATATAATTAGACTTGACCATAATTCTTTTGAAGGTTGTTCTTACTATTAATATACATTATGAAATTTATTCATCTTTGTTGATCTTTTACCACATTCATTACAAGAGCAACTCAACCTTCTTTACCTAGAATCATCTATTTCAAACATCTTTTCTTTGAAGTTTTTATTTCTTTGCTGTTTATTTGAGTTTCTAATCAAGTTATTTATAAGCACTGTTTTATGATAAAAAAGTAATCTTCTTTAAATCTCTCTACCTTCTGTTTTTACAATAGATGCTTATGAAACTCTTTGTTTTGGAATTTCTTAGAAAATAAAATATTATGATGCATTTAAACTTCGAGCTATACATATTATTTAAGAATTTACATCTTTATTTTTCCACTTTAAAGCAACTCCAACTAAATTTATTAGATTTCATTAGAAGAATCTAATTATAATATAATAATTATATCAATAAGATGGATATAACACTTAAGAAAAAAACATTTAAATTTCATGTTAAATCAGCTAGTACATCAAATATTTTTGCAAGTCCTCAATCAACAAATACTCCACTTACTGGAAGATCTATTGCATAATATGTTCATATTCCATTTCTTTCTTTTAAAAAATGTGAATTAAAGAAATATATCTATAATGAAGAAAAAGAATATTTTTAAAAGAAGTAAATCATTGAATCTGGTTATTTAACATAAAGAGGAATGTCTAAATTGTTAAAACCAAATAGTAACTATATTATTCTTAATTTAGGATTGAAATGGTAAAAAAATGACTTAAAACTTCATGATACTATTTTAAAAACTAAATTAAATATAGCAGACATCATTTTAAATGCAAAAGGAGGTTAAACTCGTAGAGAATTTTTAATTGAAAAAATACAGAATTAAATAGAAAGTCCTAAATAAATATTCAGTCAATAAACCATTAAAAGTGAACATAATGTTTAAATATTTATGGATAGATTGAAATTTCAATCAATACCATCAAAATTAAGAGGAGATTCTTCATCACCATCAAAAACAATATAATCTCAAAAGTTTATCTTTAATTCTTCAACAACCTATTAAACAGAATGATTCTATAATATGAAATATAATTTTAAATCATAATTCAAGTAAAAATTAATCTCTGAAATCTAAATTTCTTTTAATTCTTTTTTTTTTGTTTTCTTATTTTATTTTAAGAAATTTCTAATTTTTTCATCTCAAATTTAATACATCCTCAAATTGTGATTTCAATTAAAATATTAATATAATTTGAAGAATTATTTTTAAAATGTATATAAATTTAATCTTTTTGATCAAAATTTTATTGATCTATTATAATTCTTTTTCTTTGAATTTCTTAGTTCTGTTAAATTTTCTTTTTAGAAAACGATAAAATTGTGAAATTATAAATAAACAATAATTTAAATCACAAAGTTAGTTTGATTTTATAATCAAATTTTACTTTTCAAATCTGTATCAAGCTCTTTTATTTCATTAGAAACTTTACTCATTTGTTATTAAACTACTTATCTATTACTTTATTCAGATGATTTATTTAAATTCACATTTTTTTGTTATATATCAAGTTAATTTTCCAATTCTTAAATTTATTAAATTAAAGATGATTTTTTTTGTTTTAATTGCTCCTAACTTTTATTTATCAAACTATTTTAATCATCTAATTAGTATTATTCCGACATTTCTTAATATTTTCGGTCTTTAATATTTTATGATTAATTTAACTCAATTTCATGATTTCCTTAATAATTTTATTCAAGATTTTAACTTTCTTTTATTGAATTTTTGAGACTGTTATTTTAAATCTTTGTGTTTTCTGTTTCTTTATTTTTTTGGTCCTTTAATTATTTATTAAAGCTTAAATTTATAAACAAATATTTTACTGATTATCAGTAGAAATTTATATTTAGCTTTATTATAAACTTTTTTGTATGTTGTAATTCATTTCTGTGTTCTAATATACTATTTGAGATTTCACAAAATCTTCTTAATTGTTATTAAATTGATTTATTTTCTTTAATTTTTGATCTGTCTTTTAATTCTAAATTTCATTTGCGGAATTTGTTTTAATAAATTAATTTTAAGAATCTTTATTATGATCGTTTTAATTATCCTCTTCGTAAATATTATTTAAATTTGATTTGTTCACTGCTTGCTAATGCAATTAAAAATTGTCTTTTTATTCAATGTTTTCATTTAGAATATAAACACTTTTAATTGTAGAACTCGTTTTATTCATCAATTCTTATTAATTCTCTTATTATTTTTAACCTTTACTAATTTTAGGTTATAACTTAGATATCATTTTAGATTCTTCTTCTGGTTCAAAATAGAATTCTTCATTATCAATAGTTTTGTTATTCTTTAATGATTAATTATTAGACTCTATAAATAAATTTTACTAACTTATAATAGGATCAGGGTTTTAAGTTTCCTAAATTTAATGAGTTTATTCTTGATCAGCATGTATTTAAATCAAGGAATTAATTTATTAATATTTCTTCTTATCTTCAAAAATTTTATCATCTTTTTATTTCTCTGATGTTTACAAACATTTTTCATCTTTAATTTATGAATTAACTATTTAATTATCTGGAGTATCTATAAGATTAATTTCCTCAATTTTAGAAACTTTTTCTGACTATTAATAATGTTATTAAGAACTATCTATTTTGGCTGAATTTTTAGATAATTTATTTTTATGAGTTTAATGCTCCTCATTATTAAGTAAAATAGATTGTTTCACTTAAATAGGTCTTTTTTTAGTTTTCTATGTAATTTCTATATTCTACGATTAATCTAATTTTTTTGAAATTTTTTAATTGTTATCTTTAATTTTAGAATCAACAAAATCTTAATTTAATACTTTATTAACAGGTTCATCTTAAGTTTAAATCATGATAGATACACTTTTTTATTATTCTTAAGATATATTTATGTTAGATACATGATCATTTGTTTTTGTTTTCTAAGAACGTTAAGATTATTCTTTTAGTAAAATGGTTTTTTATTTTTTTTCATTTTCAGTGTCTTAACTTATAATTAATTATTTAGGTGTGATTGCAATTTAGCAGTTATCAGATTGTTCTGTCTTAATTCTAATTTTTTAAGAAGATTCATTTAGATTATTTGAGTATTCTGATTGAGATTCTGAATGTAATTTAGAAATAAATTGAAATGATTTTTCTTAATTATCTTTTTGATTCTAATAATACTGATATTAAAACACTTAGGATTAGATTCTATTTTTTGTCCCATCAGGCATTATTCTATAATTTTTTTATTTTATTTTAGAGCTTTAAGATATAATTGGCAATTTAGAGGATTATTTTTCTGTTGTATCACTTTCTCCAGAAAATTCAGTTTTTTATTTCCTTATATTAAGTTTTTTCAACTCATTATCTTAATAAAATGATTGTGTTCTATTTGGAGTTTATGTTTTTTAATTTTAAGGTTGTAATTTAGTTTTTAATTACTACTAAATAAAAGAATAATCTGTTTATTATTCTTAAGTAATTTTGAATTTGTTTTATGATTAACCTACATTTTGTGTCATTTAATTTTAGACATCATCTGACTATAACAATATATATTACACATTTTCAACTGCAAAAGTAATTTATTCTAAGAATTTTAACATATCTTCTCTAGTCATTGGTTATTGAAGATAATTATTTGTACTATTGAATCTTGGCAATGAGAATTATTATTTTCGCTTTGGAGTTATTTATTATTATCTTTATAATATAGAAGGAGTAGTTGATTTATCTTATTAATGTAGTTTTGAATTAACACAACTAACTAACTATTTTTTTCTTTAACTTGTTCTTAGGTTTTGTTAATTCATTTTGAGTAAATTTATAATTAAATATGAATTAATTAATCCATGATTTAAAAAATTACTTAATGAGAATTTAAATTTGAAAATATTTATTATGACTATAATTCTTCAAAGCATTGCTTCATTTGTTAATTAAAATATGAATAATTAAAATTTCTTTTTTGTTAATATAATATTATATTGAAAAACATGCATCTAATAAATAATTTATATAATCATGTAATGAAAATTGAATAGAAAGGAATAATTCTGAAATTATTGTATTTAAAAACCCAATATTAACAAAACAAATATCAAAGAAAATAGTGAAGTATTTAAAGGTCTGAATGTTTCCATAAACACATTAGAACAAGTATATTAAATGATTCCAAAAAGAAATTAATGTATAGGGGTAAATTATTAAATATAATCACCTGAAAAATAACTCCCCAATTATTAAAATATGAATTAATAATAGGAAAACTAAGATGAATTGATTTAAAAATTGAATACGATTGCCTAAAAATTCAAGGAAGATATTATTGAATTTAGCTACTTTTTTAACGATCAATGGATCGAATAAAATGTTGAAAAGGTATAGATAACATAAAATTTTGAAATGTTAACATTTCATATTCGTGGTTCAGATCCTTTTGGTGCTTGGATTTAGGTTGGTGTGATAACAATTAATAAAATACAATCTTAGGTTGAAACATTCTCCAGAAAAATTTATGATGATTCGTTCCTTTAAGGGGGTGACATATTAATATATCATGGATCATTTAATGAAGAAAATCAATAATTTGAAGGTGCATGGTAATATTAATAGGATTAGTCAAGAGGAGATTGGAAAATAAGATTTAAAGAATAATGAATTTTATATTGAAATATTATCAATGAAAAATATAATAATATTAATTAAATATAAAATAGAATCAATTGTTGTCTAAAATTTTAATAATTACTTCTTATGAATCTTGATATACATCAAGAAAATCAAGAGTTTGATATAGCATTAAGACATTATCTGAACAACTATAGGATCTATCGTATAGTGGTTAGTACCTGAGGCTTTAACCCTCAAGACCTTGGTTCGAATCCAAGTAGGTCCTTTTTTTGTTTTTGTTTTTTATTTATAAATATAATTTGATTTTGTTTTATTAGTATTTTTTTTACAAATTTGATAACATTAAGTTAGAGTAAATTTAATACAGAAATTATTATTTCTAAAATTACTCAGAAATAGATTTTTCTAATTATAATTTATCATTTGAATTTTTATTTTAAACTTAATAAGATTATGTATTATTGTTATTATATTAGCATTTAATTTATAATTATTATTAAGTAAACAATAATTTTTATTTGAGATGTTTTAAATATGAAATACTATGCTTTTTCTTAAGAACCATCATGAAATTTGAGTTTAATAATTTAATAAAAAAGAATCCTATTATGTAAAATAAATTTAAGATAAAATTGAAATCTAAAACGTTATTTTCGTTATTTTATGGTTTGAATAATAAATGAATTTGGTAAGAGAAAAATAGTAATATGGGACCAATAGATTTGGAAATTAAATAGAAAAGTATAAAAAATGAAATGTTCATTTTTGGATATATAGTTTAGAATTAAGAAATTCTATTAAATGATTGGAAATATTGATATAAGGATATGGTAATTTAAAAAATGGTATAAAAATAATATTAATTAGAATAAGGTATAAATTAGTTTATAAAAAAAGAGTTGAAGTGAATTAGGAAATAAGATATGAAATATAGTTTTCTGATAATGAATTTATGAAAATATTAATAAATATTTATTATGGACCCTTCTAAAACATAAATGTTAAAGTTATCATAATCTACAAAAGAGAGAGTAGAGGCTGCAAAATAATATATAGAGAAGAAATACTAAAAGCTACTTTATGAATAAAAAGAAAAGAGAGAGAAGTGGGAATAATTAATTCAAAAATTGACAAATCTAAATTATACACCAATAGAGCAATAAGTAATAAAATAGGATTTGCTTCATAAAGAAGCTGAGATATTGAGATTATAGAGATAGAAATTGAGCATAAAAGATTTTGAACCAATAGAAATAATAGGAAGAGGTGCATTTGGAGAAGTAAGATTGTGTAGAAATAAATTATCAAATGATATAGTTGCAGTAAAGAAAATGAAAAAGTCTGAAATGCTTTATAAAAATTAAGTATTTAAATTAATTTAGAAAGGTTTGTCATGTAAGAGCAGAGCGAGATTTATTAGCAGCATCAGATAATGCATGGATAGTTTAATTAAAATGTTCATTTTAAGATGAAAAGTATTGAATTGTATAATGAAAGATATCTATATTTAGTAATGGAATACTTACCAGGAGGAGATTTGATGACATTATTAATGAAGAAAGACATATTTACTGAGAAAGAATCCTAATTTTATATGGCAGAATCAATAATGTATAATGTATGTGAAAATGAATAGGGCAGTTGATTCAGTTCATAAATTAAAATATATACATAGAGATTTAAAACCAGATAATATTCTATTATAAGCAGATGGACATATAAAATTAAGTGATTTTGGATTATGTAAATATGTAGAATCAAGTGGAACAAGATTGGATGAAAGAATAAGTGTTCATAAACCAGAAGATAAGGGAGCTAATACAACTACTTTTAAAAGAAATAGAATTAAAGCATATAGTACAGTAGGAACACCTGATTATATTGCTCCTGAAGTATTTAAAAAGTCAGGTTATAATGAAACTGCAGATTGGTGGTCATTAGGAGCTATTCTATTTGAAATGTTAGTTGGATATCCACCTTTCTTTTCTGATGATCCTTCATCAACTTGTTAGAAGATTATAAATTGGAAAAAAACACTTGTTATTCCATAAGAAGCTAAACTTTCTCCTGCTGCAACAGATTTAATTTTAAGACTCATGACAGATGCTTCTAATAGATTAGGAGTTAATGGAGTTAATGAAATCAAAGCTCATCCTTTTTTTGCTGGAATTGATTGGAAAAATCTTAGATCTAAAGTATCACCTTATATACCAGAAATTAAATCCGAATTAGATACTAGAAATTTTGATAAATTTGAAGAATAAGAACCTTGGGTACCACAAGAGTAAATATTTCATTTTATTAAATAGTTCTGGAAAATCTGTAAGAAAAGATGTTAATTTCATAGGATATACCTTTAATAGAGAAGTTGAAGTTCAGAGATCTTACCTTCTCTAAGCTTTGCTCGATCTTGATTCCTTATAAACATAAAAAACAGTAGACACTTTATCTCATTGCTTAGGTACCTACTGAGTCAACTTTGAGTAAATCTTAAGAAAAGAAAGATACTTTCTTAATGTCTAATCTACCTAATAGTATTTCCTTAGATTCAGAATTGTAAACCAAACTTTTAAAGACTTAAAAACTTTTATAAAATGCTAAATCTAAGTTAATATTTATTTCATATACTTAGACCACTTATGAGTTAAAAAGAACTCACAACTTCATAAAAATAGTAACAATAATTAAGCTTAAGTCCAACACATCAAAATTTCAATCAATAAAACTATTTAAAATAATTAATTAGTCCATAAAATAAAAAAACTGCTATTTCACCATAATCAAAACCTGTTAGCGAACATCAAAATCCAACATTAGCATAACTTTATAAATAATTTGAAGTCCAAAAATAAGTAAGTAATACATAGAGAGTACAACCAAAATCACAGATTTAAATGCCAATAAATTTAAATAAAAAATGATTAGTAATAATATATCAAATAAATATAAAAATTATCAATTCTTTTCCAAAAAATATTTTACATAAAGTTTAAAATGTTTATTTTATTTTACTAGAATTTAAAATTAATTTTATTATGTTTATAAAAATAATCATCATAATTCCAATCAGAATATTGAATAATAGTAATTCAAAGTTTTTAATTTACAAATTTAAATATTTCTAATTAAAATGATCTTAAATTACCTCACAGAAATACATGATTTTTTTAAAAAAACAAATTGTTAAACTAATAATTCTTATCATACATGATAAAAAAAGTAAAAACTTTAAACAGTTCTTCTATTTTTTAATAAAATTAAGAATTGCTAAGATTTAAGTTCTCCTAAAAATATATAAAAAGAATAAAGTGAGTTGAATAAAAAATAAAGAAAATTGTTTTTTTCATCAAAATCTATAAAATTCTTAACCAACATTTTTTATTTCAATAAAGCATAAGATATGCATTATAGATGAAAGCCAAGCATTTTCCCTTGTATCATTTTATAATAATATTTTATTGTTAAATCAATCTTATCTTAATATGATTATTTTCATATATGTAATTGCAGTATTTTAGTAAATTTATAAAATTAATATAGTTTATTTATTTATTAAATGTTTTTTGGATATAATTCAGCTCCTAATTCTAACATTTCTTAGACTTAAAGCATTCTTCATGAATCGCAAGTAATTTCACTATAAAGAGAAAGCGAAAATTACATTAGAAAAGTAGAGCAAGATAAAAAACATCATTATAATATTGAAGAAACTTGGGTAACAACAAAGAAAGAATGGCAACAAAAAAAAGAATAAATAAAAAAAGTATCATTCTTTTTTATTGTAGATCTAACATGATTAAACTTTACCAGCTGCTAAACAATAATTAAATAAAATAAAAAATTTATAAAATGCTTTAGAGTAATCAATATTAAAATACAATGAATCATAAACCTATAATTTAGATTTAAAAAAATAGATCAATATGTTAAGAAAAGAAAGACATTAATATATAAATATACATTAAGATCTATAAGAAGAATTATTAAGAATTGAAAATGAAACTGTTGTTAATGAGGCATATCGTAATACAAATGAAATGTAAGCTCAGAAAAAGAAGGAAACCATAGCTGAAATGAAAAAAAAAAATGATTAAGAAAAAGAAAAATATGTTGAGTAATTTGATAGATTAAAAAAAGAAGTTATGGAAGAGAAAAAAAAACATGATTTAGATAATTTAGGATAAAGAAAAGAGAAGGCTGCTAATATTGATACTGCTTCAACTTTAAAACTTAGATTAAAAAAATTGATTTCTAATAATAAAGAGAAAGTTAAATTAATTGATACATATTGGAAAAATATGAAAGTTATTGAAGATGCATTTAATCAAATAAAAGAAGCTTCAGGTATTCAAGATATTGAAGAAATTATGAATACTTTTATTAAGAGTGAAGAATAAAACTATTCTCTTTATAATTATGTAGATATCTTATCTTAATAAATTGATTCATTATAGGATTAAAATTAAGATTTAAAAAAAAAAATAGATTCATAAAGAGTAGAAAATGATAGTAAAAAGAGATTACTTATGGCCACTCCATAAGCTGATAGACATAAAAAAAAAAATGATTTAATCATTAAGAAAAAATAGGAAGAAATCAATAGACTTAGAAAATAAATGGAAGAAATAGCCCCTACTTTAAAAGATGCTTTAATTGAATTATCTTAAACCTAATTGGTAATTCATATTTTTATCTCATTAAGGCATCTGATCCAACTGCACATCTAGATTATAAATTATCATTTAATCTTAATGAAAGCTCTTTAGAAAAATATTTATAAGATCTTGAAAGATTTATTGATCTTGCTGTTGCTAAGTAATTTAATACATATCATCATATTTTAGAGAAAAAATTGCTTAAAATTAAAGTATTGCTCAAAGTACTCTACTCTTAGATGAAATTCCACTCAAAGAGTTCAAAGGATCTAATAAATAATTTAATGAAGATGAACTGTTAAAATAAGAATCATAATAGCAATAATATAATAAACTATTAACTTAAAAAGCTCTAAGGGAGTTAGCTTTGGAAAGTTTAAAGAAAAAAAAATGAATATTTACATATAATCATCAACGTTAATTAAATTATGTTTATATCACTTTTAGTTTGCAATTTATAAATGCTTATTAAACTTTTTAATATAATATAAAAACTTTTTATTTGTTTAAAAATTAACTATTTTTAATAAAATGAATATAGATGCACATTTATTTAATGAAATAATATTCATAACTCAAAACTATTTGTCTTAGTTATTTACAGACTATTCATCATTATGTTTTTAATATTTTTGTTTGTTGACAGAAAAATTATTATTTTATTGATAATTATTTTATTGATAATTATTTTGTTAATTATTATTTTACTAGAAATCATTTTATTACTAATTGTTATAATTATTATAATATTTCTTTTAATATTTCTATGGTTATCTTTAATGATGAGGATTTTAATTATATTATTATTAATCATATCCATATTTGAATTAGTTATTATTTTGTTAGTATGGTTATTATTATGGATAATAGTATTAATAATCATAATTATTGTACTATTATTTATTATCATTTCTTGAATATGAAAAATAAAATACCTATATTAATTATACATTTATTAATTTTAACCTTGATATTGTTAACCTGCATATTATTAATTAGCAGAATAATAGGCTAAGAGAAATTTATTTAATAAAATACCTCGCATGTACATCATTTGGTCAGCCTATTTAGTTTACCATCTCTACTAATTTTATCTTTTGTGATAGTTTTTGTATTCATAAGGAGACTTTTCAAATAATTATTGCTCATGAGATTATTGAGTTAAGAAATTTTGATCAAGATCTCTTTATTATTTGATTTAATCCTTCTTTATTTAATAAATGATACTTCTCTTCTATCCATATTTTAAAATTATTAGAGTAAAACATTAACACCTGTTTCATCTTCTTACAAGTCTTTAAAACATTAAAGTACAAACATTCCAAACCCAAATGTAATTTCAGTACAATCAGTTTATTCAGTTAAAACTATTGAACCCAGATGAGCTGGTTATTTTTCATCAAGTGTTTTCTATTTCAATTCGTTTAAGAATAACTTAATTAAGATATTAGAAATACGCATTTAATTTAAAATGAGCCAAACCATTTCAAAGGTTCATCCCAATAAAGAAATGTAGCTGTTGGATCAAAAGGACCAAGCAATTTTGCACATGCTTAAAAGGCTTTTGTGCCGACTACTGAATATATTAAATAAACTTCTTCTGACTCTTTAAATAATTCATCAATCCTAGCATTTGATTTTGGAGTACTATTAGATTTACTTAAATATCTTACCTAGTCCATACCCCATACTTCATTCCTTTATGAATATTATCTAAACTTGCACTTCTCAATATCAAAAATATTGCTTTTTTTGAAATTGTATTGAGATTTATTGCTTTATTGAAATCAGCCATTTTTGGATAGAGGTTTTGTATTTAAGCGACACTCATTACTGCTTATAAAACAGGCTCATCAATTGGATATCCCTAGAAATTTTAATAATGTAAACCCTTTGTTTGTGGTATTATTTCATTTCTTTATTATTAATACATAAAAATATTAAATTGATTATTTATTGTAAATTATTATATTATTAATGGTCAACGACAACAAATATATAGTATATATTTATTTTACATCTTACAAATTTATAAAATTTGATATTTTTCTTATTTCAAACAATTTTCAATTCATTTTTTTTTAGAGTTGTTTCACTACTTCATAGTCTTTAATAACTTTTTACAAAAATTATATTTTTCTTTTATTTCTAAATAAAAATTGTCATTTGATTCTCTATTATATTATATTTTGTGTATTCTTGTATTATCAACATATTGATGTTTATCATATATAAATTATAATTGAATAAAATTCAGAATGAAACGCATAGAAAGAAATGAAAAAAAAATTAGAAACCTTTTACCCTTCTTATTTTATTTAAATGAACATATTTATGGTTGATTAGATGGTCCACATCAATAAGGATAACTAAGGTGCTTTTATGATTTGATAAAATAATAATTTAATATAGAGTATGAAAAAAACATTTATGAGGAATATCTAATTAGATTAATAACATCATTAATGGAAGACAATTTAAATAATTATAATAAACAATTTTAGTAAAATTTTAAGTTTCTTATTTGAAATAAAGGCTATCAAAGTTTTAATATAAAAATGATGATTTCTATAAAATATGTGATTACAAGCAATACTAAATTCATATGATTCTACCAGGAATTGATTATTGGCTTAAGTGTTAAATATACAATTTGAGATATTATACATAATTGAGAACCAAAATATTTCTAAAATTCTTATTTACACTTTAAGATCAGAATTTGTTGCTCCAACTAATTGTTTTATAAAATGAATTTATGATACAAAATTTGATAACATTTAAAGTATTTATAAAAATGATAGAATAGATTATGTAAAGTAATGTTAGTGAATTTTGTCCTTAGATATAGGTATATATAAATTTTTGAATAGAAGAAGATTTCAAAAAACCAGTAGTTTTTAGGATTATTAAATTATGTTTAGTAGAATAACCATGTAAATTATATATAGGATCTGTCCGATTAAATAATGGGATATGAAATTTAGAAATAAATTATACTGATAATTAATATAGGGTTGATAGTCAACTAGAGAGGAAAATGATAATTAAATATAATAATTTAAAATTTTAATATTTATATGTAATTTATTAAATAGGATTATGATATCAATCTTTGCTACTTAAATGTGGAGTTAGATGCTTTAAATCACCATTAATAGATGATTATTATGAAAACAATTCAGATTTTCTTTACTTGGCAGATTAAATGATGGTTTTAACTCTTTTATATTCTTTTTTAAGAATGTTTTATATATAAGCTTTTCTAGCTAATTCATAAATAGCTTAACCATTTTTAACTCCTGTTTAAATAGCCATCATAGCAAAAACAGATTCTTTATCAATTCCTTAAGAAGTTTTTGGATTAGTGACTAAAAGTTCAAAAGGATGTCCTTATTCTAAGACTTTACCTTCTTCTAATACAAGAATCTTATCATAATCTGCAATAGTATTAAGTCTGTGAGCAATAGTAATGATTGTGCAATCACTGAATTTTTCTTTAATAGTACTTTAAATGAAAGCATCTGTAGCCATGTCTACATTAGCAGTAGCTTCATCTAAAATCAAGATTTTTTTCTTATTCAATAAAACTCTTGATAAACAGATAAGTTATTTTTAGCCAATAGAAAATAAATCAGGCTAGACTTCAGATTATAATTATTTTGGAAGATCTAATACATAATCTTATAATCCAGTTTCTTTTAAAACCTTCCAAATTTTAGAATCATCAAACAAATATAAAGGATCTAAATTTTCTCTAATAGTAGCTCTAAATAAAAATGGAACTTATGGAATGATAGCAATCTCTTATCTAAGTTTTGCTAATCCTATTTCTCTAATATCATAATTATCTATGAAAATATTCCTAAAGTAAATATTAATAATATACCCATCAGGTGTTATTTCTGCCATTCTTAATAAAGCTTGAATAATAGAAGATTTACCAGCTCCAGTTCTACCAACAACTCCAACCTTTTCACCTCCTTCAATTCTAAAACTCATTCCCTTTAATATAAATGGCATATCTGGTCGATATTGCATTTCCACTCTTTAAAATTAAATTGCTCCAGTTTCAGGCCAACCAATCACAGCAAGTTCATCATCTATTTATTAAAATAACTAAGCTTCCAAAGAGATATCGCAAATTTCAAACATTCTATTTACACTATTCATTATTGAATCAAAAGCCATGAATTATCTAAGTGTACCAGCTTAAGTATTAAATGTAGATAACAATAAAAGCGCCTAAGAAAATAATGTAGGATCTTCTATCATTGCTATAATAAGAAATATTCCTGCTATATTTGTAAATTAACCAAAAATATCTATATAAAATCCAAAACATCTTTAAGAATAAGAAAATATTAAATTTGCTTGCATTGATTAATTGCATAATTTATAAAATTATTCTCTTATCCATTCTTAATTTTTATTTATCCTTATTTAAGTAATCCCATATAAACATACTTTAAATTGATCAAATAATGGCGATCTTTAAATTAGATCACATATTTTTAATTGAGACACAACTTATCTAGTTATAGAAAATATTATTATTGTCATACTAATAGTGAAAACTAACGGAAAAGTAAATAAAGGTTATAAAATAGCTATAGTTACAAGTGAAACTAAAAATTAGGATCCTTATTCAAAAATATCAGTAATAATTTATTGAATTTAATTATCAGCTAAAGATAAATCAGTAGAAAATCTATTAATTAATCTTCCTGATGGATTTGTATCAAAGTAACTAATAGGTGCTCTAATTAATCTAGAAAGCATTTCATTATGAATCTTATTATTAGAAATAAGAACTCCTATAATATTTAAAAAGTATTTCACAATATTATTACAATATGCTGCTAATACTAAGAGTCCAGCATTTAAGAATAATTGATTGTTTGCTGCTCTATCTGTTTCATCATATAAAGCCATTTCTCTATAATAATAATTGTTTATAATCTCAGTGGCAACATTTTAACCAACAATTATAAGAATTAGAAATACTGGACTCCAATAACTAAAATATCTTTTATATGTTGTCCATCCAGCATCAGTCTAATTATTTTCTTCTTTTAAAAACAATTAAACTACTTCTTTCTTTTCAACTTTTTCTTATTATTTATTTAATAAAGTAGCCAATCTCGTCTATTTTCTCACTAATTATTTCTTAACAGGTTCTACAATATCAGAGTTAAATAGAGCCAAAGTTTCTTTGACTTATTTATAAGTTCCTTAATTTACGATTGTACCTTTATCTAAAATTATAACGTAATCACATTCTAAAGCAAATTAAATTTAATGTGTAGATAATATCACAGCAGGAATTTAAGGAATATGTTACTAATGAAATTTAGTATTTTTTTCTAATTAATATTATGGTTAGAATTTGAAAATAAAATCTTTTATAGCATATGTAAATATTTTTCTAGCAACTTTAGCATCAACTGCTGATAATGGATCATCAAATAAATATAAATCAGGTAAAGCATAAAGAGCTCTTGCTAAACTTAATCTAGCTCTTTATCCTCCTGATAAATTAGCACCTTTTTCTCCAATCTATGTTCTATCACCATCTTAAAATGATAATACATCTTAATCTAAACATGATACTTGCATTACTTTTCTATATAATTCATGTTCGAATTCTTTACCAAATAAAATATTTTCTCTCACTGTTCCAGTATAAATAAATGGATCTTATTCAACAAAAGAAATATTAATGTTCTTTTTTACATAGAATTCTCCGTCTATTTAAGGTAATTCCTATAATATCGATTACAACAAAGTAGTCTTACCTGAACCAACTCTTCCTATTAATCCTATCAATTAACCTGGAAAAACTTCCAAATTTAAATCTGATAATACTGGAAATGATCTTGCCTTCCATCTTAATGATACTTCTACCATTGTTACATATGGAACTCTCTTTATAATACAACTCTATTTTTTTATTTCATTTCCTGGTTTAGTTTTCCCATACACATTTATTGTATTTGATTTCCTTATAGCAGTATTTACACTCTCTATATTTGTTAATAATAATCTTTTTTTTTCACTTATTGATCCATTTGAAGTCATTATTTAAACAACCCTTTTAAAAATAACATTTAGGTTCATAAATGCTTAAAATGCATATGAAACCTAAAATACACAATAATATTTAATCATAGACATCAATTAAATAGTTCCAACAATAGAGGATACATCAATATATATATCATTAAAATAAATGATCAATAGAAATAGATATGATCCCCAAATGTGAACACTATAATTAAATGATCTATCAATCAAATTTAAAAAATGAATTTTAAAATAGTTGAAAACTTCCTATCTTCTAATTTCATAAATTTTATCTTAAAAAGCCTTTTCCCAAACATACATTTTTATAAGACGTATACCTTCAATAAGTTAATTTTAAAATGATATACGATTATCTTATTTTTATTTAACCTCAGTCAAGACTTTCTAGACACGTTTTTAAATTAAGACTTGCAATGGATAAATTATGATACAAATTAATATAGCAATCAAGCCAATAGGACCATCGAATCTTAACTACATAACATATAAAAGATTACCCATAGAATTACTGATGCAAAAATAATTGATCCAGGAATAATAGCTATAGCATAGATAAAATTTAATTGAAATTCAATAGCATTTATATCTCCACTTACTAAATTCATAATATTACCAACACTGAATTCTTTAATTTCATAAGCTTTTAATTCAAGAATTCTATCAAAAATAAAATTAGTTAAAATCATTCTCATTTTTGTAGAGAAATTATTAATAGTATATCTATTGAAATATTTTTATTAAATTAATACAATTAATAATGCTTGCTTAAGAGTGCTACTAGTGATAAAATGGCTAAGGCAATAGCCTAATAGAAAGCATTACTTTAATTTCCTTCTTTGATCGCAGCAATTAGAGTTTGAGTTAAGATAGCCATAACAAATCTGGAATAAGTTTCACTCATAGCTAAGATGACAATTTTGAAAGTTAACCATTTGTTGTCACCAAAAAAGAAGATACGAAATAAGGATGAAGAAGTTATTTACTCAGAAATCTAAATGTTAAAATTTTGTTACTTTTAGATTAAATAACTTTTTAGCTTTTTGATAATTGGGTTATATTGTATCTTCTTGGTCTTGGAGTGGGAGATGACTTAAGTTCAATTTAACTCTTTATTCTGAAATTAATTATTAAACTTTTCTCATATATGAAAATACATGCAACAGTAAAATTTATGATATTGTTGAGAAATTTTAATAAATAGTAGACTAATAAAATAATGATTGTGTTTATGTATTAGTATTTGTATGAGATTCTGGAACTACTTTACGATTAGCATTTTTATTAAAGATATCTAATAATCCTTATTCTGTTCTTTATGTTTGTTCAATGCTTGTTAATTATGTGGTTTAAGGTTGATGTTTTAAGATTAATTAATTTTCTTATTTTAGATATGTAGTGTCTTTACTCATAATATATTGATTATCTTATTCTTATTCTTCAAGTTATTCAGATGGTTAAGATCGAGGTATATTTGGTTCATGTATAATCATTTCATGACTATAAACTTATGCAAAATCAATATTATTAGAAGGTGAATCTTCATCTGAGTTATTATCACTAAGTGCATCATTATCTTCTTGACTACCATTTGGTTTTACAAAATCTAAAAGACATGGTTACAGTATAGTTTAAGGATGTGATTCTAAAGCTTACTAAGTTAGAAAGTACTTTTACCTGTTCATAATATTGTTTTGATTCACTATTGAAATCTGTTTTGCCAAGAGAAGTTTGTCTGGCAAAATGAGATTTATGCTCTTTTTTTATCATTTTAATATGTATTTTGTAAAATTGATAATGAAAACTTAAATATACTGATCATTAATAATATAAATTTGACTATGTTTCACTTAGAATGGAGGAATTGATATGAATTTAAACATTAGATGTTTAATTTAACAAATGATTATATTTAATAATGAGTTAAACAGAAGAAAATGATAAAATTTCTGAAGAATCAGAATAAAAAGATGGTTCTGAAGATGAAGATGCCGAAGAGAGAGAAAATAAGGAGAAAGAGTAGCATTTTGGAAGAGATGATCCTGAACCAGCAATGGTAAATAAATAACCAGCAGTATAAGTGAAAAGATAGGTTTTGAAGAGAAAGAGTACAATGAAGGCAGATGACATGTTTGGCATGAATTTCTTCAAATTCTAATATTATGTAAATTAAGAAGAATTGGGAATTCGTAAGAAAGGAAACAATTCCGTATCAGGCGATAAACTTGATGAATTTAATTTCTATATGCATGAAAAGAAATATAGTTTTGGCAAGAATTCAATGTTTATTTTAAAAGAGTCAAATATAATCAGAAAGTATTGTGTATGGATTGTAACTTGGCACTGGTTTGATAAAGCTATTACATTAATTATAGTTCTAAATACAATTTCATTAGCTATGCAAAATTATGATTTTAGAATTGATGAAACATCTAATCAATCAGAATTGACATATGTTAGAAATTAAATGGAATATTTTTTTACAGCTGTATTTTTATTAGAATTCATTCTCAAAATTTTAGCGATGGGATTTCTTTTTGAAAAATATACTTATTTAAGAGATGGTTGGAATGTTTTAGATTTTGCAGTTGTTGGAACAAGTATTCTATCTTTGGTAGGAAGTTTTAATCTAAGTGCAATCAGAACTATTAGAATTTTGAGACCTTTAAGATCAATTAAATCAGTTCCTGGTCTTAGAATTTTAGTTGCTTCTTTATTAGATTCCTTACCTAATTTAGGTAATGTTTTAGTTTTCTTACTTTACTTATTGGTTATCTTTGGAATTCTAGGATTACAATTATTTTCAGGTGCTTATGAGAATAGATGTAGATTTACTTAATATCCAGTAAATGGCAATTGGCCAGCAGATCCAAATATTACTCATCTTTGTAGTTCAGATTCTGATTGTCCTGAAAATGAGTATTGTGGTAATCCTATTAATTTTAAACTTCCATATTAAGATACACCTATTCCTGAATTAAATTACTCATATACTACTTTTGATAATATATTAACTGCCACTTTTACTATTTTCTAAGCTCTAACTACTGAAGGATGGTCTACTATTGTTACTTAATTAATTGATGCAGTTAATCCTATCTTAGTTTATATCTATTTTAACCTTCTAATTATTATTGGATCTTTTTTTACTATCAACCTTATTCTAGCAGTTATTAATGATTCATTTTTAAAAAATTAATCTGAAAGAAGATAAGAATTATTAAAAGATGAATAACATAGAAAACAATAAAGAAAAGAAAAAAAATAAAAAGAAAGATAAAATGCATAAATACATCCTACTTAAAATATTGCTGATTTAGTACCTTCAGATGATTCTGATTCTGATGAAGAAGCATAAAAGAAAAAAGAAGAAATTATCAAACAAGTCTTAAAGCCTACTAAATTTTAAGGAAGAGCAGAACAATTGAAGATATTATAAGATTAATTTAATAGAAAAGTTAAAAAAGAGAAATAATAAATGAATTTTTTTGATCCCTCTCTATACACTTTAGATGTTAATGATGATAAAGGAACTAACTTTGATACTAAATTTAAATAATTCTTTTTAAGATTTATAGAATCCATTACCTTCACTATTATTGTTAATGTGATTATTGCTGCTAATACTGTTGTTTTAGCTATGGATAGATATCCTTAACCTGATTCAGAAATTCTTATTCTATCATATCTCAATTTAGGTTTTACTATTTTCTTTGTTTTAGAAATGATCTTGAAATTCTTCGCCTTAGGAATAGTTGAATATTTTAAAGATTACATGAATATATTTGATGCTACCATTGTGGCAATCTCTTTAGTAGAATAAGTATTAGATTTTGCTGAAATTTCTGTATCTGGAGGATCAATAACTGCAGTTTCAGCTTTCCGAACTTTAAGAGTGTTTAGAATATTTAAATTAGCTAGGTCTTGGAACTCTTTAAGAGAAATTCTTATTGCTATTGCAACAACCTTAGAAGCTATAAGTTTCTTTACCATGTTATTACTTCTATTCATGGTTATAGCATCATTGGTTGGTATGGAATTATTTGCTTATAATATACCTAATGTTAGATTAAATTTCAATACATTCTTTGATGCCATGATTACAATCTTTGCTTTATTAACATCAGAATCGTGGAACATTTAAACTTATTTATATATGTATTAGTCTAAATAATGGTGGCCATTAATATTTTTTATCTCTGTAGTAATTATGGGAAATCTAATTCTTCTTAAATTATTCATTGCTATCTTAATTTATAACTTTGGATAAAAAGCTATTGAAACTGAAAAAAAATTATAAGACAAAATGAGAAAACTTAACTTTTAATAACTAGTAGAATAGTTTAGATCATCAATCAAAGTATTTGATCCTGATGAAAAAATTAAACATAAATCTCCTAAACCTGAAGAAGTACATCCTGAACAGTAAAAAAAAATTAAAATTAACCAAAACTACATTGGACAACATTAAAATTCTGATGTTGCTTGTTTTTTTTTAGCAAAATATGATCAAGCCAGATTTGAAGTGAGAAAAGAAACTAAATAAAAGAAATTAATTAAAAGATTTTTTGATACTGCTGAAATAGTTGATCCAGAAGAAATTAGTGATGATTCCTCAGGCGATGAAGAATATATTAAATAAATGGAATAAAAGATGTAATTTTAAAGTTAAGGACCTTTAACTTTTTAAGATGGTTATCAACCATAGATTTCACTTCATTAATCCTAATCACAATCTGAAAAGAAAAGTAGTGTTTTCAGTAAGCCTGAAACATCTTCAGGTTAAGATCAATTAGAAGGAGTTCTAATTGTTGGTACTTCTCTATTTATTTTTGAATAATCATCGAAAATTAGAAGATTTGCTTTCAGATTTATCAATAAATCATAAGTTGTTGGATTTATTATCCTAATGATTTTGGTTTCATCTGTGCTTCTGGCTTTGGATGATCCATTAGAAGATAATAATTCGGTTGTATTAATAGAAATAGATTTGGTAGTTACTGTTATATTTACAATGGAATCTCTATTGAAAATATTAGCTTATGGTTTCCTATTTAATGGAGAATATAGCTACATGAGAGATTATGCAAATGTATTGGATTTCATAGTTATAATATTTAGTTGGATAAGTATATTTTCTGAAGCTAATTTGCAAATATTTAAAATCCTTAGAATTTTTAGAGTTTTACGTCCCCTTAGATTAGTTTCAAGAAGTGACAGTTTAAAAATAGCAATTAATGCCTTGATTTTAAGTTTGTCAAAGATCTTCAATCTAATCTTAGTGAGTTTGGTATTTTATGGGATGTTTGGAATATTTGGAACCAATTTTTTTAAAGGAGCGTATTACTCTTGTGATATTCCAAAAACAAGTAATTATACAATAATCACAAAATTTGATTGTTTTGATTATGGAGGAAATTGGGTTAATGCAGATTATAACTTTGATAATGCTCTAAATTCAATAAGTGCTTTATTTGTAATTTCTACAACAGAAGGGTGGTTAGAATAAATGTATTAAGGAATTGATAGTGTTGGAATTGATATATAACCAATTTACAATTACAATATGTATTGGTCTTTATTTTTTATTGGATTTGTAATTATAGGATCCTTCTTTGTAATGAATTTATTTGCTGGTGTTGTTTTGGATGCCTTTAATTCAGAAACTGATAAGTTAAGAGGATATTTTTATATGACCCTTGAATAATAAGAATGGGTAGATATTAAAGAAAGAATTTATTATGCTAAACCATAAATAAATCAAAGAATCAGTGACTAGTGGTTAAGAGCCAAAATGTTCTTAATTATAAATCATAAATATTTTGATTCTATGATTTTCATTCTAATTACAATTAATACTATATTGTTTATGTTACAATTTGTGAGATAACCTGAGTTATTAGATACTATTATATCTTATTCTAATTTATGCTTTTTATGTATATTTACAACAGAAATGTTAATAAAATTGACAGCATTGGGATGGTAATATTTTGCAGAACCTTTTAATAGATTTGATTTTATAGTAGTTATCTTAAGTATTGCAGGATCTGTTCTAGAACAAATGGCAATTTTAACAGCTTTTGGTACAGTAATTAGTGTATTTCGATCATTTAGAATAGTTAGAATTATGAGATTAATTAGATCAGCAAGAAGTTTGAAAGCAATTTTTGAAACTTTTTTTCTAACAGTAAGTTAATTAGCAAATATTGGTGGATTATTATCTATAATTTTGTTTATGTTTGCTGTTTTAGGAATTAATTTATTTCCTTATGTAAAATGGTCAAGTAGCGGTTTAACAAAGGCTCTTAATTTTTCTTCTTTAGGTAAAGCATTTTTCACTTTATTTAAATGCAGTACTGGAGAATAATGGGATTAAGTTTAGGCTGATTTGGTGAGATCAATGTAACCAAATAATGTTTGTTTTTCAGAAATTTTACTTACTGATTATGAAGAATATGGATTTAATGGTTGTGGATTTTGGTATGGAGTAGCATATATGGTGAGTTTTTAAATGATATTTGCAATGATTATGCTTAATTTATTTGTTGCAATCATTGTTTAAGGATATGAAATTATATAAAAGGATGAAGCATCATCTATATCCACAAATCATATATAGGCATTTATTGATATTTGGAAATTATATGATTAATCTGGTTCTGGATTGATAAGAGCATTAGATTTGGATCGTTTTATGATAAAACTAGCTAAACCATTAGGAGTATTTATTTTATAATTAATAAATATAGTGGAGAGGATTATTATTGACTTAAATGGAGAAGAGAAAGTTTATAAATTAATTTCGATTACCAGTCTATATCTAAAATTAAACTGCTATGTATTTTTTTTATGATGTTTTGGAAGTACTTTCTCATAACATTCTCACTAGAAAATATGGTGAAGATACTGAGTAAGATTTATTAATCATATAAATTTAGACTTGAACCAAAGAAATTAGTGAAGGCTACTAAAGATTTAATTAAGAAAAGATTATAATTAATTGATTAATTGAAAAATGCTAAAACTTGTGCTTGGACAAGTGAGGATATAAATAGTGCTTTTATTATTATGAGAAGAATGAAATGGAAATTAGATGAATTAAAAGAAAAAAGAAACAATGAAGTTCATGTTTTAAGAGAAATTTCAAGTGGTGCACATAGTAGTGACAATGATGATTCTCCAGATCAAACTTAGAGACCTAGTTAATTTAACACATAAGGAATTACTTCTGGTCATTAAATGCATTTAGATGATTGATTATATACATTCATTATTTTAAATAAAAAAAATATTTAAGAGTCAATTTTTATATACTTTAAGCTTCATTATATTTGGACTTAAAGATATACCATTTTTTTAAGTCTAAAGATTCTTTGAATTTAAGTATTCTTGAAATTAGAATTTTATATTATTCTGTATACTTGGTTTAACTATTGTTCTTTGACTATTTGATCCTTTCAAAGATATAAATTGTTTTCCTTTATTCATCATTAGAGGACTACCACTTCTAAATGTTATAAATGGATTTTATGTAAGATCATCATTAAGATAAAAATGAGTACTACTTACAAGATTTCTAGTTGGAGTTTCTAATAAAGATGGACTTTTCTATCTTTAATTGTCTTTTAATCCTTTATGAGACTTTACAAAAATTTCAAATAAACTATTAAATTTTGAATGATTAGATTTTGTTCCTAATTTTCTTTTCTATTGCTCTATCATTGTATCCATTTTTTATTTTATTAATTAATTTCTACTTTTATAGTTTTTGTTTCTTGATTCCTGATTTCTACAGGTTTTTACAAATTCCTCTTTAATCTCTCTCTCTTATTCATTTGTTGTCTTTATCTAAAAATATCTAGGGTATTTAAGATGAGTATTTTATTCTTGATGAACTTTGAAATGGACATAAGAATTAATTTCTAACATATGTTTTTCTAAATCCTATGTATGTCCTTCAAATATTTTTTCAATCAAAGATGTTCTATGTATTTTATAAATTTAACCCTTAGGACTAAGACAAATCATAGAATATTCATAAGGAATTTTATTAAACAAATGATAGAATCCAAATACTTGCAATTCTCCAATTTCAAATAACTACTATTTTAAGAATTTAAATTACAATCAATGGATGAGATTTATTTATTTATTTACGTACTTAAAATAATCCAGTTTTAACAATTAGAAAACTATCAGATTTATCTCCTTCTTACAATACAATTTAATGTTTTTCATATTCATATAAAAATGAATTCAAATAGATTTGTGTAAGTTGAGTTCTATTAAGCTGATTAAATATTGAAATCTAAGCAAAATAATCTACATTCTAAAAAAATATAGGGTTATCAATACTTATTCTATCTTTTTTGTTTACTCATAATGTAAAATTTATTGAAACTATTACTTATCCAAAACAGCAAAATAACTATCAGTCACACAACGAATAGTTGCTAACCTTGGTTATCTATGAATGAGAGCCAACTCACCAAAAGATTCTCCTTGTCTCAAAATTCTTACAGATTCTAATTCATCATAACCTCTTCTTTTAATCAAAACTTCAACTTGGCCATCTAGAATCACATAAAATTTTGTGCCTATCGAATCTGCATTATTAATAGAGTCTCCATACCAACATGAAATACAATATCAGTTGCTAAGAACCGTTCCACAAACATATGCTTACAACATTCACGATGGATTAATAATCCATTTTCTTATTTGTAATATTATTTAAAAAAGGGAAGTTCTTCAGTTAGCTCAACTATTAGATCAATCTCCATTTTGCATCGATGCTATGGTTATTTTTTTAATAAATGCAATGCTTCAGCCAAATGATCTTCAAGCATAATATAAATATATAAAAAGAATTAGACAAATTTTGTTGCTAATAAAAGTATATTGTTTTTGATAATCAACTTTTAAAAAATTAAATCAAAAAATGTCATACCAAAAATCACCTATCTATTAAAATAGATTAGGGTCTCTATGGTTATTTATATAAAGCAATCTAAATAGGAACAGCTTATTAGGTAGCAGTAAAAAAAATGAAGTTATGTAATTAAATAAAACATTATAGTAGAATATTTTGGGAGAAGTACTAATAATAAATTTTTGAGAAACATCATTCTTAAAATTTGTTTAGAATAAGAATATAGTCAAGTAAAAATTTATTTAAGAGGATAGTATAGGACAATTATTTATTCTTTTAGGAACTCTTAAAAAAGATAGTTTAAATCTAATTCTAAAATTTTTCAAATTTGATTTAAACATAGTGTTCCAAATCTATTTTAGCATTTATTTATCTAAAATTTATATTTATTTTGATTTTATCTTTTTTATATACTGATACTTCTTTTTTAGATGATCTAGATTTAATGTAGAAAATATTATTATTTAATATTTAAAAATAATTCTCAATTCCACAACTTTTTTTTTTTTCAATAAAATGGAATAGTTATTATAGATTATAATTATTTATTAAATTACATATTTCTAAAATATAAGAAATCAATTAAAATGATAAAACCAATGAAAATGCTCATTAGTTCTAATAAAATACATGTATTAGATTAATCTAAAGTAAGATTATACCAAGCCCTCAAATATGTGGATTTAATAAACCCCTTACAATAAATCGATTAAATTATACCATAGAACTAAATCAAACTATGATTGAATAGAATACGCAAGAAATAGGAATTTTTGGCATAGTTGGTATTTATTAATTCTACGGCCAAAATAATTTACTTTATATTTCTGAGGCTAATTAAGTCTGTTAAATATAGGATTTAATAATTTACGAAATAGTTTCGATTTCAAACATTTTATAGAATCAACTTTCTTCAATGGAGTAATAAAGCATTAAAAATATTGAAGCTTATTTTAGTAAATGCACATATTTTTCATTATAATATGATTTAACTCTACCGATATCATAATAACATCAACCTGAATAAAGTGAAAGGAGTATGAGATTTTGGTGGAATTTTCATGGTTATAAATTACTTTTGGATTAAAAGATTCCTAAGTGTTGGTGCATTAAAATTATTTAAGGATTTGTAGGTTTAGCATAATGTGAAATAAAAACACAATAAAATCAATAGATTAAATATATTTTAATTGCGCGTAGAGAAACTTTAAGAGGGGGCACAAGATATAATCATCGAGGAATAAATATTGATGGAGCTGCTGCAAATACAGTTGAAACTGAGTAGTTAATTTTATATTAAGAGAAAATCTATTGTCATTTATAAATTAGAGGATCAGTACCAGTATTTTGGGAATAAGTAGGTATTAGAGCTATTTCATATATTACACAAAATACTGAATAAACCAAAATGGCTATAACTAAACATCTCATGAACTTAAAAAAATATTTTGGATCTCTTTTATTAATTGATTTGATGGCTATTGACAAACCAAACGAAGCAATTATAAGTTAAACTTATAAAGAGTATTCAAAATTTTATTCTAAATAGAATGATTAATTCAATTGAAATACCTTAAATCACTCATTAACATATTGATTTCAAACAATATTGCAAAAATTATAAGTTTGAAAAGCTTAACTCAGTGATACTTCAAAATAAAGAAATTTTAATTTAATAATCTTTCACAAAATTGTAGAGTGGAAAATTATGTAAATATAGTTATTCAATTAGTGAATATACAAAATGGGGTTGTAAGAACTAATTGTTTGGATTGTCTGGATAGAACCAATGTTTTTCAGACTAAAATAGCATTTTTTATAACAAATCTTATATTGAAGGATCTTGGAATCAATATTTCAAAAGAATTTAAATGTGAAACAATATTAGATTTGGTAAAATAGATGAATTAAATTCCTAGTCAGATAAAGAAAAGGGACATGATCTAATAAAATTGATAAAAATTTTATGGGGTGAAAGTGGAGATAATATCTCTAGAATTTATGCAGGTACTAATTCTTCAACTACTAAAATTTAAAAGACTGGAGGCAGTAAATGGACTGGTATGATTGAACATGGTTTAAAAGGTTTTCATAGGTATTTCTCAAATTTATTTAATAGATTTTATAATTAAAATGTCACAGATGAAGAGAAGTAAAATATTTACTCATTTATTGTTGGAGTTAATTAACAATCAAATAAATAATATTCGGGAATAATCGAATAAATTTAATAACAATCTCCATGTATTCAAAAAAATATATTCGTAATGATTATTAGTTATGATGCTGAAAATTAAACAATAAATGATTTCTATCATTTATTTGAGTCTAGATAGTAAATAACATATTAAATATATTATAGAATACCCTAATTCATAATAGTTTTATTTTAGAACATTGTTAAAATATATTAGCCTATCAATTATATTTAAGAATAGATGTAATCATCAATTAGATCTTAATTAGGATAATATGAATGTGTTTTTTTTAGTTAAAATGTAATAAATATAATGTATAGTTATAGGAAAAATAATAAAGTTACATATTCTCTAAATAAAGTTGTTAAAATGTAGATTTTAAAGATTATCATTTAAAGTAAGACAATAGAGAAATTGGAATTGTTTAGAATTTTATATATGAAGATTAACAATTTTAAATTTTAAATTTAAATTTAAATTGTTAAGAATTAATAATGTATGAGAAAAAGATTATTTAAGAAATTCAAGAAAAGAATATTAATTCAACATTTTCAATTCTAGGAGGAATTTGTAATACAAAAATTTTAATTGAGGAATCGATTGAAAACTTTTGTAGAAAAAATAAAATGGATACGATTTCAAAATTATTTTTATATGATGAATTATGTTTGTGTTTCTAGAAATCATAAATGTTGAAAAGTTATTAAGAACCTAATATTACTTTTTTGCCTAAAAATGGATTAAAAAGTTGGAAGAATAGAATTTTATATGGGCCATAAGAAGCATCGGATAGTTTCAATATATTAACATATGAAGAGTCAATAAGTGGTGGTATTAGATTGTTAATTACAATTGATTCTAAAATACTTGGATAAAATACATAAAAGTGGATAATTAATGAAGAAGAGGAGGATGATGATATAAGATATAGCGAATAATTCTACTAAGTTTCAGATGATGATGATTTCGAAAAGATTATATGATGGTTAACTCAAAAATATATAAAATTTTTATCTTTTGGATTCATAGACTCTTAGAATCCATCATCCTTAACTTTGTAAACATCTTTCATTTCTTAATTTTTGATTCTATACATTTCTAAATTTCGTAACCCCATTTAAGCAATTTTAATTTCCTAAATAACCTTTTTAGGATCATTAAGGTTTCTATGGTCTCTGAATCTAATAAATGAATATAGAATAATAATTATTTACGATTCCTTGATAGCCAACATAATTTTGAATTTGTTTTTGCTTGGATAATATTAAACATTCTTAATCAACATTCTATAGAGTGTTAATAAAGACATAGCTTAGATTTCTTGAATTGAGTGTTGCATTATTAAAATGATTATATTAACTTTATTATTAGGCATATATGCTTAAAACAATATAAATGAATTATTGAAAGAATGGGAAATTCAGATAGAATAATCATCAATAGAAAGTTAATAGACATTCAAAGAAATTCTATACCAATTTAAAGATGAAATACCTAAATAATATCAATCTAGATTTTATAGGATGTATGGCTAATATATTTTTTATGGTCTAGAGAATGAAAACATAATAGATTTTGCAAGAGTATGTATAATCATAATTTAATTAGGCTCTTTTTTATTTTAAGAAATCCTCTGATCTAGGTGACATAAATTCTTAATTTTATGTGTCTTTATTAACTTATTTAAATTTGGATGGATCATACAATATTTATAGTAACCTTAAAAAAGAATCATAATTATTTCGATATGTTAAAGAGAAGTATCAAAGCATATCTTTGATTGATCTTTACTTTTCTGCTATTTAAGGTTTAGATAAGAGTAGTATAGCAATGGGTTATAGACACTTAAAGGGGATAGGAGTAGATTAGAATTGCTCAAATTCTGCCTTATTTTATTTACCAATTTTGGAGGATGTTGCTAATTCACCAATTAAAGCAAAATATATAAATGATAATAGACAAGTAGCTAAAGCTTTATATGACAGTAATTTTTATATGGTTCATGAATTGGATATTTTTGGACATGCTCAAATATTTGAGAATTTGAATTTAATTACTTATGATTCTGCAACTGAAGTTAAACAATTAGCATATAGTTTTTATTATGGATTAAATGGATTAAGAAGGAATTATGAAAAGGCATATTAATTATATCACAAATTATATGATTAATTAAATGATAAAGAATCTGGAATTAAAGTAGCCTAAATGAATATTGAAAACTTGGGAGTTGAAAAACCAAATTATGAAATGGCTTTGGAAATTCTGAATAAAATAGAAACAAAAAATTAAGAATACTAGGGAAAGATCTTTAATGCTTTGGGTTACATTTATTTTAGAGGATTGGGAGTTCCATAAGATATAGTGAAAGCATAGGATTTATTTAGAAGTAAGTCATAATAAATATAATTTTTAGAAGCAGCAGATTTATAAAATAATGATGGATAGTTTAATTTAGGTTCTTTGTACATGTTACCATCAACAATTTAGAGAGAACGCAATTAAGCAAAAGGAGTATAATTAATTGAAAAAGCTGCTGCAACTGGACATGCTATGGCTTAATATAGTTTAGCATTAATTTTATTAGATGGAGTAGATCTATTTTATTCTTGCGATTTGGCTGCCTCATTATTACATTCCTCATCATCAAGAGGTCCTTGGGCTGATACACTAAAAATAGCTAATTACCTATTTTAATAAGAATAATATGCATAATCATTGTCCAAATATTTCGAAGCTGGATATACTGGATTTATTGTTGCAATATGTACATATATAATGTAATATTTTATTAGAGAATGCTGCTGTAATTATGGAATAAAATGACGCCTTCTATTATGATACTCTACATTTTAGTGATGTAGACAATAGGCTCAATAATGATCCTGTTTTTAGAATTAGCGGAGTCAATGATGATCCTTTTAGTTATTTGTACTCAGATTATTTATAATTTGTTAATAAATCTACTTTATATGAACTATTATAATTAGATAGTTTTGGATTAAATGGTTAATTGTAATATCGATTCCTTACATAATGTGCTAAGGAGAAAGAAGCTATTTGTCATATGAAATTAGGTGACTATTATTATAATGGAAAGTATGAAGAAGTGGACTTTTTGAAATCTTATTAGTACTATAAAAAAGCTTTGGAAGGTTAATTGATTGATGCTATGAAAGCACATGTGTATTTTAATTTAGGTCTAATGTATGCATTAGGTCATGGAGTTAATATTAATAGAACAAAATCAATAGAAATATTTGAGTTATCTATAAATAGTTATTCTTTAATACCAATATTGCCTATAACTGCTTAGGTATAAATTATCGACTTTTGGGTTAATGCGTATAAACAAATAGAATAGGCCGGAATTGAAGAGTTTTTGGATGTGAACTATGTAGAATTAACATTAAACTTAATTGATACTGTAGAAGAATGCCTAATAAGTAATTCATAAGCAATTGTAAATGTTTCGCTGGCATCATTAATAGTTTTTCTGTTTGGATGGCGTTTGAAATTAATTAATTAACAAAATTGATATATTTGTATATGTATAATAAAACAATAATATTTCTTATAAATAAATGTCAGAACATTTGGAAGTGGCGCAAATAGCAATAGTAATATTTTTCATCTTTATTGCACTGACTATTGGAGGTATAGTGAGTGAAATAACAAAAAAAATTATGATTCCTTACCCTGCTGCAGTTTTTCTGGTGGGTATTTTAATAGGATGCCAATTTAATAATATTAATAATCATTTGTTGCATAGAACAGTCTAAGCTGCATTTAATATTGATGCCAATTCAAATATGACATTATTTTTGCCAGCCTTAGTTTTTAGTAGTGCTTTTAATGCAGATATTTATATAATGAAGCAATAGATTATGCAAATATTTGTACTTTCATTTCCGAGTCTTCTAATATCAGCATCTTTAATTTGTTTAGGATTGAAATTACTTTTTGATTATAGTGATGAATACTATAGTTGGGGATTTGCTTTTGTATTTGGAGTAGTAGTAACATGCACTGATACATTTCAAGTTGTCAAATTATTAAGTAACGCTGAAGCTCCAAAAAGATTTATATCTTTAGTATAGGGAGAGAGTTTAATTAATAATTGTGCCTCAATGGTATTAATGCTTATTGCAGTTAATTGTGCAAGAGGAGATTGTGATCTTCTGACAGTAGAATTATCATATGGAGTATCATTATTATTAGGAGGAGCATTTGTAGGAGTAATGTTTGGATTATTCACAGTTTGGTGGATTAGAAGAGTAAATCACAACTCAATTTTAACTATCAACCTTACGATTGTTTCAGCATATGTAACATATTTCGTGGCTGAATCTGTAGATTTAGGTTTTACTAAAAATGGATTAGTTGCAGTGATCTCTTTAGGATTATTTATGTCGGCCTTTTCAAAAATCAGGATTAGAACTGAAGTAGAACATCCATTACAAATATTTTGGTAATATATTTAATTTGCAAATGAAACCATAATTTTTATAATCACTGGTGTTACATGTGGTTATAAAATATTTGATCAATAAAGTCCTTACATAAGAAAGCAAGATTATATAAATACTGTGTTCCTTTACATATACATTTTATTGTCCAAATTTATTAGTGTGTTATTACTCCTTCCCTCTATCAATTTATATGGATAATAGGTTAAAATGAGTGAAGCTATATTATTTTCTTATAGTGGTACAAGAGGTGCTGTATAATTGATGCTTGCTTTACTAGTAGTTAAAGAACCATCATTTAGTGATTAATGGAGTGACATATTTTTATTTCATACTACTTTTATTGTAATTTTAACAATGTTAATAAATGGATCAACAATATCTTTGTATGTTAAATTTAGTGGATTATGTGCGACTGCTCAATACAGAGCCAAAGTGAGATTGAATTTTTTATAAGAGATGAAAGAGTAAATTGAATTTAAATTAAATCAAATGAAAGAGGATTATAAATAGAAAACTATTGATTGGAAAAAAGTTGAATTTTTTTCAGGATTGGCTGAAACAAATCTATAGATATAATAAAAAGATGATAAACTTAGTAAAAAATAATTAGATGAAGATTTTAAACACAAAAAGGAAAAAGAATCCAGTATTGTTGGACGTTTTCAAAAATTACTTAAAATTAAAGGATTATAGGATGATTATAATGATGATGATATAGATGCCGATGACATTATCGAAACAAGAGATAGATTTTTAATGGCTTTGAAATAAACATATTGGGATTTGTATTCATAGAATCAATGTGGAGGTAAAGCATACAATTTATTAATTGAATCTGTTAGATGGGATTTAGATACTGTTGAAGGTAGAATGTGTTCTTGGGATTTCATTTATAACGTTTTTTATTCACCAATTTATATGAGATTCTTATATAGTTTGAATAAATTTCCTATAATTCGTAGATTCTCAGGCGATTTACTATTTGATTGGGTGGCTATAGGATATGAAGTTATTTCTACATATGTAAGAGCACATGAAGGTAATATTTATCATTTATTTAGAAATGGAAAATATGATAGAAGAATTTCCTATTAATACAACATTAAAAAAGAAATTATCCAAAGAATCTAAAGAAAATAGAACAAATGCTGAGAATTTCATAGAAGGATATTTTTATGTTAGTTTTCCTGAAATCATTAAATTGATCCAAACTAAGAAATCTGCATAAGGCTGTTTAGCAAGTTAAGGAAAGTATTTATTAAGAAAATATGAATTGGGAGAATTAGATGTAAGTATCTAAAATTATTATTTATAGTTCTAACAATATCAAAAATTAAAATTACAATTAAATCATTTTGTATGTAATGTTGAAGATATCAGACCTATTTGGCCTTAAATATCTATACATAGTAAATTAAAAGTACTCCCATTATTTAGTGAATTTAACGAGGACTTACTTAGACAATTAGCATTATAATCTAAAGAACTTCTGTTTGATAAAGATGAATGCATTTATAGAGAAGGAGATTTAGCTAGATATTTCTACATCATTACAAGAGGAAGAGTTAATGAAACTAGTTCAGGTAGCAGTAATTTTTCAATCTCGAAAGATATTGGTTAATTACTATCATGTCATCATATAGTTTTAGAATCAACTTTATATATTTCATAAGCCGCAGCAGCATCATTAGTTGAAGTTATATAAATTGAGATTGAATTGATGGTTTCTCTTTATAAACAAAGTCTTTATATGTAAGATTTTGTTTGGAGGGATAGCATTTTCAGTTTAAGTAGATTATATCCAAAAGAATTATAAATATTATCTCTAGTTGATAGAGAAATCATTGAAAATATTTTAACTTTTGTTGTTTTCAAAAAGTATTCTGCCTACACAAATGTATCATTTTAGGCAGGTATTCTTTTACAAGGAAGACTAACAGAAGTAAGATAAGAAAAGAAAGTTAGAATAGATGAGGATTAATCTGAAGATAGTGATAATGATGGTTTAACAGGTCCTTTACTATTTCCATTTATTAATTAAACTTATAGCTATTAGACAGAAACTGTTTGCTCATTCTTCTTGTTCGATGACACAAAGAAAGAAGAAATTATGAAACTTATATAGACTGAAAGATCATCAGAAAGAAGACGAACTCGTCTTTAGACAGATTTACGAATTAGTAATTCTGGGGTGAACAGGTAATATTTTCTAAGTATTTAGATAATCCTTTGGATTTTCTTATCTTTTGAGGCCTTCTAAAGTGAATTTGGATATTAATGATTCTAAACATTGATAAATAATTTAATCATTAATTTATTCTTTTTGTGAATGCAAAATTACTATTGCTTTTCAATTATATTTATGTAATCTATTTTTTTAAGAGTATAATTTAATTATTTTGATATTCTCTTAATTCAACTACAAGATCGAGAACTTTAATTATTCGATTTTGTTTCTTTTTTGTCTTATTCAAATTTACTTTATTTTTTTAGATTATTACATTATTTCTAAATGAAATCAAATTATTATTTTAACTACAATTGCTACTCGTTCAGATTTAACAATTCCAAAATTTTTGTATATTCCCTTTAATTGGCTTCTTAAAATTGTTATCTTGAACAATGTAATAAAGCTTTAAAATTAATTGGTTTATAAAATCATTAGAGCTTATTAATTCTCTTTAATGTTAAATAAATCTAATTCATCTTATATTTTTGTAATTTGAATATTGAAATTTTTAATCTATTCATTATTACTATTCTAAATCCTTTCATCTCTCACGTTGTTTTTATAAATTTTAGTCTTCCTTTTGAGAAACTAAAAAATGGAATATTTGAATTTACTAAAAACAACACTCTCAGAGCCAACCCTTTTATTTTCTTCAGTATATTATTAAAATATAAGCTTTCTATAAAAATTTAAAAAAACACAATTTGTCTTTTTATTTTTTATATAATATGAAATGTAAATATTTAAAGTATTTATGTTCAGTATAATACTTATTTTAAAATATAATATAATAAATTAATAAAATAACAATACAGGAGTGAACCTGATCCAAAAAGCTAAGTAATTTGATTAGATGAGAGATACACTTATTTCATAATAATATCAATATAAAGTATTCATATTAATTCTTTGTTCGAACTTCAGCTTTAATGCATCATCTTTCTAATCTTTAGGAATTGAGAACACATATTGTGAATTAATTTTGTTCTTCTGATTTCCCACTTTCTGAATCCAAATAAGATTTTTTATTTCTTGATTTTTAATATCTCTAAACAATTTTAAAACTGTAATCAAGGAGAAGAATTACAATGTTGATGACCCATATAAATACACCAATACTCCAATAGGATCACGAATTAAATCTGTGACTAAGACAACTATACTCAATCCTCCAAATAGAATTTCCAAAACAATTCCAAAATAAACTAACAATTGTATCTTGAATAAGATCTATCTGTCAATAGCTAAATTAGAAGATTTAAGATTAAATTTTTCTAAATCTTCATCAGATTAAAAATGAATAGATGTTTTATAATCCTATTAACTAGTTCCTACATAACTCAATTTTTTTAAATCACTTCTATCTCTTTATTTTGGTTATAATTCTTTTTTGTTTTCAGTTGTATCTTTAGTCTCTTTGACTGCTTTAATTTACATTCTAACAGTATCTTTATATGCTTATCTATCTTCTTCATTCTCCCATCTCATAGAATTAGATTAATTTTCATTTAAACAACAACTATTAATTTCTTAATCAATAGATTCTTATTTAAATTAGTTATTATCTAAATCCTTTGCAGATTGATCACTATTTGAATCTTAATTATGCTAATTAGATTTGTTAGATTTTAATTATTTTTAACTCTCCTATCTAAAAAATGATGATCCTCTAATTCCTTTTACAAATGTTCTTGCAAAAGATACCGATTTAATTTTTGTTTATGCAATCTTAATTTTTGGTTCTTCCATTTATTTAACTTCATCCTAGATTTCATTCTTTTATTCTTCACTACTAATCTACCTAGAAAACCTAGCTACTCTTTGAACTGACTCAGGAGATCTACTAAAACTCT